GATATGTTTTGGTTCGCAATACTCCCATCCTGGCCTCAAACAGTGGAGAACTACCCCGAGTATTATCATAGATTCTTTCTTTGGCAATTTTCTGCTTAAAAGTTTGATAGATCTCTAGTGCGGACTTCTTAATCATGCCAATTCTCCACATATCGGTCTGAGCTTTCTTCACCTTCTTCTTAACCAATATTTCTTTTTGGTTTGGCCCCCTGCCGTCTTCTAAGTATTTACTAGTCAATTTTTTCGTTTGCCTCCTCCATTTTGTAACGACTTTCTTCATGTACAAGTAGCTGAATACCTTCCTAGCCCAACGCTCCTCCCCCATTTCTCTCAATCGCTTCTCAAATTTTATCTTGCTGCTAGCTTTCCTGCCCTCAAATGATGTCCATCCCATATCACCTTGTACTCCCTGATTTGGTGTATTCCCGTGAGCTCCTAAAGCAAGCCTAGCTATTCCACGTTGCTTAATTTCTAATCTTGCTTGAACTTCTGATCAAATGCACAAGACCGCATTGCCGAACGTCAGACCAGGAACCATGACCCTTTTCCATATTCCTCGCACAACATCATACCTATTGTAATTCCACAGTGCCCTGTTTTTCATCACCGCTGCCTTCCTGTTACCTTTAGTCGTCACGTATGTTTTGTGTTCCCTTAAGTACTCGGCCCCATTGCTTATCCATACGCCCAGATATTTGTATTTATCTGTTATCTCTAGCGTGACCTCCTGTATTCTAAGCTCACTACCTTCATTGTCATTAAAAATCATGACTGCTGATTTTTCCTTACTGAATCTGAAATCTAACCTATCTCCCTCATTACCGCCGATGTTCACCAATCTCTGCAAATCTTCCTTGTTGTCGGCCATTAGCACTATATCATCTGCGTACATCAATGCTGGTAGTGCCTGTTCAATGAGTTTTCCTTGTTTCACGAAAGAGAGGTTGAAGCCCAGTCCACTTCCCTCTAATTTGGCCTCTAATCTTTGTACGTACATCATGAATAGTAAGGATGACAGGGGACACCCCTGCCTAAGCCCCCGTTTTACCTCTGCAGGCTTGGATACCTGTTTTTCCCACTTTATAACTACCTTGTTACCTTTATAGATATCCTTTAAAAGATTATTGACTACATGTTCCACGCCTAGTGTGTCCAGTATTCCCCACAATTCCTCTTGAACCACGCTATCGTACGCTCCCTTGATATCCAAAAATGCTAGCCACAGGGGCCTCTGTTCCTTTCCTGCTATTTCGATGCACTGCGTCAGTGAGAACAGATTGTCTTCCAGCCTCCTGTGTTTCCGAAACCCATTCTGCAGTTCCCCCAGCACCCCCTCATCCTCTATCCATGCCTGCAATCTTTCCTTTATAATCTGCATCGCCAGCCTGTAGACTACTGATGTCACTGTTATAGGACGGTAGTTGTTTATGTCAGCTTTGTCCCCCTTTCCTTTATAGATCATGCTCATCCTGCTAAGTTTCTATCCATCGGGAACTACACCATCGATTATTGTTTTGCTTACTGCCTCTCTCAAAGTCTGCTTAGACTTCGGACCCAATGTCTTTATCAACATAATTGGAATGCCATCTGGGTCTGTTGATGTACTACTAGGAACCCTCTTCTCAGCCCTTTCCCACTCTCGTTGTGAAAATGGAGCCATTGCGCCACTTGATCTATCCTTGTTTATTGTGGTGCATAAGGCACTTCTTTGTTGAAATTTTTCTGTCACCCTTGTTCTTATATATTCAATAACTTCGCCCCTTTCTAGCCTAGCACCTTGAGCTGTAGTTATAAACCTCTGTTCTAGGCTTAATTGTCTCATTTCTTACTGAGTTTAGATGATTCCAAAATTTTGCAGCTGCCTTTTCATTCTTTTCATGAATTTCTGCCAGCCACTGAGCCCCCTTTCTTCTAATCTTTTCATTGATCAGAAGGGATGCATCCTTCTACAGCTTAGAAAGATTTCCCATTTTCTTTCAACATCATCTGTCGGTTCACCCCGCTGCTTAGCATGTCTGTGTTCCCTAGAGGCTTCCTGACATTTTGCTATGGCTCTCTTAACTTCCTCATCCCACCAACTTTTGGGTTTGTGTCTTCTTTTCCGGGGTGACTTGTCACGTGCCTTAGCAAGCTCTAGCTCAAACAGTCTAATTAGATTCGTGTATGTCCACACTGTTTTATTATCCTCAGTGATTACTTTCTCAATTTGTTTAGTGACTATTTCAATTTGCCTTTCTGAATAAAAATTTTCCTGTAGTTGCTCATCTTGTCTCCTTCCTACTTTCACTGCTCTTCCAAAACTTAGCTTGATACGTTTATGATCACTACCCAGACTTCTGGAGCCACCTTCATCTATGTGCATTTCCCTGAGCTTATCATACATTCTATGTGACATCAGTGCGTAATCTATCGTCGACTGCAGCCTTCCTACCTCCCATGTTATTTGCCCTTCACACTCCTCGGTACTGTTGCAAATGATCAAATCAAGCCTTTCACACATATCCATCATCATTTTGCCTGTCGGGTCGGTATACCCATCTATATATTCTATGTGCGCATTCATATCTCCTAGTATAATTATCTCGCACTCTCCTCCTAACTCCTCAATGTCCTTTGATATACACTCTACCATTGCCTGATTTTCCTCTCTGGCCTTTGCTCCCGTCCACAAGTACACGAAACCAAGGAGTGTCATTTGCCCTGCAACTTTCCCTTTTAGCCATAAATGTTCCTTGCACTCTTGCTTGACCCTTTGCCAGTCTGTACTTTTATGAATAAATGCCCCAATACCACCCCCTTTCTGCTGCCTTCTGTTCTATTTCAATATTCCCACACGTGCGGATTGTTAGGAGGTCGTTCCATCTCCCTGAGATGTGTTTCTACGAAACCGTATACCATCGGCCTCTCCTCCTTTAGCTGTTCTCCTATCTCTTCCCACTTCAGCCTGTTCCTACCTCCCTGCATGTTAATATACCCTATGTCTGAATTGGCTCGGCGCTCGGGGCTACGTCTATTTCTGCCCCGGACTCTACCTATCTTAGATACTGGTGCCACTTTGGAATCGTATCTGTCCATACTACCTGTCAAAGAGTCTCCCTGGTTGTTTTCCTCGTTACTAGCTGTCCTGCACCCCGAAGGGCCTGCTCGCCCCCAAAGAAAGCTACTGCGCGTCCTGCAAGTCGCCAACCCACCTCATGACCTAGCCGCTCATCGAAGTGAATTCTGTCTCGTTGAAAACCACCCCACGTATGCACCTCTCTGTTTATTTCCACCACCTCAAAGCCTTTCTCTCAACTCATCCGCCATATCTGTGGTTTGCGTTGACAACCGCTCTTTGCAGGTTGCTATCACGCACCGGTACCTCCGGTATCGTGCATATCACTACCTGTACCTGTATGAGGAGAAGTGGTGCGCATGTCATCGACGCCTTTCGCCAGTGTAGTTGCCAGTCCTGCTGTATCTTCATTTAAGACATCGTTTAAACCACCTGAAATTATCACGAGGTTTCACCTATCAGCTGTAGTTTTGAGTTTCGCGCTCGCTTGCCTCATGACTGCTTCCAGCTTGCGTCCTGGGAACGCCCCTACTGCAACCCTCTTGTCACCTCTTACCCTCTCTTTGATGGCTTCTGTGCATCGATTTAAATTCAAGTCTCCGGCGATTATCACAAGCTGTGACTTTTCACCTGGAGCATCCTGCACCTGGGGCTTACTTGCACTTGTGACGCCGGCTGCTTTGTCCCCTCCCAGCCCCACCACAACTTCGCTGAAGCTGGGCCTTGCGACAATTGAACCGGCTGAACCTGTTTTTTTCCAAACTTGCTTGCTCTTTTTTCTCCGCCGTTCTGGTTGCCGGTTCCCTACTGTTCTCTCCGTAGCCCACTCCTCTGTTCACCTTGGCTAGTGCTTCCTCGGCGGACTTCAGCCTTTCTCCCATTGCCCTCGTTTTCTCTTGCTCTGTCGCCAACGCAGTCTCGAGCTCGGCGATTCTCATCAGCAGTTCACTCTGGGCAACCATCATTTTCTCCATTTTTTACCTCGACCTCACATTGCCTACACTTTGCGTCAGCCTCTTCTCCATCCGCTTCTACGCTTGGGTCCACTTTCAAGCCCACACCACATCCTGAACACTTTACAGTCTTTTTAACCATGTCTTTCTGACACCAACGCTGTGTTAAGGTCCCTACGCTGTGTAAGATACGGCTGCCATCTGGCAGTAATGTAAAGAAACGAAAGTTTTTTCGGAACGCAGAGCCACTGGTAGAGGTGGCAGCGCCGGTTCGTTTTAAGGCTTTAGTTTTAGTTGAAGCCCTCTAATTTTTTAGTGAAGCGCACAAAACACCAGCATTTTCTTTCGTAGCGTCGCATCGTCAACGCAGCGTAATAAACACTTCGGTCTTTATAATTGCGTATCTATGCATTTTCTAGATAATAAGACACACTCTCTAACACTTATGTATTGATGTTGTGCCTCAAATATGCGCAAAATTTGCTTTTTTTTTGATTGACAGTGTTCATAGGTATGAAGGCAGCCACCAGATTAAGATGGGTGCTCGTTGAGCAAGGGGTTATCGTTGGACACCAACAGATAGACAACCAGGCCAAAAGGTTGGCGTTGAAGTATCCCGAGAAAGACTACTGTCTTAAAAACATTCCGCCAAATGAAAGGCATGTGATGTGAACCGAAAGGCTTTAGCAGTGTCGTACGTCATCGAGCTTGACGGGCGCCTTCATGAACCTTTTCTTTTTCTTTTGAAGTGTGTACATGGATTGCGTTGTATTCTAAAGAAGTCGGAAGTTTGCAAATTTTATACGTACTGTGAGATTCAAATATCTGATGCCGTCGTGAAATGTAAAACAAAAAAAATCTTGTATTTAATCAAAGGGTATCCGTTTTGAAAGATTGCACCACTCACTGATTTTTTTTTTGTTTTTTAGTGTACATTTGATGTATTCATGCGTTCTCTCTCTCTCTCTCTCTCTCGTTTTTCTTTATTCCAGAAAGTGGCGGGTATCTGGTGAGCAGGGGCAGTGGACGTGCGGTGACAGCCATCCCACGGCAACTCTCAAGCTATGGCGTTCGCGGGGCTCAAGAAGCAGATCAACAAAGCCAATCAGGCGAGTATCTATTTCATTGTAGTCCGAGTTGCGCGCATTTCTCTCAAACACTTAACGTATAGATTAGGCGTGCTTATTGTAATCTCTATTGGATGGATATCTCGAATGTTCGCGTTTCATATTGTTCCGATCTTTCAGTGTAACACATGCACTCGGCCGAAACTGGTGCTTTCTTAGTTTTGTAAAACCAAAAAAAAATGAATTCGTATACATTGTGAGTGGTTAATTGCTTATTTGAGGAAATATGTGCGAAAGGAGGGAAAGGAAACTGGAAAAAAAATGGCTGGTAACCGCAGTGTAATTTTCGGTCTCGAGCAGCTGATTAGTGATTCTTAGTATAGGGAAAAAAAGAGGAAAAAGAAGAGAAATAAAGAACAATGCTCGGCCGCGCTTCTCTTGTAAAGGGAAATATAGTTTTGACGTTTTGATCGGTTTTGAGCAAAAGAAGTTATTTTATGCCGAGCTTTTACTCGGTGTGCAGGTAAAAGCCACAAAGGGCGAAATAGCACATGTTCTTTTCTCCCCTCCGTCTCCACTCCACCCCCACCTCCCCGTTCCTCTTCTGTATAACAAAGCATTTTTACGTGACGCACGATCCCTGTGCAGCTCCCATAAAACTATGGGAGTGGTTATCTAGTTAATTTAATTACGTTTTTTTACACAGGTGTAACGTATTCTCATATAAATAGTGATATCAAATGCAAGTATTTTATTTCAGCAACCGCCGCTACTATCATTATATTTTTTCTTACTCTGCTTTGAAAAGTGTCTGTGCCTTGAAAAGTGATATGCACGCGTGTCTGCCGCGCACGTATTTTGTGCTCGAGCGCTAATGACTGTTCATATTAACAAGTATTTGTTGCTTTTTTTTTGATATGATGAAATATCCTTGCGTTGACTAAGCCTGTACATGCAGTCTTGTGATTACGGAGTGCGGGTATCCACTCGGAAAGCTGCTGTTAATATGATTTTTTTTTAACAACCATAGTCGGATACAACTTGGCAGCCCCGCCCAGATAACCGACGTGCGGTGACCCATCGCCTCCGTGGAAGAAGGCATAGCTCCGTTCAAGCACTCGCCAATCTTCGAGGCGGGGAGGCACACGTGCCACCCGTCTCATGGCGTCAGTTCGAAATGTGCGCCCATCGGGGCAGGCTTGCGTGCATGCGCGTCTTTGAGGAGGAAATTTCGCAAACCTACAAACACCCGCATGCGTAACGAGTACAGACAGCCACACACACAAGGAAAAAAAATTGGCCCGAATCTACATATGTTACACTGTAAATGTCGTCGAAAGACGATAGTCTAGCGTCTGGAGAGAGTGAACAAAACGTTTATTTGATGTTCTGCGCAAGAAAATCGGTGAATGGTATTCTGCAGGCGCTGCGTTAGAGTACCTCGAGCGTGTGGCGGAGGCGAACGAGCGCATCTAGGCACGTTAGACACGAGCGCCATCTGGCAGTTATCTTCGAAAACGAAGGCGTGCAGCCCGCGGAGAAAGATGCGCGCCAGTCTTGGCGGTGATAAGGTGTAGAACGCAAAGCGACGGGCAGGTGCTACCACCGTGACGTCGTAGCAAAGCGTTGGAAACACCTTTTTGAGCATCGCGTTGCACTGTCAGCGCAGCGCGATTAAACGCTACATTCCTTAGAGTTACTTGTGTGTGCCTCTTCTAGTATAAAGGCAGACACAGAAAACATCGAAGCATTGTTGTAGCGCCTCAGATATGCGCAATAATTGCTTTTTAATTAACAATCGCACAAGTATGAACGCCTAAACTTTGAGCAATATTGGTGGGCGCTGCAGATGGGGTTGGCCGTTTGGTGCCGTTTGAGGTATCGTTAGGACGGACAAACAGACAAATGTACAGACAGACAGACCAAAATTTTTCCGTCGAAGGTCCCCAAGAAAGACTATCGTCTTCAAATATTTGTTTCCATTGCCCCTGTTCACGCGATCAGTTTATACGAGTCGCCGCAAACTTGTGTTTCGCCGCCTAGCATAACTGTATGCGGTGAAGGTTGCTTTCGGAAATCCAAAATTGAGCATCGCGTCCAATACCCATTGCCAAGACGTGCGCGCATTGTGGCTTCCCCGCTGTGTAGACTGCACACTTGATACGCAGATTTCTCCTTAAAATATGGCCTCACGAGAACACGTTGCGCATCGTTGTGTAAGGTGGCAGTTAAAGACAAAATTTGCCTACATTGTGTGTCCCGGTTTTACTATTTTTTTTATTATTTTAACGGTTCAGTATTTCGTAGTCTCACTCGCTTGTATTCTGTGTGCCCGTGTGTGTTTTTCATGCATGTATCCTAGCAAATTCACCTTAATAAGGTTAAAAAGAAAAATATGCAGTGAAATTTCTTACAGCCCATCTTAGTCCTGTACATTGCTGTGAGCATGTGAACATAACAGCGAAATCGGAATATTCAATATTTTGTGTCATCAAATAAAGTACATTTTCCCCCCTTTCCGTTAGGTTTGATTTATGTGGATGCTGTTGCTGTGTGTGTGTTTGTGTGCGTACATAGCAGTAACCATGTGCACATGCATGCGCATGGGTACTGCTGTTAAGAGGCAAATGCTTTTTTAAAGATTTTTTTTATTTTTCCTCAACTGCATCTTATACTGAGACTTTCCATACTACTTGAATTTCAGTATGTCAGCGAAAAGATTGGCGGAGCGGAGGGTACCAAATTCACGGACGAGTACATGGAAATGGAGAGGGTAAGCGCATGCACACATTTCTTTTATTATTTTTTTTGCACACCTTTTTAATAAACACTTGCTCTGTTGCCAAATTGCCTACGTGTTTTCACAGTGACATTAAAGGGTTTTCTTGCCCTTGTATTTTTTTTTTCTCTCTCCAGAAAATAGACTTGACCAGCGAGTTAGTGGAAGAGCTGATTGTAAAGACGAAAGAATACCTCCAGCCAAATCCAGGTGGTTATTCTGTCCTTAAAATGTTGCATATTTTTAAATATATATACTTGTGCATATCATTGCGCTCGAAGCACACAGAGAATGTGTTCAATTTTAGGACATGCCTCTTTGTTGCATTGTGTACATTTCATTTTTTATTGCTACAGTTAATAGAGCAGTAATGAAAAAGAGTTGAAGCAGAGCTACTTCTGCAAGCTAATATTTCTGGGTGCACTTTAGTACAAACTCATCTTTGCGTGAGCATACTGTGAAGGTGGATGTTGGATTTTTTTGAAGCTTGGGTTTAGTAACTACACCCTATTTAAAAGCTCCTTAGGAATTCCTAGCATTCCCTAACTGTCACTATGCCCACAAAATTATAGTGCAGAAATAATAGAGCCTAGAGGATTTTTGCAAGGATTTTTTTTTTTTTACAGAATCAAACAGAATGCCTAATAAAAAGGCTCTAGGTCGTACAGAAAAGCTGTAGGTGGGAAATTCGTGATTGATATATACTTTCAAGGACACTACATATACTTTATGAATGAACCAGTGGGGGTGAATAATGTCAGAAATGTAAATTGCCAGACATTTGATGCAGAGGTACGCTGCCAATTTGTTATTCGTTTTCCTCTTATAGTGTAACACGTCCATCTTGTAATAGGCCTTTTTAATATGATTAAAATAATTTGTTGTTGGTGTATCAGTTGGTGAGCACAGCTGTGAGGCTTTTCTAATTCCTTTTTCTTTCTCTCCCATTAAAACTTAATATTGACGCTCTCTTTTCCCAACAAAATTTCTTGCAGCATCCCGAGCAAAGCTGATGGTAAGCACGAAACTCCGAGGACCAGGAAAAACTCATGCATATCCTCAGCCGGAAGGTACGCTCGGAGAATCCATGGTCAAGTACGGCACTGACTTGGGCGAGGAAAGCCCCTTTGGTCAGTACAGAATTGTTGCTTACGGTCCAAGCCACAAGTTCCCTACACGGGCTTGTTGTGTTACCTGTCTGTGTATTTTTGCATGTTTCTTTTTATTATGTCACGAGATAGTAATGAAAGATGCTCATAGAAAATCCCAAATTGACGATAATTACCGACTCGCAATTTCGCTTCTTATTTTTTATGTGTCTATAGACATTATTATTATTTAACTTCAGAAGGGTGGCTTTCTGGGCGAGTTGGTAATGCATCTTGAAGAAGGCTGCGCAAAATAACGAAAGCCAAGGAAAAGAAACCACACAGACACAGCACAAACTACCTGCTGGTAGATGATAGTGGCAGTTTGGTGGTCCAACTGGCGCAACATATATTCTAAAGGTATGAGCATAAGACACTGGTAATAGAAGGAATCGACGGGACAGACACTCAACTTAAAAGTGAAATTTATTGCTAGGTCATTCGTGAGAGCACTTAAACAAGCCTGTCTGTGGCATACTCTGGGAACATTCATCCTTGAAGGTTCTTGCAAGTGGCACACATGTCTTCGCTCTGCAAACAATACAGGTGCAATACAGGCGCCATTTCTGCTTATCTGATGAGGTCATTTATCGCCACAGTAACCCAGTGGTTTTTGGCAGATGTGTATGGTAGAAGACCATAAAGGTCGATTCCAATGCAGTCAAATGGTTGCACGGGGCATGGCAATCGCTGTATAGGTGCAGAAGAGTGAGAAGGATCGGGCTTGCGGCGTTCAGAGGGCTTGAGGCGGTCAAAGTTCACCCACATATTCGGTAACATGTGGAAAATGCCAGTACCTCCTTCAAAACTTTATATAGCCTGTATAGTTGGTACGAGCCTAAAGTGACGGTGGTCTCTAATGTTCTCCTCAGGTCAGAGCCTAATCGAAGCTGGAGAGTCCCTGAAGCAGCTGGCTGACATCAAGTATGCCCTGGAAGATAATGTGAAACAGAACTTTCTTGAGCCCCTTACCCAACTTCAAAACAAGGACCTTAAGGATGTTTTGGTAAGCCTTATTTTCACATTTGCATGCAGAAATATCATCTTGAAACACTCACTCACGTGTGTTATCGCTTCTGGAATTGTGTATGCTATTTTTGAAGCAAATAGGTAGTAATCGCTTCTCGTAAGCGTGCCATATAGAATACATATGCATAGTAAGCTGTTCGCATTGCGTCTTGTGAATTGAAACCACCGACAGTCATTGGTGAAGGTATCGTATTGTTGAGAGATCCCCTTCATATCAGAAGCAGGCTGTCTCATTTTAGCATCCTTTCGGGTTCATTGGCAGAGCATAGCATGTTCATTCACTTAAATTGGGAATTGTAAACTAGCAGCATTGTCGTGTAAAAATGTGGCTGGAAGTGACCATTGCACGATGCACCCTCGGCTATTTTTAACACGTTGATCAATGCTATGCACTTATTTCTCTTGGTTAAAATATAAAATGCTGCGCTTTGTGATTGGGTGTACATTTTTGCACGAATGCTAAGCTTGATATGGGGCACTGTGCATTGCACATTACCAAGCATAAAACATTGCTGCCGGGTATGGCATTCTTGATTGAATTTTTTTGAGTTGTATGTTGTACGACACGTACGATAGCGTCTATTGTTGTATTGCAGCACCATCGCAAGAAATTGCAGGGTCGACGCCTGGACTATGACTGCAAAAAGAGGAAACAGATGAAGGGTGTGTTCATTTGGTCGATGCAAAGTAAAGTAGAAACATTCTTGGTTGTTTCAGTTATCTGGGACATCGTTCTTTGAGTAGAACTTTTCGTGTTCTTAGAAACGTGTATAGATGTGCTGAACTGCAGTTAGAAAAGCCAGTGTTCTGTGCCCACAGTCGCATAATCTGTTTACCTCCTATGATTTGCAGGTGGCCACTTGACAGAAGAAGAGATTAGGCTCGCCGAGGACAAATTCGAAGAGTCTTTCAACTTGGCTTCTATGGGGATGTTTAATCTTTTACAAAATGATGTAAGTGGGACATTGGTACCGATTTCGTGCGATGTGCTTATAAATCTGCTTGTGAGCATGCTGCTACATCCATCACTGTTACCAAGCTCTTGTAAAGGACCTATACTTAGCTAAAGTTGGCAGGAATGAGATTCCTGTAGCTACGCTGCTTCTAATAATAGAGAAAATGGGTACGGAGACATGACCAAGGAGCTGGTATAAACAGCCTCTAGTGACTCACACAGAGTTGTCTGTTACTAATGAGACTTCAGGATGCTGGCATTTCAATAAGTACATAATAACATTGCAACTTGTCCGTGGACGATAAATGTAAGGTAGAAATGATCGAAGGCAACCATGGGGCCCTGTCCTGATAACTCACGTGACGCTTAGTACTTGCTTCAATTTCTTGTAGGAGTAAATTTCAGAGGCAGTGGTTTCTGTATGCTGAAGAGTAATAAAAGAAGTTTGCTGTAATGCTATAGTGGCAAATGCACTGTAGGCATCATTCAGGATAGGTCAACATTTTTTTTTACTAGAGAAGATAGATGAATTAGAGCAGCACTATTAAATAGTTGATATTTGAGAGAATTCGGGTTCCGCTTGAATGTTGTCTTTGACAGTCTTTATAACTTTGAACACCCTGTAATTACCAGTTAATAATCACTTGTCAAAGTGAGTACCTACTCATCAAAGTCAAACAATCATTGTAGCAGCGTGCGAGTTTGAGCTTGTTGGTACATATTTATAGTAAAAAAAAAACAGGTGAGACAACAAGGACGAGAAAGACTGGACAGGACAGCGCTAGTCCTGTTTGGTCTTTTTCTTCCTTGTTGTTTCATGCTGTTTTTTACTATGAATCATTGTAGAGTTGTGTTTCATCAGGAGCCCCACCGCGGTGGTCTAGTGGTTAAGGTACTCGGCTGCTGACCCGCAGGTTGCGGGATCGAATCCCGGCTGCAGTGGCTGCATTTCCGATGGAGGCGGAAATGTTGTAGGCTCGTGTGCTCAGATTTGGGCGCACGTTAAAAAACCCCAGGTGGTCAAAATTTCCGGAGCCCTCCACTACGGCGTCTCTCATAATCATATGGTGGATTTTGGAATGTTAAACCCCTCATATCAATCAATGTTTCATCAGGAGTTGGCAAAGGCAGTGTTATTGATAGAACAATATTTTAAAACCCATTTCTTTCACACTTCACCCAGGTGGAGCAAATATCCCAGCTTCATGCCCTTGCTGAAGCCTTCTGTGAATATCATCAGCAGTGTGCGGAAGTGCTCCAGGGACTCACGGAAAGGTTGCTTGAACAGTAAGTTATGCGCTTCAGTGAAGCCTTTTTTTTTTTGCTCGTTGGCTGGATCACCAGGTCTCCTGCAGAAGCCAGCAGTTATATCATTTCACTCTGCATACATGCAAACTCTTGAATAGACAGAAGGTGAGCTAACGTAAGTTGGTAAAAACATATGCGTAAATCATATGTGAAAACTGTCACCTTTACATTAATATGTCACTTCCAACACAGCTCAGGGTTTCTTTTTTTTTTTTTTCCTTGCCTGAAATACTTTGAAAGTACACTATTTATGGCCATTAAGTTCTGCACAGACCCACAATAAGGCGAAGGATTTTCTTCGCAAATTGAATTTTTTTTTTTAAATGTGCGATGAGAACACGATTGTTTACAACACTTTTTTGCAATACTAAATGCTGGGGCATTCGTTCATGGAAATGTGTGTGCATGTTGTAACACCCGCGAATTGCACAAACTAACATGTCTTCCTCTACAATTATCCCCGCAGCCCATAAATGTTGCTCTGCTAGGTGAAAGTATTTAATTCTGTCAACACATCAAAATTGAGCTCTTCTTAATAGGTTGACAGCATAAATACCATTGTTGAGTTTTCCTTCCCTCTCACGCAGAAAAGCGGAAGCAGCAGAGCGTGAGCGTGAAGCCATATGAGCCCAAGAAGCTGTCCGATCTCAACCTCACGACGATCCACGACGACGTCTCGCCCATGGTCGAGTCAGGTGGGGGCTACTTCAATGGCGAGCCCCAGCATAACTCCCTCTTCTTCACCTCGGCCCCAACTGGTAAGACTGGTGGTGGCAGCCAAAAGGCCGCTCGGAAGGTTCACATCGCTCAGAGGGCAGCCGCTCATTCGCGCAGCCCGTCTTTTCCTTCTGCTCTGCTGCTGGAACTGCAGGACATGTACTCTACAAGTGGCCAAACCCGCCTCATGCCTCTGTGCTTACTCTTCTGTCTCTAGCGTAGATTATGGCATACAGCTGCTATCGTTACACATAGGGGTGACTTTAGTTGGCACTTCATGTGCAAAACTTGGCCAAGAGGTGCATGTTGAGAGAAAAGTTACTAAGTGGAGGTCATTTCTAAGCTCGCACTGTTCCAGTTGCATGCCTGTAGGATGCACTAGCATGCACCAGCTGACACACATCATTGCGCCATCTGCATGAAATTTTAGAGCCTGGGAATACTTGTGTATGCAGTGTGCTGCTATCATTCTTATGTGGTGCCATGAAGTGGTTTTTTTTTTTTTTTGTAAGTTCATAGCACTTTAGCGGCCCGGCTTATCGTTTAACCTTACATCCCATGTGGCGTGACCACACTCACGATCAAAGGGTCAATTCAGGCCCAAAACAACGCAATCAATGCTTAAAACCTAGCTAGAATTAATGAGGGATGTCCAAAGTGAGATAATTCTTTAACATAACCAGAAGTAATCCCAAAAATTAACATAAAATTGCTAAGAACTCCTTCGAAACATGCCTTCGACTCTCCACTGTGGGAGAGGTGGCTCCTCTGCCTTGTCAAAAGCATAAATGCTCCTCCTACTGCTGCTTCTCTCAAACATTAACGTCATCGATGGTTTGGTAAATGGAGCAGTGAGAATTCTATGAATGGGAGTTGTTGCGTGATTGTGCACTTTCTTAGGTTTCACAGCAGTGGAGCTCCACTTGACTTTTTTTTATTTTTTTTTATTAAGTGCAGAGCACCACCTAATGAGCCTCCATTATGCTTGGAATATGCTTTGAAAAGCATGCACAGCACAGAGCGACCTACTTTTGTACTATAGCATGTAACTAATTAGCAGATGTTGCAGTATATTGATCATATATGTGCAGCGCATGTGCTGGATGTCTGTGTACCCGTGCACCTGTTGTATGGATTGCTTTCTAGTGTAGCATAAAACCTAGATCTGCTAGCGTTTTCCTCATCAACTGGTTTATTAGATGCACATTTTTGGTTGCATGCAGTTTACAAGCGACATCTTTGGGCTTCATTTAACAGCACACTAGGTGCGAACTTGGGTCTTTTCGCACTTCCTCAGAGATGACTTTGCATGTGAATATGTATGCTATTGGCATGAATGTGTACATATCTGTGCCCTTTATTTCTCTCTCTTTAAACAGACAGGCTTTTATCACCTTTGTTAGAGGAGCCGTGTAAGTTTTTTGGTACGTATATATAGTTCCTAGGGATCATAAAAGGTAGGGGGGATGTATGTTTTGTTTTTCTTATGGTGTTCACAAACGATAACCTCAGGAAACTTTCACCCTAGTTATCTGTAGTCTAACAAGCCAAATTAGGCAGGCAGGCTAATCTGAGTAAGAAGACTCCACTAGTTGAATTCAATGGGTCTCTCTAGGTGCTCCAACTTTTATCGTGCAGTTATTCAGTTGTAGTTTTGTGAATTGATTTAGCAGTATATTTTTTAGAGAAAGAAGGTACATTTGGGAGCAGACATTAAGGCCAATGATGCGATGAAATTGTCTCACACAGCCTGGGTGTGCTGGCTGAGGTTAAGTAGTGTAGCAAGCTTATAGGCAGCTGTTTGAAAATTCCATCATCTACTGGAGTGATTTTACTTGCTTGGTTGTGCAAGAAGACATAGAAACCTTTTGCTGGTGGCATGTTTGCTGATGCATGGCCGATGCCATGACAGGAAACTGTTCATGCGTGATCTCAAGGTACGAGACACGATTTTCTTTGTGTTTTAATGCATCATCAGCTTATCCACATGCATACTACTACAATACTATAAAAACTTTTTCTCGTCAAAGTTTTCTACTGCCATGGAAGTTTTCTGGGGCTCCAAGCTCATCATAGCACCAGTGAATATGAAATTGACCCTACTGCATTGGCTAGTACTCTCTCAATTTCCTTCTTTCAACTTGATCTTGTGCCCACTCAATATATTTTTAGCAGTACATTGCACCTGCATGACCTTGTGGTTCTTTGCTACTGCTGCTTGAAGAAAATGTTGCTTAGCGTTCTATCAATATCTTTATTTCTATTTTAAACTGACTCCTGCCATCACTTGCTGAATGCGTATGTAGGCTGCAATCTGAATTCCAAGAAATTGCATGCCCTAGTAAAGCACTTCCACTTTTCTATGATTGTGTTTCTGTATCTTTCACGCTTAAAAACAGTTGCCTAGCTTTGTGCTAGAAATGTTCACTTTGTTTTTGTTTTTCTTTTTTACAGAGCCTTTCTGTTCACTATGACTGTAGTCATTATTCACGTTTTGTAGACGAATCTGCAGTAATCATTATATGCATTAAAATACATGTCCAGAAATAGGTGCCTTGTCGTCTGGCGAAGTGTCAGTTGATAATAGTAGGTTGAATGATTTATTCTGCACTTAGTTGCGGCCTTAGGCCCTGGCCAGTAAGCTTCATATGTGTCTGATGTCCTTTCTTTCTTTTTGTCTGCTTGCTTTAGTGTCTTTCTGCATTCACTTTCCTCTTTCTCTTCTTTTTATCGTGATGCACTGAAACATTTGTACGCATGTCTCTTGCCTTTTTGCGTTTATTTGTTTGAGCTGTGGCTCGTGATTTATTTTATTCGCCTGGGTTGTCTATTTAAATTTGACTTCAGTAGGGCTAGTGCATCATTGGCTAAGGAAGCATGAAAATCATTTCCTTGAACTTTATTTTAATCTTTCGGTGAAGCTGTCCTGTTCCTAGATTGGTAAGACGTCACAGCCACTGCTGTGGCAGAAATACCATGGCACTACTTGGCTTATATGCAGACGAAGTCACTTAGTATTGTAGCATGATTAATCACAGAACATCAGGATTATTTTAATCACTGCCCTTGCACATTAAGTCAGTAGTACTCAGCGTCAGGATCAGTGATGCCTAGCACAAATGTATGGGGTTTAATGTCCCAGAACTACGATCTGATTCCAACAAATGTGTGCCTAGCGGTATGCATAATGTAATATACCCCTAAAACTGATGTTCAGTGGGCAACCCTTGTTTATGTTTTTAGTATCATAGCATGCAATGACAGAAATAAATTAGGTAAGAATAAGAAGTGTTTCTGTAAAGGAAATAACCAGTCACTGCAGACCCCTTTGTGAATTGTTAATCTCATTGCACTGTGTTTTTGCCCAATGGTAGTGCTGGTCATCAGAATAACAAAGATTGCATTGTAAGGCCTTTTTAGTGATAGATCACTAATCCTATAACTGAGTGTTATGTTGCAAGTTCAGTACTTCACTGCAGCAGCTGAATGGAATGCAAGAACACACCCAGGTTACAGCCCAAGTTAGAAGTTCCTCAACATTTTGGACAAGTGCTGATAGTTACCAGTAAATTTTATTTGAGACGTGCTTATTGCTACTGTATTGATAAATTTTCTTTTTCGTGGTAATTGCAACAGAAAGTAAGTTACAGCTGAAGTTATTTGAACTGAGAAACGGATCTGAGATGTCTCATTATGCACCTCTCACAGTCTAGGCACCTCTGAGATGCGAAAGTTATTGTTAATGTTGTTGTGGTAATGTGTTATTTCTATTTTTATTCATTGTAGTCGTGATACTGATAGCTAGTACATGTAGGCCAAACATTATTAACATCACACCATGTGCAACTGTTACCTACTTGTCTCTGTGGCAACTGAAAGTATTGCTGAGCAGCTCCACCTATTAGTCACCTTTGATACCGGCCAGTACTTATATGCTTGCTGAGATGAATGTTCATTGGCAGGTTCAACAGCAACACCAAATGGGGGCTGTGTTTGCAGAAGGTGGTAGTAATGTTTCGACTTATTGGAACCATATTCACATTTCCCATGTCGCACAATACATCGGCCTCGCGTGTGCCTGTTGATGTGAATGCTACATGTGCCACCATTACCTTGGCCTACTGCCTTGCAGAAAAGCTGGTTTAACAGTTTCGAAGAGGGTCCATTGAGACTTCGTGCTAGTAGCAGCGAGTCACTTCTATTGGGAGGACTGTTGCAGTAGCAGCAGAACGCATATCGGGGGCCTTCATCGCCACTACCACCACCAGCCTTACTCTCCTTGTCTCCTTTCTCCACTGTGTTTCTGCTCCTCAATTTGTAAGGGATTCCTGCATGTTTTTCGAACTAATTTTCTGTCTTATGCTCATGCAGGGTTTGTGGGTAACACTAGGGGCTTGCCTGTGTTTGGTAGTGTGAATACGATGCAGTGAGTTAAAATATGAGACTAGCTACTTGGCACAAGCAATGAGATTGTTCTGTTTCCTATTGGAGAGTGACCTGTACATGTTACCGTAACTTCTTAGGGAGCAACTATATAACTGCAATATTTCTTCAACTTATCAAGAAAACAACTGATGCACCATGTTGGTCAGCTATGTAAAGCTAAATAGCCTGCAGGTCTTTGTGTTAGAGCATTAAACAATGGTGAATGGAAAATGTCTCTTGTGCTTTTAGGAGTGAAACATCATTAATGCATAAGAGTTAATGCATTTACTGTGTTGCCAGAACACTCGGAAGTTTGTAATACTGTTCACAAGCTATAGCTTTTTAATAAGACCTGTCGTGAGCTTTAGCTCTAATCTAAGCTGTTTGGCAGGGACAGGAGCCTTCATATTTCCAATTCGTAATGGATGGTTCATGATTCTTTGCTTGCTTTGTTTGAAACATTTTTTTCTATATAGTCCTTGAAGATTCGACACAGTGCTGTGCTGTTCTTCTACAATTGCACACACGATTACTGCCAATATAAAATCAACTCTGTTGGTTATACCGCATGTTTTGCGCCTTAGTTTGTTATTGATCTCATAATTATTGCTGGTGTAGTGCATGATTTTACTATAATAGCTTCCTCCCATGTTCACTGGTTGCTAAAATGTGATTTCCATGCAGCTGCATTCGTGTGGGTATGGCCTATTGACCTACTTACCACACTACAATCTCTTTGATATAGATTTACAAAAATTGACATCTTATGGCAGAGCACATGCTCTTAGACATTTTTCTCATCAATTTTTGGGTTGTTAAGGCCCTTTTTTCTTTTTTTCAAGCATAATGCCATAGAATGGTCACAGTATTACCCCTTTAGTGTATAAAAATGTTGTGCATATTGGCACAACCTTTATTAAGACTGGTTTTAATTATCAATAAGTGTGCTTCATATATATATTTAACTAATACTGCCACTAATAATACTGTACCGCCCCCCTTACACAATGCCCCTCGAGGGCTCTGTAAGGTACTGTAAAATAATAATAATAATAATAAATTAACACAATTTTTTTTATTTGTCAGTGTGGCATATTGAGCATCATAGTACTCGGTATTAAGACAAGACAGGAGAAATATGTGGTATGTGCACTGAAGTACTTTAGTGTGTACTTTGTCCCACTGTTAGAAGGCTTCTCTTGGGAAGGCCGAGGGCATTTTCTTTCTGCAGAGCTTTTCATTGCCAGGAGTTCCACCAGCATGACAAAGTACAGCAAGAAGGCAAAGATTTTGGCGTGGATTGTGTTACGCAGTTGCTCACCTGTCATAACTGTTTGTCCAATAATTACTTCCCAACTAAATGCTGCAACTAAAAGAAAATTCAGCTTTTTCATAGCTTTTGTGTGTAAAAATCACTTCTGTGACCACTTCTATCAATCTAGCTTGAATTCATCATGAACAGCAACTTGAAGTAGTGTGACCAAGCTTACAAAGAAGTCTTGCTAATAATAATAAAAAAAAATGATTCATAGAACATGTATCTGTGTACAGCTTTCCAAAGTTTCCTATACCACTGTAATGTCGTGAGATGCCAGATGACCTTGCAGCAAATGCATAATACCTCATCAAATGTTCATGTCATCAAACACATACGCAAGGTCTTCCAATTTAATTTTTCCTGTTAATATTATCACTTGAATGTGAGAGTGCACATACTATCTAATGAAGAGGAGGAGGGTGAGTTTTGCATATCGCCTTGACGCTACTCTGCAATTGCTGATGAAATCAGTGCATTGTCTTGATGCTAGCATGGCCCTGCAGGCTGTATTGCACTACTGCTGCCTAACTCAGTAACCATGTCTTCAGTGAAAAGAAGGGCGCTGATGAGGTCCCGTAAATTTGTGATGTCACATACACACAGCAAGTGTGCACGAAGGCTCTGGCAGATCGGTCATCGTGTGAGCCGCATGCCTCCAATGGCATATATGTGATGCGCCGATTCACCGATTGATGGTGAAGGCGCGTTGAGTTTTGCATATCTGTGCTTCGTTGGTGACTATATGAAAGAAACCCACAGATCCCGTCGTTTGTACATTTTCTTAAGGTGGTGATAAAGAACAATGTGGTTCAGTTCGCGGAGAAGGGAGACCTGAATCTTGTGAGCCGAGGGACACAGGCAAGCCCCGCTTTGTTGTGTCGTGCTGTGACGGTGACGTAAACCTGGTGGGTCGGGGCTGTCCCTTGCAGCGTCTCCTGCCCGCTCTCCCCTGAGCTCGCCTGTGAACCCACGGCCTGCCAATAACCTCTTCCTGGGCAGCTTCCCCAATCCGCATGGCACGGGGGCCTCGCCTGGCTCCAGGTCTCCCAATGGTACTCGTGTTCCTCTTTCCGAGGGTGCCACCGCCTGCCACCACTTCTCTCTACACTCGTCCCTCTTATCTTCTTTCCCTCCCACCAGCGCCTCGAAAGTCAGTTCTTGTTGCGTGAGAAGGAGTTTATTTTGCTCAATGCATGTACGTAGACGACATTGTCTTAACTGGAGGCTTTGGCAAGTGGACAACTAAGCAAGCACATTTGAAGTCTCGAAATTGTGCCATAATGCCTCTGTATGCTCTGAAGGCAGTACCATACTTCCACATTGCTGCCACGCCTCTCCTTTTTCTCGCTCCCTCGGCATATCTTCTCACTTTCTAAATGAGTAGCACTAACAAACTAGCCCAATTCATCAAGCTGATGAATTTTGAACCATCGGGAATTTTTCAGCGAATGATACGAAAGGCAGCTGCTCACGTCATTGAGGGAATACACATTTAGGTGTTAGGCACAGCATTGTGCACGTAGGGAACGCTTACACGGACCACGTTTGTCATTTGCCAAGTCGACAGGAGTCATCGTTTGTCTACTTTCTTTAGCTACAGTTATGAAACTATTGTGGCAGTCTTTTTCTATGCCACCAATATGCTAAATCTAGGTCATGGCTATTGCTTCTCTGGTTACCAAAAGTTTGCTTCGTAGCCGTAAGCTGAAGGGTCTCCAAGTTCTGGACCATTCTCTTGCTTTTGGTTTGTTCTAGCCTTTCAACAGTGTCCAATGATTTTTAGTTCCATTTTCTATCCTTCCTTTTTTGCACTTTAATGCAAAATACTTCGTGTGGGGAGTATTTACAAATTTCCAAGGAAGATTCAGATACAATTTTGATGTACAATTTTGATGTTTTCAAGATTTCATACAGAAATTTAGCTTAGTACAGTCGTTACACCGACGTCATCTTTGACACTTGGTACACTCTCTCATCTGGGTCAAGAATGTGTAGTCACACCATGGAGAGTCAATGGAGAATGGTGTTAGTTGTATGCAGAAAATATATAATTATCGTGAGGCCTTCAAGAATAGCACAGATGTAATGCTCATTATGACATATGCCATGAACTTACTCCTGGATTTAAATGCAAAGTTATTATGTGGATTCGGTGTTATCACAACATTTGTCACAATGTTAATACTACAATGCTACAAATATGTTTGTAACGATGGCACCAGTGCTGAAACTTATACTGTGACAGGAATATCATATGGAATCACACACGCGGTGTTGACGAAATCACTCGCTTGTTGTGAGCGCAACAGATAAGCACTGCTGATGTTGCCTCATGTAAATATATATGCCTACATTTTGACTCCTTCATTAATGTAAATCTTTTTTTTTTTTTTTTTTGGTCGATCCACAGTGGCCTGGTGCTGCATGCTTGGTGGCAGGTGGATTGGTGGCTCTTTCTTCTCTATGCTTGAAGCCCTATTCGTGCTTTTTTATTCTCACTGTCTTCCTCATTGTAACATTGGTGCTAATCCCTAATATAATAACAGTGATTCTGATTGTCTGCATTGCTCTTTAGTTGTCGCTTCTGTCTCAGACTTCGTTGATACGATAAAACCTTCTGTGATCGTCTTGCGGGACAAGATCTTTAATGTTTCTTTCACTTAGTGCATTCTAACTGCTTTTAATACGTGCTTCTGTCGTGTTTGAGTAACACCTTCCTTGGGCATTTTTGGTATGATGTGCTACACCAGAGAATGATATGTGTCGTCCGTTAACTATGTACTACATGTTTCTGTCAAGCTTGCTTCTGTCTTCATATTGTGTTCCATTGTTTATGTGTTCATTATTAACACTTAATTTTTAATAACTGTTTCACGTTAGCTGCATGTTATCTATAGCATTCTTAAAAGTAACATAGGCTTTTGGTCGTGACCAAACTTACACAGCCAACGTGAAACCCAACTGCCAAATCAAACATAACAACAGCGAAATGCATTTCTCATCGTAGCTTTTACCTTGGCACTTAGATACATCCATGCATTCGTTGAGAAGCACGTATGGCTGGCAATAAACTATAATTTCTCAATAGCCGCTTTCATATAGCACTGAAATTAATACAGTAAAAATGAAAAATTACTTATATGAAACAGGTGTTTCACCAGTGTTATTGCTAAGGTGCAGCCAAGAGTCTCTTACTGTATGTGGTCTGGTTCAGGCAAGCTCACCTGCCAGTCAATTGACATTCACAAATAAAAAGGTGTCGCACATAAGGTCACGTTTAAGGGAACGGCGGTGTTCTCTTTGCAAGATCAAAATAACCTGTACTCAAGTGAACTCGCACCAACTTTTATGAACAAATTAAGATCCAGGTACCTTGTACGAGTTATTTGAGTTCTGAAAACGAGAAGCCGTATGGCAGCACAAGATCTTGAACTGACACGAGGGACTTGGAGTTATTGCAGGGCACATCAATATATCAGCATATGCGTGATATCAGCATAAGTATTATAGTAGATGTTGGAATGAAAGCATGAAGAATGGGAACACCAAAGTAAGATATTGCTGGTTTTATGTGGAGATCTAAGTATAACAGAAAAAAATAAATTACACTCAAAAATGGAGGACTTTTCAGCAAATGACACTGTATGATATACACCTCTACATTTCATCTCTAAACTCTTCACTACAAAGCTTCCTTCTCTGTCCAAAGCTGGGTAAGCTTGGCTTAACTTAAAATCATGACTTAACCGGAACAATATACGAAGCTTCAGTTGAATCTTTGAACATTTGACCTTTGTTTCTAGAAGATAACTTGTAATGCCAAATTTTTGTCAAGTGTTCACACAAGAATAGCTGTACTGTTTGATGTGGGAATATGCTAACATTTAGTTTTTACAGAAAGTATATGCAGTTTTTCTGACATATTAACATATCTTCCATTTGGCTGCTATTCAGCATGATCCACATTACATGCAACTCAATGACTCTACTTGTTCACTTCCTTTCTACTGAGCTCGATGCTCTAGTTAGGAGCTCTCAATCGCTTAAGTTTTTTGCTGGGAGCATGACAGTTCATCGGTGCTCCGACAGAATCCATTACGCAACTTGTGATCTGGTAGGAACTTATATCAAAATTAAGTGCGCTGCCTAGCTCACATATATAGGAAACTCTGCATCACTACAGCAAACCGAGTTGGAGCATAGAAGAAAAAAGGTTAATGCATCGTCACTGAAACAGTAGACAATCCCAAAGGTGTCTTTAGTGAATACCAATATTTAGTGAATACCTTGTATAGGAATTCCAGGAACACTTGGATATTTTGACATAACAAATGCACTTTCCTGATTTGTGGGTTGTTTTATAGGCTTATTCGTGAGCAGATTCCTGTATAAAACTAGCAGTTGCACTGAAATAATATCAAAGTTTTCGAGGAGTTCTGTGTGCTGTCGTGCTTGCTTTGGTGCTCTGCATCATTGTAAGTTAGTATCGTGATGAATGTTTAACTCTCACAGCTTCGCAGGATATTTACGATATTATACAATGGATAATTTCACTTTGTAATGCAAGAAGCACAAGCATGATTAACAAATCAAGAGAGCATAGTCGTTTCAAAATCTTTATGAAATAACTCATTTGGAAATTATAAAGGCTGGTCGAGACAGTAGTCAAGAAATTGTACACATTATATTTGCTTCCACTTGCCTTGGGCACTTCAATTTTTTTTTTTTTTTTTGCATTTTGCATTGACTGGTAAGGTGATGGAAGTCAATAAAATAGCTCCTTACAATATTGGCTCATGCAAGCTTAGAGGAAAACGTACAGTGATAGAAGAAGGCATCATAGTGAAAGGAAACGCTTGTCTGCAGCACACATTTTTTTTGTAATTTTCAACACCTGAAATTTTGCAGGTTTAGAGTGATACTAATTTGTAACTAACTATTTTTGTACAGCCTGATTATGAACAGCAGTTTTCATTGTTTTTCTCATTTTTTATGGTATTCTATAAACAACAACATCGACAGCACTCTCATGAAGCATGTTCCTCGAGAAGGGACGAGTTACAATTAAAGACAAAGGGCACCCTAAGGGCAATAAATAGCTCTTGAGCAACCTTTGAAAATACAAAAAAAGAAAAGAGTGAATTATACTCTTCTGGTGTTTTCTGTCTTTTTGGCTCAATTCATGGTATACCAGCAGTTTGTTCACGCAATGCCACGAAAAAATAAGCTACCTGATTTGGTCTATATACGAGGGATATCAGTAGGTAATCATGTCCCATTCTGCTTTGCCATTCAGTCACATGACCATCAAGCGCGGTCAACTGATTTCACGTCCTTTGGTGTGTTTTGAACTGCACAAGCAGAGATAACAGCGTGTAACCGACAAGCACGAAATCCTGACAGGCTCAACGCTAAGTGCTGACAAGGTCCACATGTTTTATGCAAAAATTACTGGTTAGGAGAAGGCACCCGTGGAAAGAATAGTGGAAGGCGAGAAGGAAATCACTCTCATTTTCTAATGAGTGTTTGAAGGGCCCTTAAGGTGTGGGAAGGGTGCATGTGCCTGTGTGTTGCCTAATGACGGCGGTGGGGGAACGGGTGCGGCTCAGCTTCTCCACTTCCATCGCCGGTGCGGTCGCCAGCCCGGGCCCCGCGTGCTGCATCCTGCCGAGCGCTGTACGATTTCGAGCCGGAGAACGAGGGCGAGCTGGGCTTCCACGAGGGGGACCTCATCTCACTCGTGCGCCGCGTCGATGACAACTGGTACGAGGGTAGCCTCGACGGGCGCACGGGCATGTTCCCCGTCAACTACGTCGAGGTGGTGGTGCCGCTGCCGTGAAGCCACGAGCGGCTGCGCCACAGCCACTGCTGTTCTGCTGCTGGCTGATGATGCCACGTGAGTTCAGGTTCTTTTAAGGGGGGGGGGGGGGGGGGTTCTATTTGTTAATAGTGATCAGATGGCCATACAAGCAGGGGTCCTTGACTAAATTTATTGTACGAGTAGTATGTGTCACTGTAGCAATCTCGGCAAAGCCACATTGTAATGGATTTTCTGTTGGCAACCTTCGAAAAAAACCTAAGCAGATGATTTGGCACTTAGTGGTTATCACTATGACGTAGGTTCAAGAATTCCTATAACACCTAATGATGCTTTTCTTTAACCGTTTCAGTATCAAAAACAGCCATTTTTCCAACTTTCTATGGCTCAATGTAAAATTTTGCACAAAGGCTCTTTTGTGTTTGTGCCATCTCTTTTAACCCCTGTGCTGCTATTTATTAATGTACTTAGAGGAATTTCTCCAATAATATAGCCACTGATGATTATAGTCATGAAGCCTTGTCTGGAAATTTCTGAGAAATTTTGTACATGTACATTTTTTTGTTTTTTCATGTGGTATGAAAGAGTCATTAATAAGCAAACACCAGAAGTTTTTGAAAACACACATGGCAGGGAAAATATCTTCTAGTTCGGACTCTGCAGCTGTTTTGCAAACAGGTATATTTACTAGACATGTGTGATTTTTCATTTTACTTTTGCTTGAAGTGAACGCCCATACTCTATGTATCGCTCAATAAATACTGACCAACTTGTGTTGAAATGCTCTAGATAACTTGCTAAAATACCTGTTTTTATTAAACAGTTTAGCTCTTGGTAATATGCAAAATGGGTGCCGTTCCCCTGTAATATTTGAGATTAAATTAAGAACTCTATATTACGTATATTTGAATGTAATGAAAGAAAAATTCCCACTAATCAGGTCACTGTCAAAAGATAGTCAGAGCTCTATATTTCTTGCACTGTGTGTACCGTTTGCAATTATTTTTTTGTGTCCTGATTGTGCCAGTTTGCTTCACACAAATTTCTGCCTAGCAGCAGTGCAACAGATGTTTACAGAGACAACTGAACCAACAGCCAGTCTAGCTGGTCTTGGTTCCTTTTGAATCGACTGGTACAGAATGAAATACATCACAGATTACAAAGAAGAGCGTGGAGGCGGCGTTGTTCATGCTAATTTCTTTGCCATCCATGGTGTGTTTCACACTGCACAAGCCAATTCAAGTTCAATGTTTGAAGAGGTTAGAGTCATTAGACGCAAACTTTTTTTTCTCTTTTTTTTCCAGTTGTTACCACCTGCACATATGCCTGCTGTGGGGAACAAGAGGCTCTATCAACCCTTCATCTGTGTTAGCTCTGAATTCAGCGAGTCCCATCTGTTGATTTTGGTCTTACGTGTGAACGGTTCACATCCGGACTTAGTCATTTTGGGTTGTTTTACATATGCATTTTTGTCCTTGCAGCCATGCTTTTGATCATTACGTCAAACTGCCCAGTGTTGAGTGTGAAAATGTAAATATATATTATTTAGTGCCACGGACATTTTTTAGGTCATTGTTTATTTATGTTTAGACTCTGCACCCCATTTTTCCCACCCCCACTCTTATTACTTGACGAGCGTTTGTTTCGGCGGGTTGAGAAATGATGACGGTGGTATCTTTCTTGCAGACTTAAAAAAAAAATATGCCAGAAGTGCTTTTCTTAGGCACAAATCCAAAGGTTGTGTTGGTTGCAGATAACACTTCTTTTTCTTTTTGTTACATTAAAGATTGAAGCCTTTTCCGTTAAGAAGCATCATTCAACAATGAGCTTTTTGTTGTTTAGTATGAAGTTACGACACAGCCTGATGCTACCCACCGGTTGGAACCAACAAGGCTTGTCTCTTTGGCCTTTTTTGTTCACTTTGTAAATCATTGCGGCTTTCTTTTTAATCTTCCACCTCGGACTCTACGTCTTTCATGGCATCAATCACATACTACATCTCCCAATGCCTGTAGAGAGCCCCGTTGACTAGGACTAGATGTCCTGTTCTATCGAAACTTCTAGATCTATTCTATGTGGGTGTCGTTATAAAAGCTCACCGAAGATTCTACTTACTCGTACGCTTGTAGGCAATCTGCAGCTGCTCGCTCTGCTTCGTCGTCTTTTACTGTCTGCCACTGCATGTGTGTAACTCAGGGGTTCCCAAACGTTTCAGCTCGAGAAGAACTCACTCAGTGTTAAATATGTGCCAGAGAACCTCTTCACCCTCTCAGATATATATAAAAAAAGCGCAAAGACAAAGGGCTCCTCAATTCACTCCGGCACGTGGCCACACATGGTGCATATCTGCAGAGTGTTTCAACGGAGGAATCAATAGTAGCATAGCAACGGCGAAGAAAAGGTCACATAGGTAAATGGTTACAGTATCCGTACAGGTGTTCACAGGACTGTCGGAATCTGTGAAATTTCCTGCGAAAGTACCATCTACAATTAGTCAATCAAGCAGCTAGACAGTGTTGAGTGGTTATCATGCAAATGAGTTGGTACTTACTAGCTTTGCCGAGTTTTGAAAAGGTGGAAAGGAGATAAAGCAGAAGCACTGCTCTGTATATTTGCGGAAAGTTTCAAAGTTCTCCATGAAAACAGAGGTTTCAACCAAAAACAGTTTGCGAACTTCTGAGTTAAATGCTTTGTGCTCCTCTAGCGGCTGGCCTCACGATGCAGGTTTCACCTATACCCCATCCCTTAGATTTCGTCATTTCTGAGAGCATGGTTGTGAAATGCTTCCCTCTAATGTCCAGCTGGTGCTATTTGTGCCTGTATTGCAGTGAAAGGGAAGGATCATATTTTGTGTGCTGTAGGCGGCAGCCACTCCCACCATTTTATGTTTGTTTGGACTGTTCGAACCAGTGTTTGGCAGAGAGCTGGTTGAGTGCTCGTGAACACCTTGCAGCAACGGCTATGAGACAGGAGCAATAATTAAGGAAAGCGTCGTTTTAAGGGCAGTGCCCTAAATTATTCAGGCTTTCTTTTTTTTTTTCTCCCAAGGCCATGTAATATGTGGTCACCCCCTGGTACTTATTGCCTTCGAGCACATTTGCTTTGGTTGATTCAACACAAATTCAAAGAAGAGCCAAGACTGACATGAGGATAGTTGGTCCCATTTTTTTTTTCCACTCTTTCAAGGTGTCTGTGCTCCTTGTGTTGCAGTTCAAATGTACCGACTGCCTAATCATTTCACAGCACAAAGCAACGATGAAGCCTTCAACTTTCACTTTAATGAGCACAAGCTGAAGTGTGTTACAGACAGCTCAGCAGTGTGTGTCATGTATGTGTGCTGAAACAAAAAAGAAGGAATAGCTACAAATACATCGAAACATGTAAATGTAAAGAAAAAAAAAGCACCACATCATTCACCATATAGGTAACATAATTAATTTCCAATGCTTAGCTTAGAGAATGGCAATGCATTACTGCATATGGTCTTGCAATGCATATGCTTTGCATACCTATTTTAAGTGTGCATTTTTAAAGCTGATTTTTTTGTGAGAAAGACTGTTGACCACATTATTTCAGCTTTAACATACCAGCTGTCTAGACTTCAGTGAAGTAAAATATGAAACACAGGGGCATATTTAGATTTGGCCAGTTATGCACGAACTCTGGTCAAGAGATGCTAGCATAGACAGTGGATTAGACTGTTACGACAGAAAGCCGCAGCAGTTATGTATACATATCGGTGTTTACTAGTCGGCCGAGTACTGGAAAGCAAGTGTAAACAGCATTGCTGGTAACGTTCATCTGGTGACTGTATGTTGGAACCGGCTTGCACTGCATTGTTTCTTCATGTGACACTTCTTGGCAGGAATGTAAAGGTCTGTGTCATGTCTGTGACGCTATAAAAGCTCTGATGTAGTAGGCAACAGTGCACAGCTGTAGGACATAGCAGGAGGGCCACATGGTTTGCTTGAATGAGACATCTCGCTATGCAGGCATAAGCACAATGTCCACTTCTGTTTCTGTATCTCGCGAGAAGAGTAACCCTGAAATCTACACGTACTCGCATAAGCTTGCAACTGATTCGATGCACAGTAAATGCTGGTCTAGCTTAACGAGTAGCATGAATGTGGCTCGCCTCTTTGAAGGTTATAGAGTGTAAAATTCATGAAGTGCATGCACGCCATGTCCCATTTAGTCGTGCGGCTTTTATCTGGAGAAATGCATGCTTGCAAACTCGAGTGCGCACATCTGGAATTGTGCATAGCAGTGCTTGTGTTCACATCTGCACGTTTAGTTCGGCTGCGGTCGGTGTATTGCTGGAGAGGAACCGATGCATCAAGTCCGGTGTGTGACAAATGATCCCATTCTGAGGGAATGCACTACTCATCCGCATCTTTTTCTCGGTGCCTCATTTTTCATTTTCATTTTCGAATGTTACAGACATGATATAGCTAACAATATAGCTAACTGAGGACAGTGCGCTAGATGCTGGTACATGTGAAGCATATTTTAGCAGTCACCCTGTGCACCCCTTCCAGCAATATGCCCTAGTCAGCAATACTGGGGCTCCATGCCCTCTACTCGAGCTTGCTTCACAATCCGGGGCTTCAAAAGCACGAGCGGCCCATTGCACGCACGATGGCTTCTTGCCCTTAAAGGTGCACCTAATCCTTTGTGTCATCCAAGGTTTTAAAAATCCAAATACTAAAGGCAATATGCATATTTACTTCTGTTGTCTTGGACACATACTTCACACCGTCCCTGTCTCATGGCAATACGGCTTACCCCCTATCCGTTCTTCGAAAAGAAACCTTGCAGTCATGCTAAAAAAAAATAATAAAAGCATGTTGATCACTTGCTCCCAGGGGCCTCCCAAGCAGCTTCCTGTAGTCTTAGTGCCCTCCTTTTTTTCTTCCCAAGTACCATTACTCTACTGTGTGCTGAGCGGTAACCCGGCCAGCCACCAACGTAACTCGTAACCGTAACCACTGTGATCTCGATGTTGTCCTGCGTAGACCTGTATCTTTATCTCTCTCTGTCCGTTCCATGCTTGCTTCAATGTAGGAACTGTTATCAAACAGTGTGGTCCTTTTCTTTTGCTGTTGTAAAATCTTGTTAAATGTCATGCAAAGGAGAGACATTTATCCCAAATAAAAGCTGTTTTTGTTGTTCCAACAAATGAAATCTTCATTTACAGAAGAGTTGTAAAGGTAAGCAGTACTGGTTGATTGATTGATTTGTGGGGTTTAACATCCCAAAACCACCATATGATTATGAGAGACGCCGTAGTGGAGGGCTCCGGAAATTTCAACCACCTGGGGTTCTTTAACGTGCACGCAAATCTGAGTACACGGGCCTACAACATTTCCGCCTCCATCGGAAATGCAAAGCAGTACTGGTCACTGAAGTTCAATCTACACTGTGTAGATATGTGCATTGTAATGAGCGCAGACTTCCGATATGGGTTTGCATGCATATAAATGTCCGATGAAGTGGACGTGAGGATACCTTGTGCCGTAGCTCAATTGGTGGTAGAGCATCGGGCAAGTTGTCCGAAGGTTGCAGGCTCAGTCCTTGCTGGCAACAAGCTGTCTTTTCGTCCACTTTACTTTCTTGACGCCTATATTATAATTACTGTGATGCAATTAACATCCCCAATACCTTCTTTGGTTTCATGATCTGTTTGTTTTCATTGAAATTGATTCTGAAGCACACCATCGTGAAAGGTGGGGAGGGGACTCCAGATTAGTTTTGACCACCTGTGGTTCTTTGAATGCAAAGCGCAAATGGAGATGCGGTTATATATAGTAATATTTCTTCTCTGCAATGCGGTTTTATGTCAATGCCATTTTGCTCAGCTATAATACTGTTGCAACAAGGAAGACTAGCGTGCATGCTGACCCTAAACAAAAGCTTGATGTGCCGTATATGATTACTCATGAATGTTGATGCCCCTTTCACCCTCTCCCCTTCACTTTTCAAAGTTTGTAAGTGCTTGTATTGGCATTAAAAAGCTCAGGTGGATTAGAGGCTGAGGGGAACCTGAACAGATGTATTAGTGTGGCAGTGTAATGCGGTAATACATTAAAAAGACCGAAACTGCCCAGATCATGAAATGAGACTGACTGCGTGGAGGAAAGCTTGTCCCTCATAGCGACTCAAACCAATCCTATTTTTCTGCCGAGCACTCGAGTTATATATTTATTTCTTCATTGGAAATCACCGAAAAAGGGCCTGTGGTGCCACCCAGTGGCAAGAACTTCAGTGATTCGTTGTACCCTGTCACGTGACCATAGATTAGTGTACGTGGTCAACAGTTTTGTTGTCAGTATTTAAATATTGTTTGCTTCTTCGTAGAGGATATTCATAAAATGTACTACATACAGGACTGTGTTAGTAGTATAAATCGAGGTAGTACTGCTTTCGCATAATGTAATGATCCCATGCTCGGCACGTCTTCAGCAACTTTTCTGCATGCTCATGAAACTATGCACTGAGTTGTCAGGTTGCCAATATTTTGGAGTGACGTAGTTTTTCTACCTAAACTTTGTCCCAGAAATTACGTGTACGCTATTCGGTACATCTGCGCTATTGCGCAGTGACGTTTACAGTGGCTTGGCTCGTGTGTCAAGAGAGTGCTACCGGCATTGCTACCGGCAATTTTCAGCGTTGCTGAACAAAAAAGGGCATCGGTGTTCTGAACCTTCCAGATCGAAAAAAAAAAAAAATTGGCAAATCCCACGTACAGTGAAAATCGATATGTGAAGCACAAAAGAGGAAGGTTGATATGTCACTTTAAAATCGGCACAACGTTACGAGGCGGACGTAAATTATGCCGTACATGACTTCCATGTCATGATTATCATGTTTGCGCCTAGCATTCATGTTTGTCGTTCATTCATAAACTTCATGTAATCCCAAATTTGGTATATTTGAAGCTAGCGAACGGCCGTGAGCGCACTATGAGCGTAGCATGTAGTCATGCTTTATATGACACGCATGTCATGATTATCATATTTGGATGTGTCCTTCAGCTTCGTCGTCTATTCATGTCGCGTAATACCAGATTAAGTATATGTGAAGCTAGCGAAACGGCCGCGAGCGCTTCATGAGCATGTAGTCATGTTTTTACATGACACACATGTCATGATTATTGTGTTTGCACGAGCCCTATACCTTCGTCATCCATTCATGTCACGTAATACTAAGTTTGGCATATGTGAAGCTAGCGAAATGACCTGCAAACGTACTATGAGCGTGGCGTGTAGTCATGGCCTTCATGACATGATTTCCACGTTGGAGCTTGTCACTTATGTTTGCCATGCAGTCATGCCATACCATACCTGTTTTGCAATGTCACTGCAAACGAAACCACAGAAAGAGCAGCAAGACCACGACATGTAAATCATGACATACACGTCCTAATTTTCATGTTATGACTAGTCCCTTATGCTCGTCATACATACCAATTTCGGTATAGATCCAATTATCAAAACGGCCAGGAGAGTTAAAAGTCGTAGTTGGCTATATAGATAGATATATGGTCAAACTCGAAAAACGCCAGGCCTGCGCAGAACATGCAGCACACTCACAGCGAAAGCTAGAAGAGCGGCCTTTCAGAGTTTCTTCTAAACACTCTGTGGGATGCTACAAGCACACTGTTAGGTACCCACTATGCCATAAATAATCATACATTTTATGTACTAGTAGGCCAGCATTCACTATACCATCTTAGTCATTCTTTGAAGAAGAGTGGGGTCTGCTACACACTTGTAAGGAATTTCGTGCAATTCTTTTATGCAGTGGCTGACGACGATGAAGAAGTACACTTGGAGTGGGTATGCACCACAGTTAATAGGTGATCAAGAACAAGTTTTCTAATGGGTAGGAGCGTTGAATGACTAACTCGTTACGCAATTCGGAAAAAAATCTTTTGATGTTCTGAAACGCTTTATTACTCATATTAACGCAATTCCTTTCCCGACATCAAGCCTGCCTAAGGCCAGTTTAGAAACGAGTTCCAAGCACTGGCGTGGCTCAGTGGTAGAGTACTGGGCTGGCATGCAGCGGACTCTGTTTCGAATCCCATTGTGTCATTTGTGTTTATTTGCTCAGTTTTTTTTTTTTTTGTTCCATACTGGTTACGAACACTGGTGACGGCGGACAACTACAGTGCCGTGCGTGACCCGTGTTCTGATCTCATAACAGCTTTCGCTGTAAAATGTGTTTCAAGCATTTAACGTATTTCAATTCGAGGCTGAACACTCTGCATGAGGTATTGCACCGAAAAGCAATGCTATGTCGAGCCTGTTACAGTAGTAATGCATTCTAATAGACACTATACAGATGGCTAACATTTCACAGGGGATGGAACAGTCGATGAAGCAGTGGCTAGCTCCTCGTGCTAATCTTGACTGTGCAACAAGACACTTATTTAGCATACGGTCCAGGCTCACGGCTTCTCCCAGCAATTGTTTTTTTTTTTTTTTTAATGTGTTGCCTGGAATAATAGTGTATATTTTAATTTATTCACTTGTGCTTACAAATTGAACTTGAAGTTTTTATGTGCCAAAAGCACATTGTAAAATCTGTACATTTTTTATTTTGGTTATAAAGGGCAGCTTCCTGCATTTTGATCCTGTCAAAATGTAGCCATCACCATGGCCTGGGAGTGCGGTATCAAGCAAACAGTGCAACTCCTCAGCCACTGGGCTAACGTGGTGAATATTGCAAAGAGAAAACGTACAATACATACAGCAATATATGTACACACATTTATTTTACACATGTATGTAGCAATAGAGGCAAACTGTGCTTGGCAGTATACCATCACCCCTCTAATTTTTCCATGGGTTAGACTATAGTTCAGGTTAGACTTTCTGCCATATGAAAATGCAATTATTACTACTTAAACGATTCTGAGCAAGCACTACAAATCAGTTCAAATTTGAGTATGTAAACACATGATACACTGAAAAGCAGAAAACTCAACTTGTGCATCGCGGGGTTAAAAGAAGTTTACACACATTGTTACATAATCGGAGTACATCACAGCACAAGTCCACGAACTAGTCGTACATGATTTGTGTACACATTTCCGGCGAGTCGACAAAAAGGCAACTTACATGGGCAGTGCTGGAGCAAGATTTCTGAGCGAAAATTAGGTCAGCTCATGAAGATTTGAAAAATTTTTGACACTAGACACTTGTAATCCAAGAGCATTTGGTCTAACATAACAAAGTGAATTAGTCGCTACAATACATATCCTAATTTTCTCACTAAAGTGTTTGCAGGTTTCTAGGTCCAATACATTTGAAACAATTATTTTATACGCATCCTATCTAAAGTAAATGTTGTGACAACTGCAGCACAGAGTTCTGCCTCTAGTTGCATCTGACAGAAGTGTAACACTTCCCATAGGTCCCACGATTAGCAGTGACCACATTTGCGAATTGTGAACACTACGAATGCCAGTCACATGCACAGAAAGGTCTTGAAATTTGTATTTTCTAGTGACAGTGAGTGGACGGCAGTGTGCTTTGTGTAAGTACTGTGTACACTTGTGTGCCAAAGCAAGCCAAAATACTGTGAGCAGGCACAGTGGACTGTGTAAAAGAGGACATAATGTATGGCTACACCTATGTATAGTTGATACGCTCATAGGCAAAATCATGTGACTAGAAAAACAAGTTGGCAACTACTACAAGCAGTGAGGAGATCTTCCATTCAAAGCATAATTGGATTTGTGCGCTCGGTTACAATGATTGAGGATTTTTGAAATATGATTGAACAGTTATGCAACAGTACGATCACAATGCTTCAGTCAGTTTCTCGGCCAACTTTTACATGAAGGAGATGGCTACCACACGGCTTCTGGCAGCTAGCTACTAAAAAATAGAGTATTGTCACAATGCAGAGCTTGAACATGAAGCTTTACATCAGCTGCAACCAACCAACAGAGAAAAACTAACACTTGTAGAGCACCTTTACATGTGTTCCTAATTTGCCTGCAGTTTCTAAGCTAGTTTGAGAGGTGTAAGACACGGCATCGTGTTGTAAGCACGTTGACAACAGTTTCACTTCTTTTTATGAAGGTGCCTAAGCACCTCATTTGGTGCTACCTCTGCTAAAACCAATGGTCACTACAGTGTAAATGGCTTGCACCTCAATAATTCCAATGCTTCAAAAAAAAAAAAAAGTTAAGATCACTGAGGATATCTACACCTGTAGGTGACAATCCACATTCCCACAAAATTTTTTTTCTCTTCACTTTTGCAAGTTCATTTCATATATATATGTAAGCCGAATGCACAAAAGACTGACTGTACTATCAATTGCATTTCACATGCATTTACAAACACTCGGGTATCGCACATGGTGGCGTGATATATGGGTAAGAAATGATGGAGCACAGTAATTGTGAAAGGAATTACCTATGATGCATGGATACTAATATCTTCCACAAGCTTGTTAAACTTGAGTTTCATGGTCAGTTGTTCGCAGCAAGTAATAGGCAAATTGTCTCAAGATGTAAAAGGTGAGCTGGAATTGTGGATGTGGAAGTTGACTACATACTCTGCATTGGTTCTTTGTACACTTATTGCGAAAGGGTCATAAGGGTGGAAGGTGAAAGCGACAAGCCGTCGTGCCGCTGGCGGTGCATTTCGCCCCTGCAAACCTGCATAGATCTTGAACTTCAGGAGGCCAGAGTCCCGTGCGTAGAAGCTGCACAAATTTCTGCACTTCAGAATACAACCACATGCAATCATGCAAGCAAGTGCTTAAACCTGGATGCAACAAACTTCAAAGTAAAAAAATACTCAATATAACAATAATATCAACAGGCAAGATTTACTAAAAAGTAACATCCCCTACACTTTCCTAAACTTTCTTGTCAGTTATAATTAACGAAAAATTGCACGTCTTTCATTCATTCGCGGCAAGGGTCTCATTCTGACAAACTGAATGCCTTATGGTAGTAAATGAGGAATTATTTGTCAGCCTCCATCTCGTAGAAAGATTACATGCTTAGTGGCGCCATCCGGCAAAAAGAAAATCGTTCCGCACTTGTATGTTAGTTCTAATTAGTGTTGTGCCAAACAAACAATAACAAGCCTTTAAAATTTCCTTTTTTTTTGTTCAATGTAGCCATATATTTATACACTTCCATATCCTCCTCTTTTCCAAGAATGAAATAATGAGAAAAGCTTTTGTGAAACAATTATTTGGCTTCCTGCCCTTAAAAATGAACAAAAAAAATACTGAACTCTAAAAATTGGAACAGTTGCCTCAAAATGTGATTGTGCCAGTTTCAGTAGTCCAGAGCTTTTGAACTCTCTATGATTGCGCGCAACAAAAGTATCCGACCGAAGTAACTTTCAATATGATCTTCGAGGCGTTTATAAAAGACTCGAGGGGTGTATTATAGATGTCGTTTATGCTACAACTAAGAAAAAAAAGCTTTCACTTATAACGAGAACGCAGTCGAGCGCTCGTGCAGTATGCAGCCATTTTCGTTCGCTTGTTTCCAATATGACTGGACACACGGCGCCACTTCCCGGAGCTTGGCGAAAGCAACTCATGCTTCTTGTGAAAGGACAAATTCGGACACGCCGATGTCAAATTATGGTGACGTGTAGCCTTTAAAACTTTGGTACCTAATGGGGTACTCTGGGACCAAGGAGGATATACCTATCTACATAATATGAAGAAGCATGCTTAGCCGCATTCACGATATCGCATCGATATGGAATCCACGGAATGTCATCATGACGCAAATATTTATCGAAAGGTGCATGACTGTCGCCTATTATTTTTTTGTTCGAAAGATTCTCTGCAAAGTTGTATTTGCTAAGCATTCAAAAGAGCATCAAATACACATATGCAGTCATGTTTGATTCTGGTACTGCAGCAAAGGTGTTAGTAGATTTGTTGTCCAGGAAGGTAGAGTCACCTGGCATACAAGGATTTCGTTTGGCATCCCTGAAGTTAGACTAGGGAAGAGTCAGTAAGGCTTAGTGTACATTTGATCCCATCAAGAGTTGCAACATGCTCCTCGTGGCCAAAGTGGCACCTACACTGTATGGTGATGCCAACATAGAGAACAAGTTAGTGAAGCAAATACTTCACTTTTATTTTCCTTAAATCTCCCAGTGAGATATTCCATAAGAGGTGGGTTAACAAAAAAGTTACTGTTTTGACTAATGGTATTGTAGCAGCGCGAGAAGAGAGACGTGAGATGACGTCGAAGGCGGCCGATTGGGCCGTGCCGATCTCGCCACTTTATTCCAGGCCTGAAGCGGAGCCAGGCTACCAGCGTCCGCCACGCCAGGCGTGTGAGCTCGTTCTAATCCTCGCGCAGCTAGAGCTAGCATCAGCTGCGCGAGAGGCGCGGCGCGGTGATTGAGAAATGATGATGGTGATGATGGCACTACAGGGCTCCCCCCCTAGCGCTTTGCGCGATTTTGAAGGCATATGAAAAAGAAAGAGAGCGATAAATGCTATATACATGAACGGCAATCCATAAAGTGTTCATTTGGCAAGTCCAGGTTGTCAACGTTTATGGGACATCAGTAGGCAGTGTGTCTCCAGTGGGCGACTCTGGGAGAAGCGCAAGGGACGAAGAAGGAAGTGCCGGGTCGCTGTGTTCATAGACACGTCCATCCCACAATTACGCGGCGGGACCATTCGAATGCGCACCCGCCGTTTCGAGTAGACGCGGCTGACAAACGTGCCCACAGCTGGAACTGTGGAAGGGCGCTGAAGAGCTAGCGCCGGCAATGTGGGCGAAATAGTGTGAAGGATCGGAACGCACCCATGATGACCGAGCACTGAAGTTTCACAGCCACAGCGGGGTCTCGGACAGCGCACAGGGTGCCGAGCATGCTGTCGACGAGGAGCAGCGTCGCGGTCGTGCTGGTGCGGACGTCTCTGTCGATGAAACACCGGCCTCCGTGTAGCACTGCGACCGGCATGCCGGGGCGTGTGGCCGAGTCGACGGATGCGGAAACGCCGTGCATTGCGGCTAGTCATGTGCACGGCAAGTGGTTGGCCCTTGCATCGGGAAAACCTCGTAGGTGTTTGCGCTGTCTTGAAGGCCAAGGCTGCAACACATGACTGTTTAGCAAGAGGCTTGAAAAAGGGCCTCTCTGTATTATGCCGAACGTGATGATTTCGTTGGCATACTATCAAGGGCGGCAGATATGCAGTTGGACGCACGTCGTCGCTGTTGTTACCAACGAGCCTGTGTGGCGGACTGCATCCGGCGCCAAATGCTCTGGGGAATAGTTGTGAAGCTCAGAAGATGTGAGCTTTGATGGAGGATCGGGTGGCACACCTGAAAGACCATCGGTTCTCCGCGCATGAGGGTTGGTGTGCAGGTCTGCATGATCGATGACAACCTCTACAGCATGTGTGGCATATGTAGTCTCCACAGGCCTTGGGCCTCTCCAGCACTGACACCCACTTGTCGTCATAGCTGAAGAGTGCCAGGTCTAGGTAGGGACTGTTGCTGTACGACTGCGAGCTGATGGGCAGCTGTGCCAATAGGCGCTTGACTGCCTCCGTCTGGCCCCCATAGCGAGCATTCACAATGGTCTGCTTGAACCTGGGAATCGTGTGAGGACAAGAACTTGCACTGAGATACCTGAGAACTTATCTTGACGACGAGCTGTAAGTGTACAAACAACCACCTAAAACAACTAAAACGCTCAATCTTTAGTACACTCAGATGTTTGGTACAAAGGATTTGACAAGTTACACCATTGCTAGCATAAAATAGAGCCCCAGAAGTAATACCACCTTGCACGATCATTAATTACTGCTTCCACTAAAGCTATGCATCACGCACTTAGTTGCTTAATGCTGTTGAAAAGCTACACATTGTCGGAAGCAGGAACAAAATTATTTACAGGCCACACCTCTTGCAGGCTTAATGAATTTTCGGTAATGAGCATTCCTGATATCACAACAGTGTTTGATAATATTTCCACTATATGAAAAATTTTCTAGCATTCAGGCATTACTTAGGTTGAGAATATTGCCACATATAATTAGGCTTTACCCACCTGCAATGAAAATATATGAAAATTCTCCGAAATGACTCCTGTACTGAAGATTAACATTTGGAGACATGCAATAGCCTTGTACACGCACTGTGAACCCCACACTCAGTTTGTGCAACCAACTCACCTCTGTTGTACTAGCCGTGCGTAAATGTTGTTGGATGGAGAACAGGTTAGCTGGGCGTCCGAGTGGAGCGCCGCATTGCGCAGTAGGTCGCTGAAGTTTTCGAGCAACTCGAGCAGCTCCTCCGAGGTGTTTTCGTAGACTGCCAGCACCTCAGTGGTCACTAGGTTGTAAACCACGAAGAAGGACGGTTGGGAGTTTGGGTCCGAGAGCCGGAACGAGACCACATCTTCACTGGCATACTTGAGCAGCAGGTGTCGTTCGTCCAGCAGTTGCATCTTCCACAGTCGCAGGTCACAAAGCTGGTCAAAGTGCTGATAGAACTTGCGCAGTGCTGTTGGGTTCTGTTCAGCTTCAGCCTGGAGGAGAAAAGAGCACAAGGGAAACAGTGACTGAAACCGCTTACGACACAATACCAGCAAACAAGCCCAAACTGATAAAAGTGTCTGTAGCACACACAGCCTGGTCAGCAATAAAAGGCAATTTTCGTCAGGACACAGTCAAGTGTTGCAACATCACAGATTATTACATTTGTACGAGTGAAAGAAAAACTGAAAATCTGACTTCAAGGCAAAACTGAGGACAGCTTGGTTGAATACCTAGCAAATCACTGAAGATGATGAAAGGACAAGATGCCTCATGAGCACGCAGGAGTCGTAGCTTTGTTCAAGGCTTATATTAAGGCCAGCAGCACCTTCACTCCCCACAGTGGGGGGCAATGAAAATACCCCCACCTCTTTCGATAGACCGCCCACCGTGCCGACTGACCCCTTTGACATGCGCACCTGAGGAACAGGAAAAGGAACAACTGTGCACGTTGTTATTTAGCGCCTCCCACCATCTGGCTACGTAAAAAGGAGTTCGGCCTTCTAGTTTCAAATTTAGATAACCAACTTCACTGCTGATGCTAGAAAACAAGAGCCCTTGCTTTTCTTAATGCATTATAGATGCTGGTGTTGATGTAGTGTTCTCAGCGTCACTGCAATTACTGGGCCTGTGCAAAAAGGTGAATGGTGCTAAGAAGCATACGTATTCATGCAAAATCAGGCACCATAATCCCTACGTCACATGCACGGAAAAGGTTATCGCTCTCGTGCCTGAAACCAGGGTTGGGTCTGTCTACCTCCCACCCCTGCTGTGGGACATTTGAAAGGACATTTGGGATGCTAAACCAGCACGTAGTTTAGGCTCAAACTTATGTGCTCAATGAAGCTATTCATGTATGTTGTGTTGTCTCTTCAAATTACCTGACGATACAGATGCACCAGCAGGCGGTGCTTGAGTGAATTAAGAGTGCGTTCGCAGTATGGTCGCTGCTCGCTTCTGCCAGCTGCAAGGAATGCTGACGACACGAGCAGCTCATCGTCCTCATAGCAGAAGCGCCCCACAGTGCGGACATCAACGAAATGACCTTCCTTTGTGACCTGGGCAGCACAAAAATGAGAGAGTGCGTGAGAATTCTAGTTTTGAGCTTATATTTCACTAACAAGCACTAAAACGATGGCAGTTACATGACTTCTGTCAGAGTCAACTGAAACACTTCATGCTACTGGATTTGTTTACATATTTGCACAATTCATTCATGCTGTTTCATAAATGATTGAAATTCAAACTGAGCAAGAAAATGCATGCAAAATGATGAACCAAAAAATGGATAGAACTTCCTTTTTCTGCATTTTTCTTGCACTGCTTGAATATTTAGCATGTGTTTGTACCAACTAACCCAAATGCCTGCTCTTGTTACATACAGGTATTTTCTGCTTGTGCTCTGTGACTCTTCATAAGTTACTCCTCATTGCTGACTTTTTTATATCTGTCTTCAAATGTCAATGTTTCAATATGTTTGAATATTACTGTCAGAGGCATTTTATGATACTGAGAAAGGATCACCACAGCATGTGAGTGTACTGAAGATATGTTATTGTGGTGCATAGAAGTATCCTTTAGATTGTGAGAACAATTTCAGCCTTAGTTCTAGGCAGACTATGACATGAAGACTATGACATCAGGCAGAACTAAGGTGCTTGCATAGTGTTTGGGATCCTCAAATCTCTTGAACTGTAAGTGCAAAATAAAGCAACCTTTCAGTTGTAAAAGAAATTAATCGCGACAGTTCAGCCAAAACAAAGGTTGTCAAAACAAAGCTTTCTAATTCTAGTCATGTCAAGAAGGCTGCTAGTTAAAAGGAGCAAAAATCCGAACTAACATAGGCAAGCGGATTGGGAAACATCCACGGCAGGAAAAAATTCTTCCATTGCTGGAGGAACAATGCCAAGTCCTAGGACCAGCACTGCCTCTAGATGTCATTGTGCAAATAAGCAATGATAAACACTGCCAAGGAGGAAACCTTTGAAGAGGATGTCATTGAGCATCTGCGGTATTAAACCATTCCCACCTTCCGTTAGCTCTGGCCCATAACTAAAAGAAAGCCGATTCAAACAAAGTTTACTAACTCTTCTACAGATAGCACATAATGTAGCAAGAGAACATGAGTGTGAATCAACTGCAAGAGAACTTCTTGAGCAGTGCCCGACCACGGACCAGAGCGGCTGTGTTGTGTTGTGGGGCAGGGGCCAACAAAAGACCACAAAGGGTCAAGACGTGCCTATTCTATTAGTGCCAACGTTTTTGGCTAAGGACTTAAGAGCTTGGTCTGGTAAGCGTATGTCAAAAAGATGCCAAATTTTGAAATTTCATGAGGCTGCTAGGCACTCGCCCGTGCCAAATTTTGAAATTTCATGAGGCTGCTAAGCACTCCCCTGTTCCGGCCAAATGAAAATGTGGAGGATGGCATGTGCACGCTGACAGAAATAATGCCAAAGTCTTCACAAGGTTTCGGGAATATTCTGACACAATGTAAATACCTTGAATCTACAGACGAATAACTCGAGCAAGTGGCCTTGCAATTTTGCAATGAATGCCAGTGCATTATTCCCCCAAAACATGCGACGTTCACTAAGATACGTTAGAAAAGGTTTCGAAGCGTGGTCAGTCCCAAACAATGCCTTTTGACTGTAGTCAAAAGAAGCGATTGTAACAGTGAGAATGGCCATGGACAGAGTCGATGCTCTCCCTAACAAGAGAAATTTGATTTTGGTAGCCATGCAGGGCCGTCTCCAAGATTTGCATCTGCAGTATCACAGATGTGATAAAAAAATTACAGCACGCTGGTTTGTGCATGCTGTTTGACTAACATTGCAGTTCTAATTTGCCTTCACGAAAGGCTAGAAGTGCTCACACAACATTTTCTAAGCAGCTTACCCTGGTGCGTTAACCGTAGTATCTCATAATAACTGCAATCACCCAGGGCCCACATTTTTACAAACACAGTTTGAATTCTTCCGAGTGTTTAGGTTGGGACCATTTCTTCCCACATAGTGCAACATTCTTCTTGGTACTTGACATTCTGGAGCATCATTTTTTTTACACCCCACTAACCTTGAATATGTGGACAGTCTGGTGCTGCACTGAGAGAACCGCCAGTGTGTCGCGGTAAAGGTAGAGTCCCTGATTGTGAGACAGAAAGATCTTGTCCGTCTTGAATGTGCGTTTGTCCTTGAGGGTGCCGGTGACCATATCGACAAGGTGCAGCGAATAGTCCTCCAGGGGAGAGCGGGGACTCGGAGACACCGACTCGTTGTTGCGGTGCATGTCCCAGAAAAACGGATGCGGTTCCTCGGGAACATACATGGCTGAGCCCACGATGACATGCCGACAATCGTCAGTGAACAAGCTGCACTCGCGATTCAGCTGCTCACCGCCGTTTCCCGACACGTTCACAATGTGACGAAGCCGAAAGAACTCGCTGAAAATGGTGCTCCGCACTTGGGCCGACTCGGCCTCCGATCCCAAGTGGTCTCCACTGAATCCCCTCAAGAGGTGGGCAGCCGCACAGGGACCGCGGTACCAGTAAATCTCGATTGAGGTTTGGTCAGACGAGAAAGCCACGAGGTGCTTCCCGTCGGGCGAAAATTTTCGCAGGAAACACGGTGGCTTTTCCACGTTGACGACGGTGAAGTTAGGACACGCATTTTGGTGGAGACGCCGAGAGACGTGCAACGGCGACACGTTCTGCTTGGCGGCGTAGATTTCGCGGTGCTGTAGCCGCAAGATAATGTTCTGTGCCGGAATCTTGGGAATTCTCGGCAAGTCCTTGTCATCACGGACTTTACAGGCATTACAGTCAAGTGACATCTGTGCAGCCGCATTGATGAGATATGCCGGCCGCCCGCACCCGCAACTCTGCCCGTCCTGAGAGGTCCTGTGCCGAACGACGAGTTTCTCGTGGTTAGACATGTTGATATTCTCTATCACTGCTTCCGCGCACACAGCTTGAAATGCAAAGAAGACATGCTGTTATGTGCACCATTCCTTAAACGTTCCGCGGGTAGCACGAGGCTCTATTTGTTTACGCACTGTTTAAACGCTTTCCGCGTCTCCCGATATCCAAGGCTCGGGGCAATGTCTACGCATCTCAGTTTACTTATTGTCGAGAGTTTCGCGCGTTGATGCTTTTAATAGTTGACATATTCAAATAGGTTTTTCGTCTTAGATGCACATCCTCTGACCTGCCGTACGTAGGCACGCGGTCATAAGCAGTCCGCGAAAACCTCCGTTACCTCCGTACAATGCCTCCGTACCACCTCCGTATAGTTCACTATACACCTCCGTACACGGTGCCTCCGTACCAAAAAAAGCGGGCGCCATGACGAATGACGTCGTTGGATTGGATTGGCATAAAAATGAATTCAAAAAGCGAAAATGAAGTCAACTGCAGTGCAGTCCGCGCCATAATTTTATGGTCAGCGACAAGTTCAGCCATTGGGAGTGATAAAAATTAATTTTAATTAACTTGATACATTTATACTTGTACCGAGAATAATTACAAATACGTAATTGTTTTGATTCGCTTTGTGTCGTTTACACCAGTCGTCTCCGGTGTTGTGGTGTTGTTGGGGTTGAAAGGAGGGTAGTGGAGAACAACTGTGTGATCAAGGGTATGGTGGCTTCTAGCCACCATATCAAGGGTATGAGCCGGCAACTCGGATACAGCGTAATAGAAGTGAACCAAGACGTGTACGAGCCCGGCACTTGCCCCTTTGCACAGGATGGCATTCACTACAGTTGTGCGACGGGCAGGAGGGTCGGTAATAGAATGGGTCGTCAAGCTACAGCGTTTTTAGGGGGACCGAGAGCCCTGAGGCCAACAGTGTAGCCGAAGACGGTTCTAAAGGGGCACAAATATTCAAGCCACACGGAGTCCGTGGTAGAAAAAATCGACGTAAGCACAAGGGCCGAGCTAAGTTAGACGTAGGCTATATTAACATGCGGGGTGGCAGGAATAGGTTAAAGTGGGAAGAGATGAAGAGCAGTTGAGGCAGGAGGAGCTGATAGGTATATGGGTTTGTGGAGACACATTTTCGGGACATGGAGCAACCACCTTGCATATTCGGACTATGTATAGGAATATTGCAATAAAGAGAAGGCAGCAAAAAGGGGTGTGGAATTGGTGCATTCATACATAAACGCATGGGTAGGCAAAGAGTCAAGCAGGGACGCATGGAACATTTATGGTTAAGAGGGAAAGTAGCTGGCGCAGATGACACTCCTTGGTTTGGTGTACTTGTGGACGGAAGCAAAGGCCAGAGAGGAAAACCAGGCAATGGTGGAGTGTATATCGAAGGACATTGAGGAATTATGAGGAGAGTGTGACATAATTATTCTAGGAGACATGAATGTGCACAGAGATATAGATTGCTATTTACCGTGTGCTTACACGAGGTTTTCAGAAGCCTAGAATGGGAACAGTTAGGGATAAGAGTTAATGGAGAGTACCTTAGTAACCTGCGCTTCACCGATGACATTGCATTGCTGAGTAACTCAGGGGACGAATTGCAACTCATGATTACGGAGTTAGACAAGGAGAGCAGAAAGGTGGGTCTTAAAATGAATCTGCAGAAAACGAAAGTAATGTACAACAACCTCGGAAAAGAGCAGCGCTTCGAGATAGGTAATAGTGCACTTCAAGTTGTAAAAGACTATGTCTACTTAGGGAGGTAATAACCGCGGAGCCAAAACACGAAATCAAAGTAACTAGAAGAATAAGAATGGGGTAGAGCACATTTGGCAAGTACTCTCAAATTATGACAGGTAGATTGCCACTATCCCTCAAGAGGAAGGTATAACAGCTGTATCTTGCCGGTACTTAGCTACAGAGCAGAAACCTGGAGACTTACAAAAAGGGTTCAGCTTAAATTGAGGACGACGTAGCGAGCAATGGAAAGAAAAATGGTAGGTGTAACCTTAAGAGACAAGAAGAGAGCAGAGTGGATTAGGGAACAAACAGGGGTTAAGAATATCGTAGCTGAAATCAAGATGAAGAAATGGACATGGGCCGGGCATGTAGCGCGTAGACAGGATAACCGCTGGTCGTTAAGGGTAACTAACTGGATTCCCAGAGAAGGCAAATGGGTTAGGGGAGACAGAAGATTAGGTGGGCAGATGAGATTAAGAAGTTTGCGGGTTATAAATTGGCAGCAGCAAGCACAGGACCGGGTTAACTGGCGGAACATGGGAGAGGCCTTTGTCCTGCAGTGGACGTAGTCAGGCTGATGATGATGATGATGATGATGTTGTGAGAGGAATATGGAAAGGGGTCATGGTTCCTGGGCTGACGACCGGCAATGCGGTCTTGTGCATGAGATCAGAAGTTCAAGCAAGATTAGAAATTCAGCAACGTGGAATAGGTATCATAGGCAATGGTAGAGTGTCTATCAAAGGACATTCAGGAGTTAGAAAGAGAGTGCGAGATAATTATACTAGGAGACACGAATGCGCACATAGAAGATATAGATGGGTATACCGACCCGACAGGTAAAATCATCATGAATATGTGTGAAAGGCTTGATTTGATCATTTGCAACAGTACAGAGAAGTGTGAAGGGCAAATAACATGGGAGGTAGGAAGGCTGCAGTCGACGATAGATTATGCACTGATGTCACATAGGATGTATGATAAGCTCAGGGGAATGCACATAGATGAAGGTGGCTCCAGAAGTCTGGGTAGCGATCACAAACGTATCAAGCTAAGTTTTGGAAGAGCAGTGAAAGTGGGAAGGAGACAAGATGAGCAACTACAGGAAAATTTTTATCCAGAAAGGCAAATTGAAATAGCCACTAAACAAATTGAGAAAGTAATCACTGAGGATAATAAAACAGTGTGGACATACACGAATCTAATTAGACTGTTTGGCTAGAGCTTGCTAAGGCACGTGACAAGTCACCCCGAAAAAGAAGACACAAACCCAAAAGTTAGTGGGATGAGGAAGTTAAGAGGGCCATAGCAAAACGTCGGGAAGCCTCTTGGGAACACAGACATGCTAAGCAGCGGGGTGAACCGACAGATGATGTTTAAAGAAAATGGGACATCTTTCTAAGCTGTAGAAGGGAAGCATCCCTCCTGATCAATGAAAAGATTAGAAGAAAGGGGGCTCAGTGGCTGGCAGAAGTACATAAAAAGAATAAAAAGGCAGCTGCAAAATTTTGGAACCATTTAAACTCCCTAAGAAATGAGACAATTAAGCCTAGAACAGAGGTTTATAACTACAGCTCAAGGTGCTAGGCTAGAAGGGGACGAAGCTATTGAATATATATAAGAACAAGGGTGACAGAAAAATTTCAACAAAGAAGTGCCTTATGCACCACAGTAGACAAGGATGGATCAAGTAGCGCAATGGCTCCATTTTCACAACGAGATGTGGAAAAGGGCTGAGAAGAGGGTTCCTAGTAGTACATCAACAGGCCCAGATGGCATTCCAATTATGCTGATAAAGACATTGGGTCCGAAGTCTAAACAGACTTTGAGAGAGGCAGGGAGCAAAACAATAATCGATGGCGAAGTCCCCGATGGATGGAAACTTAGCAGGATGAGCATAATCTACAAAGAAAAGGGGGACAAAGCTGGCATAAATAACCACCGTCCTATAACAGTGACATCAGTGGTCTACAGGCTGGCAATGCAGATTATAAAGAAAGGAAAGACTGCAGGCATTGATAGAGGGTGAGGGGGTGCTGGGGGAACTGCAGAATGGATTTCGAAAACACAGGAGGTTGGAAGACAATCTGTTCTCACTGACGCAGTGCATCGAAATAGCAGGGAAGGAACACAGGCCCCCGTGGCTAGCATTTTTGGATATCAAGGGATCGTATGATAGCGTGGTTCAAGAGGACTTGTGGGGAATACTGGACACACTAGGTGTGGAAGATGGAATCACTAATCTTTTAATGAATATCTATAAAAGTAACAAGGTAGTTATAAAGTGGGAAAAACAGGTATCCAAGCCCACAGAGGTAAAACGGGGGCTTAGGCAGGGGTGTCCTCTGTCACCCTTGTTATTCATGACGTACCTACAATGATTAGAGGCCAAATTAGAGGGAAGTGGACTTGGCTTCAACCTCTACGTCAAACAAGGAAAACTCATTGAACAGGCACTACCAGCATTGATGTATGCAGATGATTATCGGTCTCAGCTTCCTTCACCTTCTTATTAACCGATAGTTCTTTTTGGTTTGGCCCCCTGCTGTTTTCCAAATATTTACCCGTCAATTTTTTGGTTTGCTTCCTCCATTTTGTATCGACATTCTTCGTGTACAAGTAGCTGAAAACCTTCCTGGCCCAATGCTTCTCCCGCATTTCGCTCAATCGCTTTTCAAATTTTATCTTGCTGCTAGCTTCCCTGCCCTCAAATGATGTCCATCCCATATCACCTTGTACTCCCTTATTTGGTGTATTCCCGTGAGCTCCTAAGACGAGCCTACCTATTCCACGTTGCTTAATTTCTAATCTTGCTTGAACTTCTGATCTCATGCACAAGACCGCATTGCCGAATGTCAGACCAGGAACCATGACCCCTTTCCATATTCCTATCACAACATCACACCTATTGTAATTCCAAAGTTCCCTATTTTTCATCACTGTTGCATTCCTGTTACCTTTAGTCGTTACGTATATTTCGTGTTCTCTCAGGTACTCGGTCCCATTGCTTATTCATACGCCCAGATATTTGTATTTATCTGTTATCTCTAGCGTGACCTCCTGTATTCTAAGCTCACTATCTTCATTGTCATTAAAAATCGTGACTGCTGATTTTTCCTTACTGAATCTGAAATCTAACCTATCTCCCTCATTACCAAAGATGTCCATCAATCTCTGCAAATCTTCCTTCTGTGGGCCATTAGCACTATAATGTGGAGAATTGGCATGATTAAGAAGTCCGCACTAGAGATCTATCGAACTTTTAAGCAGGAAATTGCCAAGGAAAAGATCTATGATAATACTCGGGGTAGTTCTCTACTGTTTGAGGCCAGGACGGGAGTATTGCGAACCAAGACATGTCGGGCCAAATACGAAGGGGTAGACACGGTATGCAGTGCGTGTGGAGAGGAAGAAGAAACTGCCGAACACTTGATAATGTTCTGTAAAGGGCTTCACCCTATAGTTCAGGATGATGGCGCAGAGTTTTTCAAAGCACTGGGGTTTAGAGACAGGGAGGGCAAAATAGACGTTAAGCGGGTAGAATTAACTAGAAAGAGGTTATCTGATTGGTGGCTAAAGTCAAGGCACGAGTGAAAATGAAACCATTCACTGCAAAGTGCCAGTTCTATACTTCACTATTTAAAGGGGAAAAGAAACGATAAATCTAGTTTGTTGTTCATTAAGTATTACGGCTAGGTGGCGCTAGCCGCCGCCCGATCTAAAGGGTATAGCCAATGGTAGTGTATAGGTGTTCTGTGGTACAGCCACATCAATCCATTCATCTATCCATCCATCCATGTTGCAGTAGGTGGTTGTTTGTGAGTTTTGGTTTTGTTGTTAATGTGTAGTTTAATTGTGCGGATGCTGCAAACGCTTATCGGGCACCTGTAAGTGGCTGCTTTCCAGATTTACAAGTGTATCGCAAACCTCCCAGATGTCTCGCGATGCTTTCGGAGTCGCGCGATAGCAACGGAACCATGGCCTGGTCGTCCGGACGGAACCAGTGTTTGCGTTTCTGATATGGTACCGCAGTGCGCACGGACTAAGGGCACTGCAGTTCAGCCCACAGTGATGTAGATTTGCGATTCGCATCGCAGCCATGGCATCGCAGAACAGTTCCGAAGCCAAAAACTGGTCTAACCCTGCCAGTGGCGGCAATAACAACAACAACGTGAGCCAATCCGCGTTAGTTCTTCCGTGGGGCGCTCGCAAGGAGCGACAGCCATTTCCCCCGGGAATACACTTCGATACCGATGTCAAGCCGGGCGAATTCGTGTTGCGCGTGCTCTTCGCAGAGTTTACGCTGCAGGCGGAGAAAAAAATCCGCACGGTGCTCGCCGAGCCGCTGGAGAGACCAGTTTCCAAGTCCTTGCAACGGGGCGAGGATGCCGTGTTCGATCAGCTACTGTCAGCGTTCGGTTCAGTGGCGGAGCACTGCCTGCCGTCGCTACTTGCGCACCCTGTTTGCGTGGTATGACCGGCAAACAGTGGAGACCGTCGACATGCTGAGGCCCCGCGCCGACTCGCGGGCCAAGAGCGAGTCTGAACCTCGTAGCGACCGCGACTACTTGCACGAGCGCAGAGATCTCGCGATCGAGTTCATCTTCTGTCTGGTGCTCATCGAAGTGCTCAAGCAGCTGCCTCTACACCCGGGCCATGAAGATTTGGTTGGTCACATCGAATCGCTGGCCTTCAAGCACTTTCGCTACCGCGAAAGTTCCCAGACAGGCCCCAACGCCCAGAACTACAACATAGTAGCAGACTTGTACGCCGAAGTAGTGGCTGTGCTGGCGCAGTCACGATTCCAATCGGTCCGCAAGCGTTTCATGGCCGAGCTAAAGGAGCTTCGTGCCAAGGAGCCGAGCCCTCACACGACACAGAGCATCATCAGCTTACTCATGGGCATGAAATTCTTCCGCGTTAAGATGGCACCCATAGAGGAGTTTGAAGCTTCGTTCCAGTTCATGCAAGAATGTGCGAGTTACTTTCTTGAAGCCAAGGACAAGGACGTTAAACATGCTCTTGCTGGTCTCTTCGTTGAGATTCTTGTTCCTGTAGCTGCGACTGTCAAGACTGAAGTGAACGTACCATGTTTAAAGAACTTCGTCGAAATGCTGTATTCGCAAACCCTTGACTTGTGTACCAAGAAGAAGCACAGCCTGGCACTGTTCCCACTAGTGACCTGCTTGCTTTGTGTGAGCCAAAAACTCTTTTTCCTTCAGAATTGGCACTGCTTTCTGGCAATGTGTCTTTCTCACCTCAAGCACCGTGATCCAAAAATGTGTCGTGTGGCACTGGAGTCACTATACCGACTGCTTTGGGTGTACATGATTCGTGTGAAATGCGAGAGCAACACAGCAACACAGACGAGGCTTCAGAGCATCGTCAACTCACTTTTCCCAAAAGGATCCAAAGCAGTTGTGCCCCGGGACACCCCACTGAACATTTTTGTTAAGATCATTCAGTTTATAGCACAGGAGCGTCTTGACTTTGCCATGAAGGAAATTGTCTTTGATCTGCTCTCTGTTGGCAGGCCAATCAAAATCATTCTTACTCCAGAGAGAATGAGCATTGGTTTGCGGGCTTTTCTCGTCGTGGCTGACAGCCTACAACAAAAAGAGGGCTGCCCACCAATGCCACGAACTGTTGGTGTTCTCCCATCAGGAAACACCCTCAGAGTCAAAAAGACCTTTATCAACAAAGTGCTCACAGAGGACACCGCCAAGAGCATTGGCATGTCTCAGTACTACTACTACGTTCGAAAGGCTTTTGATGACATCCTCAAAGCACTTGACGTGCAGTTTGGTCGGCCTCTAATGATGACTACAATGCAAAATGCCAACAAGGAACCAGATGATATGATAACAGGGGAACGAAAGCCCAAGATTGACCTTTTTCGCACCTGTGTCGCTGCAGTGCCACGACTGATTCCCGATGGCATGCGAAGGCAAGACCTGGTGGAGATGCTGTCAAGGTTGACAGTCCACATGGATGAAGAACTGCGTGGCTTGGCATTTCAGGCACTGCAAAACATGGTGTTGGACTTCCCCGAATGGAGAGAGGATGTCATCCAAGGTTTCATTCAGTTTATTCTTCAGGAAGTCAATGACACATTTCCACAACTGCTAGACAATGCCCTGCGTGTGTTGCTACAATTTTTGACCACATGGAAGAACGCAATGAATGGATGTAGTGTCAAGAAGGAGGTGCCTGAGATACGGATTGAACAGATGACAAGTGCCTTGCATCTTGTTGAGGGTGTGGCTTTGGTGATGCTCTGCAACTGTAGGTTGTCTACACGGCGTCTTGCAGCTCACATCCTTAAGGAGACCAAGGTTGTAATGAAGCTGCAGCTGCCACCACGTGCGGAAGAGCCTGTCGTGGATGTGATTGACCGAGCTTGCCCAGTTGCCATCGAAAAGTGTCTGCCCTACCTCCCCGCTTCAGAGAAGTCGGCAGTCCTGTCTGCACCAGTTGTGGACCTGCAGTGGCTTGCCGAGCGATCCAGCTCGGCCTGGACCACAGGTAGCCCTGAAGGCAGTACAGAAGGCTCCAACAGAAGTCCGTTGGATGTTCTCGATTTATCTTGCATGGATGCCTGGTGTGCCTGCCTCATGAGTTTCATCCACCAGGACTATGTGCTGAAACATTGCCCTACTGCCGTGACACAGTCATGGCCGATTGTGACCTCACGGATCACTTGCCTCTTCTCTCATATTGAGCTGAATCCAGTAAACGACAACCGTGCTTCGCTGCTTCGTACTACAACCGTTAAAAAGGCACCCACAGAAAGAGATGTGTATCTTAGCTTATGGAGAAACTACCTTCTTTATGCCTGCCGCGTTGCACCTTCCAACAGCAACATCACCGTGCGCTATCTCTCGCCTGACCTCAGCTTCAATTCCTCTCCGGAGAACATGTCTTCTGACCGAGCTGAACATAGGTTCACAGGCATCAGCAACAGTGGAATAAGTGCTTCCACATTGTTCAAGCAGATTGTACCCCTTTTAAGGAGTGAGCAGATGGATTTGAGAGGAGCTGTCGTCCTTGGGCTGTCACATGTCAACAGCCTAGCACTTAAGGACTTGATGGAAGAACTGGTCGGCTACATACGAGAAGCCATTGACAGGAAGCAGGAAAATGTGCGTCGCAGGAGGCGACGTGACATTCTTCGTCTGCAGCTTACACGACTGATGGAATCGATTGCTGAGCATGGCACCTTTGGAGTGAGCTCCTGCATTCTAGACCGTGATGCTGGCACACTCAACACATCTTTCGTTGAATACATCGATGGGGCACGACTCTTTCTCGAAAGCGAGAATGACAAGGACGTGCCTGAAATCGTGCAGGAGATCAAGCTTCACTTCTGCAACTTTGTCCACAAGCTTATCAAAAGCTTTTCTTTGGAGAATCACACTCACCTCCTTGGCCATGATCTCAGACGCAACCTTTTTTATCTTTTCGCCACGTGGAGTGGAAATCTCGGCGTCCCCTTTGGTGTTGTGGAGAAGCGAAATTCGGCCGACGAGAGCCTCACCGAATTAGAATCCTCAGCGCTCCAGGCAATGTCCTCTGTTCTTTGCTGCGGACCATGCATGGATCCACCTGGCCTGAATGAAGAGAGCGTCATCTACCATTGGTTGGACAGCCTGCTTAGATCAAAGGATGAGAAGCTATACCATCTGGCTCAAGAGACTGTTGTCTTGTTGCTTGACTTCAATCAGGATGCGGGAATGCTGTTGGACTGGCTTGTAGACCGCTGCTACACCGGGGAACCTCAGCTAGCAGACGGGTGTTTTACGGCGCTTGCGACGGTATTTAGCGTACGTGAATACCCGTGTGATCACTACATGTCCATCATATGTGTTACGCTTCTGAATGCTGGCTGCCCAAGGGCAACCATTCAGGAGATGGCGCTGCAGCTGCTGCACATTCTCGACCACCGCTTCTTTCACTCCAAGTCGGCACTCACCATAGAGGATGACCAGCTAGACAGCATACAACTGCGTCATCGTTCGATCTCTGGTGATGGTCTCATCATTGCTGGGTACCCTTGCTCCCAGGTATGTATAGCTTGAGGAATTATGCCCTTGTCTCGTGCTTCACAAGTGTGCATACTTTATTGCTCTTCTTTTCTTTTTTGCAAAGGTTTCTTTCTTTCTGGTGTAGTTTTGTTTATATTTTATCTGCTGTTCCTATGTTGCATCAAGCATTTGTAGTAAGTAGCATTCTTTTGTCTTTTGTTATTGTATGCTGGGCTCTCTGTTTGGTACACGTTTAAGCAGCACCCTCTAAATGAACACCCTAGTAAGACAAATACTTTATTGGCCACTGCTGTGTAGAAGTGATAACAAATCCTGGGAATATGATTGCGGTAACTGGTTGCAGTTATGTCTGAGTTGACATTGAGACTTCAAAGGGCACAATAGTGCATTGGTAAATTTTATGCGCATGGACAGTTGTGAGGTTTGGCTTTTCTTCAATGGATAATACTGTTTATATGTAGGAAGTAGCTGAATGTGCCTCTCTCTTGTACACCAGAACTTTTGAGTTGAAACTGACAGTATTTGCATCCTATGAAGGGTCAGTGATCTGGCATTTGTTAAGTTCGTATTGAGGCATTCATCAACAATGATGCTGTGTGGCTTTGCAGGAAGAGCTGTGCCGTCAGATGGCTCAGGTGCATCCTGAGCTGACCATGCGGCTCTTCTCGGAGGTGACAGGACGGTTCCAGACGGCACGGCCAGAAGTGCGCCAGAATTTGCTTCGATGCCTGCTGCCCTGGCTGGGGAACATGCATCTCGTCGATCCACACCTTACTCCTGGCCATCCTCAGGAGCTCGAGTCAGTTCTTCATTTATGTGACTTCTTATTTAATGATAATAGATCTGCAGAATAACTTTCTGGTCACACAGTCTTAGCATAGCAGAATATGGATGGAATTATTTTTTACTGTGTTCATCGAACCATTGGAAAGCATTTAATTAACTTGAATCGTGCCTAGGCTTAGTGAGCAATGTGTCCGTCAAATTTTACTTTGTTCACTGGTGATGCCATAATTTTGCAAATGTGGCATGAGTACATTTTCTGTGATTGCAAGCCCTTATCAATCTCTCCACTTGTGTTCTTCGGCATGCAAGAAGGAATGACAACAAGATTGAAAAAGTTCAAATGAAGCAAAATGGATTTGTGTCAACTTTAGGTTCAATAAAAACTGTGGGGTCTCAGTGTGAGAGCCACGCTCTTGGAGTTCACGGACACAGTGGACACAGTCGGAACAAACCAAAACAACACACATTTATTTAACTGCTTTTAGATCGATGATATCGATATTATAACATCAATTGGGATCAACACGGTAAAACAGCCTTGCACAAAATTACATAACACTCAACAGCATAACAAACACAATAACACACCCCAAGGTGGCGTCGCCAATGCTTGACTTACCGCGAGGGTCTCCAGCGCGTAACCCGCGATGCCGCGCACCGGGGACCCACGCTAGAGACAACCGTTTGCGCCAACCGCCACCAGCAAAAAAGAACCGCTCATATTTCGGGCGCCACCACCCAGGCCTGCTGCCAGACATCACTGCCGGCGCTACGCACTAATCATGATGATGATGGTCGAGATAACAAACGCTCGCGAGCACAACGCGGCCTACCGCTCAATAGTTATGAACATCAAATGCGGTTTCTGTGCGAGACACATGCTCCACATAGTGCAAACAACTTTACAGTGGATGTCAGCACCCTCACAGAACTAACAGACAATAATGACTGGGAAAATATTGGGGGTGTTATTAGAAATAATTTTAATGTAAATGTGAAAAAAGAAAAGATAACTCTCCACTTCCAGGATCTAAACCTGCAACTTTCAAATAACACATTCGATGCTCGCTTCCGATGCTCGCTATTTGGAAGTCGCGGGTTCGGATCCTGCCGGTGGCAAGTTATCTTTCCGTCCACTTTTCTTTCTTCACATTTACATTACAATCACTTCTACTAACATCCCCTATACTTTCTCTGGCTTTATTGTCTGTTAGTTCTCATTAATATTGTGTCTAACAAAGAAAAACGAGCCAATAAATTCACACTTTTGCTAACTTTAAGTTAGGTAGTATTATCTTTGACGCTGCCTGCATCGAACTAAAATTCAAGTGCAACAGCCTGTGCTCAGCACTGTGTTGAAGTAAGAGCTCCATGATTCAATCAGTACTTAACACAGCAACACATAAAAGGTGAATGGCTTATCACGCATTATGGGTTCATGCAGGACTCTGGCACCAGGTGAACGTCGAGAAGGATGGGGATCTGCTGAGGCCACAGAAATGGTGCTGAACAACTTGTTCTACCTGACGGCAAAGTTTGGGGACCAGCATCCTAAGGTCTGTTGCATCGTAACTCGTCTATTAAGCAGCTAAATACCAGCGAAGCAAAATTTTAGGAGTCTCTGATTGCTGCTCTTCTCTTCACTGAGGCTGTCTTTACTATTAGAGTTTAGCATAGCTTTATTGTCTAGTAGGCGGTGCTTACACTGTGCATTAAAAACCTGTTCATCACTGCAGAACAGTTTTGTGCTCTGCAATTTGCCACCACTTGCAAGTGCAGAAAAAGACTGCACCTTGCTTTCTCATCCTCAGCACCCCTTTTTTTGCCTGTTGTCACAGAAGTAAATAGCTTCCTGGTTTTCTGATTGATCTGCTTTTAGTTATTCTTGTTTGTAGGTGTAGGATTTTTCTGTAGCAGAGTGGGGAGGGATAGCTTGATCTCTGGCATGCAGCAGTCGTGAATTAGTCACGATGTTGGTAAGTGAGGTGAGAGTATGCCGGTTCTTCCTGTACATGTGTAGTGTGTTTCTGTTCTTTGACCTGGCAGGTGGGTTGCATTATTATTTTTATTATTATTATTATTATTGAATCGAGCGCTGCATTATTTGTGGAGCTCAGCTTGGTGAGCCTTAAAGGGACGCTAAAGGCAACTATTAAGTCGACGTTGATTGTTGAAACAGCGGTCCAGAAACTTCGTAGTGTTACTTTTGTGCCAAGGAAGGGCTTATATTGAAATAAAATCATGTTTTAGTAGCCTGTTTAGGATTAGCACACTTCGAATTACCCGCATCAAGAAACGGACTGACTCGCGTCACTGTTGTCGTGCACATCAATGCCCAGCTTTACTGCGTGGTCGACGACACTAGTAGACAGAACGAAAGCAGCGGGAGCCACAGCAGCAACAATGGCCATTTATCAATTTCCCACCATAAGCTCCAAGATTGTAGACGTTTTTTGGTCCAACTGTAGCCCGCTAGATGGCCCCACCTGCCCAGTGTAACTACGTGAAAATTGAATTTTTGAACCACTCGCGCCTTTCCTCATAGTAATGTCCGGCGGTGCTTTTTTCCATAAATCAAACAGAAACGAACAAGCAGCATTTTATTGTGTCTCTTGATGCACGGAAGTTTCATTATTTAGTGCAGCTAGTTCGATTACTAGTGATTAGGCAGTGAGTAGACAGTTTGTCTGACATCATCGGTATCACTTTGAGAATGTCCTACTGTGGCGCATGTGTTCTTGTGCGTTTACTTAAATTCCTCAATAAGTAGGGCACTGCTGTTGATAATATTGTCGTTTTAGATATTGTCATACATTGAGCTTTCACTCCAACGTAAATTGTTATTTGACCTTAGTGTCCCTTCAAGGAAATAGTCCTCGGGCTGTGGTGAGGGATGCTCAATATGTTGCCGTTCCAGGCTATTGAATGAGCTTGGTCATTTGCTGTCTCTTACCACATGGTTTCTCTTACCACAGAGAAAGGTATATAACAGCTACATCTTGCCGGTACTTACCTACGGAGCAGAAACCTAGAGGCTTGAATTGAGGACAACGTAGTGAGCCATGGAAAGAAAAATGATAGGTGTAACCTTAAGAGACAAGAAGAGAGCAGAATTGGTCAGGGAACAAACCGGGGTCAAAGATATCATAGTTGAAATCAAGAAGAAGAAATGGACATGGGCCAGGCACGTGGCACGTAGGCAGGTTAACCGCTGGTCAAAAAGGGTAAATGACTGGGTTCTCAGAGAAGGCAAATGCACGAAGGGGAGACAGAAAGTTAGGTGGGCGGATGAGATAAAAAGTTTGCAGGTATAACGTGGCAGCACAAAACACATGATCGGGTTGATTGGCAGATCATCAGAGAGGCCTTTGCCCTGCAGTTGGCGTAGTCAGGCTGATGATGACCACATGGCCATAATTATATCCTGCCCCAAGAGCACTCATAGGTTTGCGTGGGTCTTTAGTAGGCTTGTGCGAATATTCGAACACATTAATTATTCGAATGAATACTACAATATCTGACTTTGCTTGGAATAATATTTGAATTATTGTAAATTGAAATGAACAAATTGGTGTATATTGTTAGTCAGATTAAATTACTCTCTGTAAAGGGGGTTTCACTGCCAAAAAGGGGTGCTGTACCATAAATACATTTACCCATGAAAAATTCAAACTACCACGAAGCCCCACTATTGCGAAGCCCCACTTTTTAGGTTAGGTGAGCGTAATAATTACCTCACATCATTTTTTAAGTTTAAAAGCTTGTTATACTAGCTTATATGCTCCAAGTATAGTAAATTTTAAAACGTAACATATTTTGTAGGTTGTCATTTGCCTTCTGCCTAAAATCAAATCCTGCTACTATTCAAAGTTGCTGGACTTCCTTCGAGCTAGAAAGAATGAACTTTGTACATGCCTTGTTTCAGTTTTAAAAAAAATATAATGTGCGGGTTAGTTGGATCGTGACAAATATGGTCATCTTTCTTATAATATTTAATATGTACTATTTGAATTCAGTTTGGAATTATTCAAGCAAATCACTATTCGATTCGAATTGGCTTCAAACCTAGAATTTATTAGTATTCACACAAGCCTGGTCTCTAGATCAGATCCGTGAAATCACAAGAGTCTTCGTTGTGATGCCAGGCGAAGGGAAAGTGTGTGTGTGTGTGTGTGTGTGTGTGTGTGTGTGTGTGTGTGTGTGTGTGTGTGTGTGTGTGTGTGTGTGTGTGTGTGTGTGTGTGTGTGTGTGTGTGTGTGTGTGTGTGTGTGTGTGTGTGTGTGTGTGTGTGTGTGTAAAAGTAGATGCTTTTTCACATAGCAACTTGTTCATTCAGCCGACGTTTCGAGGCGAGCCTCGTCTTTTTCAAGGCATAATACTGTTTACACATTTTCGTGTCTTTTTATATCTTCTGAGACAGGAGGAAAGGGGACAGAAGAAAATCATAACAACAAAAAAAGAAGAAAAAAAGGAAAAAAAAGGAGGAAGAATCTTTAGAAAGAAGCAAGAGGGACATGGCGCGATTAGGAAGGAACAGGAACTCAACAAAGGCGAACGTATTGGAGCTATGCCATCTTTGTCAACAATACCTCCCGAGCTCCCACCCTTCCCCCAAGTGGACATTTTGACCACTGTTTTTGTATTTCACCCTCCGGTGCAATCCGCTGGCAACTTGCCCTCCTTTTTTTACGACAAATTGTTTACGACAAATTGGTGGGGAGAGCTTAAGTGCTTCAAGTGCATGTTGGTGGTGTTGGAAGATATGAAAGGGCCGGTAATTGTGGTGCCGCTATCAATATTCATTATATGCATTGGCTCCTGTCAGTGAAGGTAAAGAAGAAAAAAAAAACAAAAAAGGGGAAGGGGGACTGTACGACATCTGGGACCACTTATCTGCGCGTTTCGGCTGTGCTTGAAGTGTCAAAAGCATTTTTCTATTGTCAGATGTATACTCTAAAAGCTTTGTTAGGGGGTAATATTATTTTTGTAATGGGAGGCTAGGGGCAGAGTACTGATTAAAGAGGGGCATTTGCGTCTTTTAGTGATGGTAATGCTGACAGAGTGCCTGGGTGTTCAATTATTTCGTTTTTTATTGTGTTGAATTTGTAGATGAAGTAAGATTCTCGTTGTTCCCACTCTCTGATTGTTCGAAAATTGCTTTCTAATAGTGTAACTGTGACGTCATCAAAGCTGTGGTCTTTTAATGTACTGTGTTTTGAAAGTGGAAGGCCTGGCAGGGAACGTACATGTGCCCGATGGTTGTTTAATTTACTTCTAAACGGTGTGTGGCATTGATGCGTGGCAGTGGATAAACACCTTTGCGAGTGATCTTATTGAGCCGTCTGTAGTCCACACATAACCGCACAAAACCATCTTTCTTCACAACAAGAACAACAGGAGACAGCCATAAACTGCCCGAGGGCCGAATAATGTCGCATCGGAGCATATCGTCAACCTGCTCGTTAATTTCCCGACGTTCAGCAGGCGACACGCGGTAAGAACGTTGCCGTAATGGTGGATGGGCACCAGTGTCGATACGATGTGTATCAGTGGGCGCACGACCGAGAGAACTTCACCCGACATCGAAAGAAGGATGATATTCTTGTAACAGGTCCAGAAGCTGGGAACGCTGTACTGACGTCATCAATGTAGGGGCCAAATACATCAGGAGATGATGAATTAGAAGTGGAAACAGCACCGATGGTACGTGAATGGGGACAACGTGAGTCATCGCGTACGTCCAGGACTTGTGCGTCATCAACTGGTTCCACTCTGCCGAGACATTCCCCTCGAACCAAGGTAACAGTGTACGGGGATGGGTTGGTCACGAAAATAGCGGGGTTGCCCTGGGTGATTTGCACGGTCGCAAAAGGTACTAGCAACCCTTTTCTTATGCAAGCACGGTCGGATGGCGAAACGAGTGCAATTGTGTCGGAGAGACAGCGCAGTAGACCTATACACCCGTTGTCGAGCTTGGAGGCACTATGGTATAGTCTTTCACGAGAATATTGCTCACTTTCGAGGGACTGTCTTCTGGCACCAAATGCGAGAAGGGTGAGAGTTCAATTTCAGCGGCGGCACAATGGATGACGGCGTCGTTGCGGGAGAGAAAATGCCATCCCAGGATGACGTCATGAGAGCATGCAGGAATGATGATGAATTGGGCGACATACAGAACGTTCTAAACGACAACGCGAGCTGTGCAACCCGCTTGAGGATGGATACGATGTGAACTAGCAGTACGAAGGGACCACCCAGAAATCGGCGTCGTCACTTTTCGAAGTAAGCGGCAAAGGTTTTCGTCCATAACTGATACTGCAGCTCCAGTGTCAATAAGAGCAGATGCATGAACACCGTCCACAAGCATGTCAATGACATTAGATGGGCGGCTTTGAGGGCTTTCACAATGCGATAGCATCGCAGCCCTTGCCTCGGGGACTGCGACGACTAGTTTTTCCGCTCGTGAGCAGCTGAACTTGGCCGCATGGGGGAGGAACGACGTCGTGGAGACGGTGACCTTCGAGGAGATGGAGCCAGGTGAGACAGCGGTGGCATAGACTGTGGTTTGTCATGATAGGGACGGCTTATCTGGCCAGCAAGAGGCGATGAGATAGGGGCATCTATACGCGAATGCAATAATGTGCTACGTGGCCGTCGTAACCGCAGGCAAAGCACATGGGCCGGTTGTCGGGTGTGCGCCATCGGTTCGCCGGGGTAGGTCTTGTCCATGTCGCAAGAGCCGACGAATGGAACGGTGCCTGGAAAGGCTGCAGGGTGGGCTGGAGCTGAGTCTTAGGGGTCGCGTCAACATACGTAGCTGGCATACCCGCTGCAAAGGACGGAGGTCGTGCGGCAGCTTCGGCGTAAGTCAATGGGGCGGGCGCTTGAACGACTGGAGGCGGCCTGGCGACCACTTGGGTGTAACTTGGGTGCGAAGGAGCCGAAAGTTGTTGTGGGTGGTATGCAGGCATGACCTCCGCTATTTCCTGCTCACTCACTCGGCTGATGGATGGAAGAATGGTAGTGGCCGATTGTTGAACAGCCGGTGGGTGGGCAAAGGGCAGGAGAGAGAACTGGCACGCGATTTCCTCACGTATGAAGGACTTGAAGTCTGCCAGCAGCACCACTTGATCACAGCTCGCCTCCAAGCCAGCAAGCCGTTCATCTCGTGGTGTGGAGCGACGGGGCATCGAACGTTGCCGGCGGAGCTCCTCAGAGCTCTGGCATATCGTGATGACCTCAGCTACTGTGCGTGGGTTTTTGGCAAGCAGCATCGTGAAGGCGTCGTCGTCAATGCCTTTCATGACGTTACAGGTCTTGTCTGATTCGGACATGCTGTCGTTGGATTCCTTGCACATTTGCAGGACATCTTCGATGTAACTGGTGAATGATTCACCGGCCTACTGAGGGCGTTCGCGTAAGCGCTGCTCGGTTTGCCGATTACGAACGGCAGGGAGGCCAAAAACGTTGGTGATAGCGGTATTAAAATTGGACCAGGTTGCAAAATCGGATGCATTGCAGTATTAAAATCGGACCAGGTTGCAAAATCGGATGCATGGCTGTTGTACCACAAACTAGCAACGCCCGCAAGGTAGAATACCAAGTTTATCAACTTGCCGTTCTCGTCCCATTTGTTGGGGACGCTCACACGCTTGTAAATGGCGAGCCAGTCCTCCACTTCAGTGCCATCGGTGCCCGTGAAGATGGGTGGATCGCGGATCCTGGGGACACTGGGACAAGGAGGCAACATGGGAGGAGGCGTTTGCTGAGAGGCCTCGTGGGACATGGTAGATGGCAGGGTATGTGATCGTAGTTCCAAGGGCATCGAAGGGGATCGTAGCACTCTCCACCAATTCGTTAGGGCGTTTATTAGCCGGCACACAGGGAGCGTACACAATGGCGACAGTAACAATCAAGCACGGACTCTCAGCGCGACGGGCGTCCTTTTCACACTTCAGTGTTCGGAGGCTTCTCTACAATGTGTGTGTGTGTGTGTGTGTATATGTGTGTGTGATTTAATGCACTAACTAGGCTATCCTTTCTGTCTCTCTGTGTGTTTATTTCTTTTATTAAGTGAACCGCCACAATCTCTATAGTTCAGGTTGTTTAGAAATTGGGAAGTATGGTTTTCGTATTCGTGCTTGTTTTCACCAGTGAGTCTCAAACTCCGCTATTCATGAGAATTGTTAGTTTACAAAAAAATACGAGCTAACAATCTCACAGGTGGTTTTGTGCTGTTGTCGCTCATTCCCTACAGGAGATGGAAGAACTGTGGGCCCTGCTGTGTTGCAGTGGGGCGTCCAATTTGCGAGTGATCGTGCGGTACCTTCTAATCGTGGCTGGTTTGGCTCCCGGAGAGCTTCTCCCATCGGCGAAGCGCGTGGCACTACACATGGGGCGTGCCTGCCCTGATCGGCTGCTGGATGCCCTCCTCGCCGAGATGCAGCTGGCCGAAACGCTGGGTTTCTCTGTCGAACGGACTGAGACGCCACCATTCTTTCGCCTCACCAGCGCCCGCAAGGGCAGCAGCAGCCACTCGGATGACGGCAACCAGGTATGCTTGTAAACGGGCAACCAACCAGGCATGCGTGTGAAAGAGAGAGGGCGCGGCAGTACAGGTCACAGCCTTGCAGGAAGGCAAACAGAACATGCATACACTGACTTTCTATATCTTCTATTTTTCTATTCGTTACTTTAAATGGCTAGATTGAACCTTAGGGCATGTATTGGTGTAAAAGTGACTCATTACTTTGTGAGCTTGAACTGTGCCAGGTACAAGACAGTAGTCTCCTCAGTGCCGTTTAAGCTCACAAATTAATGTCTTGCCAACTAGACTCCAAGCTCTCATTGCTTGACTGAGTCATTGTTTGCTTACTTTTTTTCTATTACCTGCCATAGTAGCTTAGCAGATAAGATAGTGAGCTGCTAAACTAGAGGACGTGGCTTCGACTCCTCACCATGGCAGCTGCATTTTGATGGCAGTTAAAATGCAAACACACTCATATAGATTTAGTTGCACTTTAAGGGGAGATGCAGGTCGAAAAACGGGAGTTTTTTTTTCAATATTACCGATTTTTTATTTTCGCCTGTTTTGATAAGATTAGTACCTCTACTGTTATGAAAAAAATAATACAGGTCGAGACTTATCTGGAAATGCTTTAAAATTTCATCTAAAGAGCACAAGGTGCCTGTTAAAAGGTCGAAAGTGTGCAGTCTTCGAGCACCTTGCCGCCGATAATGCGCCGCTGCTAGCCATTGTTGATCGCATTAGGCGAATCCTCGAGCCTCACTCTTCAAGCAACAACAGTTTCTCTCACTGATGCGGCGCAAGAAATAATAAAAAGAAGCACGCTTCTGCGCGTTTTTCGAGTGCCGCGACTAGCTTATCACATGATACGAATCGGGGACCGCCATTGGCCGCTGCGCGCCTGTAGGTGCTGTGAAACCTATTTGCGGGGTCCATGTCTTGTCGAGCAGCGCAGCTGAACAATGCTTTTCTCATGTAATTATCTCCGTTATGAATGAAAAAAGGCATTGCTCGCAAGTGAAAGCCGTTGTGCGGCGCACTCTGTAGGCATAGGCTACGAGCTGGTAATCCGATTTGCGGCAGTTGTTGGCTTGCAAAAGCCAATGCATCAAAGTCATTCACACCCGTCACCCGTAAAGTTCGTGACGCGGCAATGGATGACGTCAGCGCCAATCTTAAGAGGTCAAAAGAGCTCGCAGTGAGAGAACTTAGGAGGGACCACATTGCCATTATGTACGACGGTGTGTGGCACAAACATGGCTGCAAAATGGCATGACACTGGACTTAGTTTGGATTTCGCAGTCCTGTCGAACTTCGTCCTAGCTTGCAGTTGGCACAAGGCTCTGCCAGATAGAGCAGAAGTTTGGCAAGCGTTTCATGGCCCTGTCTGTGAGTGAAACATCTGTGAGGAGTCGACTTAAAAACGCCGAGAGGGACAAACTCATGGTGCTGGCGTATTTTAGTTGCAGTGGCCACTACAAGAAGGATTGTTCTTTTTCGTTTGTAAATTTCATCTGATTTAATAATATTTTTCATAAATAAAAACTCAATTTTAACTTTAAAACTCATTTTTCTTAAAACACAAATTTTGCTGTTTTTTCCAATGTGCCCCTCTTTTTTCGGGCACTTCTAGTGCTCGGATCTGCATGAAATTTTGCCCAAATTTTTTCTAAAGTATGACAAGTGCAATTATCTTGTATAATAAAAACATTGTATGTATACCTTTACTAGGGTAGGTGAAATTGGACTTTTTACGTCTATTATTTTTCACGCGTATTACATATTTTGTATGTGCTTCCTAATTAGTTATTTGCACTCTGCACTTTATTTGAAGCATTATGAACTATGAATGGTAAAAAATTGCAGAATTTTAGGGATGAAAAGAGGGGGGGCAAAAGGGTTAAGGTTTTCAATTTGTCATGTTGCAGAGCTAAAAGTGTGTAACTTGCAAGAAAACTAATTATATATTTGAAATCAGCATAAAAAGTTTCATAAACAGCTCAAGTTTCATTGCTCTAGGGTGAATATTAAAGAAAAAGTGTCTTCGAGTAGCATCTCCCCTTAAGGGGAGATGCTACTCGAAGACACTTTTTTGTAATAGGCGTGAAAAATACTAGACGTAAAAAGTCTATATTTCACCTATCCTAGTGAGGGTCTACATACAATTTTTTATTATACAATAAAATATTGAAATTTAAACTAGATAATTGTATTGTTTGTACTTTGGAAAAAATTTGGTCAAAATTTTATGCAGATCCAACCACTAAAAGTGGCCAAAAAAGGAGGGGCACAGAAAAATATGGCAAAATTTGTGTTTTGAGAAAAACGAGTTTTAAAGTTAAAATTGAGTTTTTATTTATGAAAAATATTATTAAATTTGATAAAATTTGCACACCAAAAAGAACAATGCTTCTTGTAGTGGCCACTGCCACTAAAATACGCCAACACCTTGAGTTTATGTCTCTCGACTTTTTCGAGCCGACTCCTTACAGACATTTCACAGACAGGGCCATGAAAGGCTTGCCAAACATCCACTCCATCTGGCAGAGCCTTGTGTCAACTGCAAGCTAGGAAAACGTTTGACAGGACTGTGAAATCTAAACTAAGTCTAGTGTCATGCCATTTTGTGGCCATGTTTGTGCCACATACTGTCGTACATAATGGCAATGTCATCCCCGCTAAGTTCCCTCACTGCGAGCTCCTTGGACATCGCAAGATTGGCGCTGACGTCTTCCATAGCTGCATCACGAACTTTCCGGCTGACGGGTGTGAATGACTTTTGATGCATTGGCTTTTGCAAGCCAACAGCTGCCGCAAATCGAACAAGCTGGTCGTAGCCTATTCCTACAGAGCGCACCGCACAACGGCTTTGTCGTGCGAGCAATAGATTTTTTCATTAATAACGGAGATAATTACAAGAGAAAAGCCTTGTTCAGCTGCGCTGCTGAACATGGACCCTGCAAATAGGCTTCATAGCCCATACAGGCGCGCAGAGGCCAATAACGGTCCCCGATCGAGAGCACATGATAAGCCAGTCGCGGCGCTCGAAAAATGCTCAGAAGCGTGCTTCTTTTTATTAATTCTCGCACTGCATCAACGAGAAAAATTGTTGTTATTTGAAGAGTGAGGCTCGACTCTTCGGCTCATGCGATCAACAATGGCGAGCGGCGGAGCATTATCGGCAGCAAAGTGCTCGAAGACTGCGCACTTTGGACCTTTTAACAGGCACCTTGTGCTCTTTATTTGCAATTTTATAGCATTTCTAGTCAAGTCTCGATCTGTACTTTTTTTTTTCGTAACAGTAGAGGTACTAATCTTATCAAAACAGGCGAAAATAAATAATCTGTAATTTGGAAGAAAACTCGTGTTTTTCGACCCGCATCTCCCCTTAAGGAACCTCAGCTTCTCAAATTAATCCGGCATTTCACACTATAGTGTGGCTCATAATCCTATCATAGCAATGGCACATAAAGTTCCTGAATTTAAGTTTTCTTTCTCTCTGCTCCTGTGTAACATTTTGTGTACGTACAGTTATTTATTGGCATAAGTGCAATAAAAAATCCTGCTTCTTTAATGCAAATGCTAAGGGGGGATGTGGCAATGAAAACTATCTTTGTTATTTATGGGGCTAAAATGATGAAATTTGCCACACCGATTTGTTATGCTGATATCATAACTGAAATCAGTTTTGAGCTATCTCTTGTAGTTTTTGAGTTACGGCACTTGATATAGTCTCATTGTCATCCCAAAATTAATCAATGAATTAGACAAAAGTTTATCAAAACTTTTGACTGAGCATATTCAGCAAGGTTATTCAGAATATAACCAACCACTATACATAGCCTTCATAGATTACGAGAAGGCGTTTGATTCAGTAGAAATATCAGCCGTCATGCAGACACTGCGGAATCAGGGCATCGATGAAGTATATATAAACATCCTGGAAGAAATCTACAGGGGATCAACTGCTACCATAGTGCTTCATAAAGAAAGCAACAGAATACCAATCAAGAAGGGTGTAAGGCAGGGGGACACAATCTCCCCAATGCTATTTACCGCGTGCTTACAGGAGGTTTTCAGAAGCCTAGAATGGGAACAGTTAGGGATAAGAATTAATGGAGAGTACCTTAGTAACCTGCGCTTCGCCGATGACATTGCATTGCTGAGTAACTCAGGGGACGAATTGCAACTCATGATTACGGAGTTAGACAAGGAGAGCAGAAAGGTGGGTCTTAAAATGAATCTGCAGAAAACGAAAGTAATGTACAACAACCTTGGAAAAGAGCAGCACTTCGAGATAGGTAATAGTGCACTTGAAGTTGTAAAAGACTGTCTACTTAGGGCAGGTAATAACCGCAGAGCCCAACCACGAAATCAAAGTAACTAGAAGAATAAGAATGGGGTGGAGCACATTCGGCAAGCACTCTCAAATTATGACAGGTAGATTGCCACTATCCCTCAAGAGGAAGGTATATAACAGCTGTATCTTGCCGGTACTTAGGTACGGAGCAGAAACCTGGATACTTACAAAGAGGGTTCAGCTTAAATTGAGGACGACGCAGCGAGCAATGAAAAGAAAAAATGGTAGGTGTAACCTTAAGAGACTAGAAGAGAGCAGAGTGGATTAGGGGAACAAACGGGGGTTAAGGATATCATAGCTGAAATCAAGAAGAAGAAATGGACATGGGCCGGGCATGTAGCGCGTAGACAGGATAACCGCTGGTCGTTAAGGGTAACTAACTGGATTCCCAGAGAAGGCAAGCGGGTTAGGGGGAGACAGAAGGTTAGGTGGCCAGATGAGATTAAGAAGTTTGCGGGTATAAATTGGCAGCAGCAAGCACAGGACCGGGTTAACTGGCGGAACATGGGAGAGGCCTTTGTCCTGCAGTGGACGTAGTCAGGCTGCTGCTGCTGATGATGATGATTCAGCAAGGCCCACTGGGTGCTGTAAAGCTATTCGTTTATTTTTATAATGCCCACACGAGCACAGAAAAAATTTTTGAAATGTCCTATAGATATTTTCTTAACGACAGCTTTTGCAAAAATAGAATTATAAAAATTTTTATGATGACCAGATAAAAATGACCAGATAAAATGGCACTCACCAATGTTTCAGGATCTAAGTACAAAAAACAGAATGATTTTATCTTCATTAGCTTTGAAGTAGCACTGGGATGACTGACAGCAACTGCACAAAAAATGGAAGATGAGAAAACGGAGCTCAAAGTTTTTATTTCATGAAAGCAGTTAAATATTAACTTTCAACACCTAAAACCCACTTGGGATGTAGTCCTTTGTCTCTGCAGAGACATTTTGTTTTGATTTTAATCCAGTTTTTTGCTTCTTTGGAGCAGTTTCGTGCACTTTGGTCGCTTTTTCATGCGCCGTGCGTCCTTTTCAGCAGCGCGCCGCAGGGAGCACGATCCTGGAGTGTGCCCAAGTGGTGGTGTGATCTCTTGTAGTGCTTTTCCACAGCCAGCATTAAAACGGCAAACTGCATCTGCCACAGAACTCTCAACAGTTAGGAGAGAGGCAAACTGTGTTTTGGATTGGAGCAACCAAATCACATTGTTGAAAGACTCAATGGCATTTTGAGTTCTGCCTTGCTGGCATCTTTCCAGAAGTTCCCTTGCTAAAAGGCGCTTATATATAGGCAGGAGTGCTGCCCGAACATGTGCAGGAAGCTGCAGCTTGTGTGCAGGTGCTTGTTCCCCTGAGGCTGCCGCAGCATTAAACTTGCACCACGAGTTCATTCCAGTAGGGCAGTGCTCATGGCGAGGCTTCTAATCAGTAGATGTAACATGGTAAAAAGTAGCTATGATGGTCTTTTTCATGGCAGGCGGACGTTTGGGTTACTTTTGATGGCCCATCCATTATAGTTGGTGAGCTTTTTAATTAAGCCATGTGTGAGGCGGTCTCTTCCGCTTATGCTGAGCTCTCGGTCCTTGCTCTTGTTTTTCTCAACAAGGTTGCGCAAAGCTGTGCCCATTCTTTTTTTTACATGGTTCACACATTCTTGCTTTTGTATGGCTATGAAGCCATACACCTTATCTTCACTGAGGGCACTATACGTGCGGCTATCGCCATCGCAAAGGATATTTGTATAGCGGAGCTGATGTTTTTGGAGTGATCGCTAAAACATGGTCTTTGCCGCTTTTCCATCTGCCCTGCATTTGCCTCTGTGTTTTTTTGGCACTGTGGTTCATGTTTTTCATACCACTCCAAGTATCCACTGTCTTGAGGCTGTGGTCCAAGACAAGCCCAGAGTATAACTCGATAACACAGCCAACACCGATGTGGCTTGTGTGGCCCCTTGTCATCCAAGTGCCATCGTAGATGACGTCAATGTTCCCTGGGGCACATCCAAGGTCCCTATATATCCGACGCACCTTCTCTGCGCTTGCTGCCTCTATTGCTGTGGCTGCAGGTGCAGTGGCAGGGTGATTACGCTTGCAGTGCAGCCTTCTGTATGACTTATGATGCAGCCCCCTATGCAAAATCTTCATGTGGGAAAAAATATCGTTCAGTGCAGTTTGATTTTTGCCAACAGACTGCACAGCTCTCACCACACAAACGTTTACTTCAAATGGATTGATCTGCTGAGGACCAGCACATCTTGGGGATGACCACTCATTACTTATTATCCCACAGTGGTCGCATATCGCTGCCATTTTTGTTGCGAGCCCAAGGCATAGTCCAGTTTCAAAACGAACTGGGGCCCTCCTGCACTGGTGACAGCGAAATTCGGACAGCAGCTTGTCCATCATCACTTTGTTTGCAATAAAAAATGATGTCTCAGGAACAACATTATCATCACTCTCGCCATCATTCATTAGTTGAAATTTCCTCTTCGTGGCTGGGGTATCAAATAACGCATTCAAAGCGTCCGCTCGCATTTCTTCTCGTCGTGCAATCTCTTCAGCAGTGAGAGCTGAAGCCGAAATCTGCTGTTTAATACTCAATGCGCGAACATCTGCGATTGCCAATGTCACGTTGCCGTTGCTCGCAGAAGCGCGGTCTCCACTGCTTGTGGACGCATCAAGGCCGCATGCGGACTCGTCAACTCAGCACGTGGACACATCAACACCGCTCGCGGACCCGTCGACTCGGCATGTGGACACAACACCACACGTGGACACGTCGCAAACACCGGACGCGCCGTCAGCCCGGCCCGCGGTTAGGTCGTAACCAGCGCATACGGACGCACTGTCACGACCACACACAGGCGAGCTTTACTGATCTCCCACGTGCTCCGGCGTTTCCTGCTCGGCGAGTTCAGCGGCATTCGCTTCTGTGTCCAGCTTTCTCCTTTTATTCAATGGCTTTCGCCATTTCCCGTACGCGTGGGCCGTTCCGTACTTTGCTTCTTTGGGGCTCATCGCAGCACACACGCACCTGGTTGCGACGATCAAGACGGGAATGAACAAAACGCGCAGCTGTTTCTCGCGCAAATGCACGCGAAAGCCATTCAAAACTTATACAACCAATAGGAGCGCGCCATGTGCCCCCACGTGACTATTGCAGCCAATCGCGATGCCACTTTTGCTCTTTTTTCACTCGCTTTTGCTGGTTTTATTTTTCGTTGGAGAAATACGGCGCTGTGGCTACCTTCAGCTCCGATCTCTCCTCTTCACAATGACACCAAGATGGCGGCGCTCCGCCGTGCGAGAGCTGCGAAATTTTCGGCGCGGCAGCACCTTCCGAAGCCCGATTTTCTTGCAGTTTTCTATGACAACACACAGATAAAGTGCTGTTTTCTCGATTAGTATTGCATGTTTTGTTATGATATTTCACCACGAGGTAAAAGAAGGTTTGAGAATCGCGAAAAAAAATTTATCCAAAATTCGAAAATTTTGACCAAATTGACCGTTCCTATTGCTGCGTCCCCCCTTAATATTATAGGTAATCACACCAGTGTCAACTTTTCTGCTACGTGATGCCAAAGTTCATTGTACGGTCATTCTTTTAGTCCCAATAATAGTTGCTGGCTATGCATCAAGCTAGTTTTAATAATTTTATATGAGTATTCTGAATATATCATTTGATATATACTTCTGGCTGAAGACATTAGGTAAACCTTCATGAAATATTTTATTGTTTGTGACTTTCAACAATATTTGCACCTGTGGTGCCAGCGTTACATGGTGTATTTGTACTCTCGGTTTTCTATTCATAAATTTGGTGCAACTTGGAATGCTGTCTCATTTGCTGACACATTGAAATTCGTCACAGCATCGCCACGTATTTATGACGTTACATATTGCTGCCTGCCAATAAGTTGTCTCACTTTCTTCACATTCATTTTTTCTCACGTGGAACGTAGCTGTGAAAAAAGTTTTTGTCAAAGCCTGTTCAGGAAGCTTCTGTTGCAAAGTGATCAATCAACCACTTTGGTATTGCTGCCCTGTGCGTAATGCACAAAAATAATTGCTGTTCATTGTGCTTGTTATATAGATGAACACCCACTATCTACAATAAAAAGGTAAAAAATAATTACTCCTTATCGTTTATCAGGGGATAAGACATTCAGAGCTCTGCTTTGTTTGCTAGATTGGCTGGCCTTTGTGAGTGCCTTTGACTGTACATAATAGTCACTGCACAAAAGAGCAAGGCATGTCTACCATAGGTACGACATAGAAATTAATATGCAAATGTGCTGAGATGTTTGCGTCATACGACTGAGCTTTCTGTCACTTTAACTGCCCATGCGAGGTTGCAATTTTTGTCGTGCCATTTCGTGGCAGGCCCCAGATGTTGGCCAGGAACGTGGCACACTGCACACCAAGAGACGCAGCACGGAGGACGGGTCAAACGAGTGTCGAGGTGGTTCTCTGCGGAGCAACTCTAGCGACCGGTCGCGACAAGACCGCTCGATGCTGCTGTCTACTGACGAGCCCAGGGTAAGAAAGTTTTTCGCATAAGTGCTTTCACTGATGCTCTCCAGCTTTTACTGCAAGAACAGTGATGCGATCACAACAACAGTTGATTCGGTGACACAATTGTCAGCCTTGGCCACTGTCGCCAGTGTGTGTAACTACTTTCGTGCACAACTCTGAAAAAGTAATCCAGGATCGAGCAGTACTTGAACACAGGCCATCTGTTTGGCAGCTGAGTATTCTACCAAAAAGCCAGCCCAGTGCTTCAAGCTCTTTTGCAGAAAGACCAGTACTACAGGCATCTTCTTGGGCAAATAATCACATTAAGTCATTGACAGATGTAATATGGCACGTTAGAAGAGTAAAACAACACCAGGCAATAAACGATGCAAATTGCATAATGGATGAGTAGTCTAACGCTTGCCTTCTACGTCAAAGGCCTTAGCCATAATTCTTTATCGTCAGCCACAGCATCAACAAAGTGAACATAATGTCTTACATATCTATTACAGTTATTTTGCTTCTCCACGGAATGATGAATAATGGCATATTGGGTACTCTCATACTTTGCAAAATTAAGGCCATTGAAGATGTACAGTCACGTCTGATTTTTTTGGACTCCCTACGGATCGCGAAATTGTCTGAAAAATCAGGCAGTCTGAAAATGAATTCACACTTTCTTATTCTACTCAAATATTCGATTCATCATAGCCACGTTCGAAGCAGCTTCAATGCCTGCCAGTAGACTTGTCAGTAGAGCTGTGCGAATAGAAAAATTTTGGGTGCAAAGCGAATTCGAATAATAAAGTGAATCAAATGTTTTTTGAATACACTCACACCTCATTTTAACAGTCACATCTGCTCCCAAAATAACTTCTCTATATATACAAAAATTTGCTATAAATATTTATCTGTAGTGCTGTATCTGTGACAAGACTATTCTTCATTTACTTCGTTAGAACCAATAATTCATTGTATCCATGTTTATTATATCAAGGTTTGAATGTACTTCGATGTGAAATTGCAGAAAAAAAGAGAGGATTTCTAAACACATTCTTATGAGACATCACAGGAAAGTGTTTCTTTTGGCTAGGTTGGTGAAGCGCTGGGCGGTGTGGTGTTTCATAGTTGTCTTATCAAGATTGTGGCAATGCAGAGGCTGCATTGTATTTATTTACATGATTCGTTGCAACCAATGTCTTGCGACAACACTTCACACGCGAAAGGCAAAGATGTGATTTCTCAGCCTCTCCTGCTCCCTCAACTTCTGTGGAAGCCCAATTGATAGGGTGGACAATGTTAGCTCCCTTCATTCCGGGTTGGAATACTGGCTCATAGAAGTCAACGTATAAGAGCATATATAAGATTGGATACCAAAGATTTTTGGCATCCGACTTTTCTAACTTTCTACCCAAATTTCAGGTCCAAAACAGCATTACTTGAAACCCCGCCTTTGCTACATCTTATTATCTCCCTGTTGGAACCAGCATTTTCTCGAGTCAAAAAATTTGCGAATGTAGCAGAGCCTGAAAGGCACTTTTGCCGCAATACGAGTGTGTGATGGGATGAAGCATATTAAGAATCTGAAGGGGATACTGCCACTCTGACGTCGACCGTCTAGGCTGTAACTAGGGAGAGTTGAGGGGGTTCGGACACCCTATGAAAGTTTTTCATGCTTTATATTTTTGGGTGATACTAAAGTATTCACATGCTTTCACATCGACTAACAGTTGCCAAAGTTAACCATTCTACACATCCCCCATCTCGAAAAAAAATTCTGGATACAGCCCTGTCGACTGTATTTGTCTTCGGGAAGTTCGAATAGTAAAATTTCAATGTAAATTGAATCGAATAGCAAACACTATTTTAAAAAGATTCGAAATGTAAAATATTCACACAACACTACTTATCAGTCACTTTTGGTGCACACCCATGCTCTCGTGAACACATTTGGTATCGGCCGTGGACCCTGCTTGATTAACTATGTGCCAACTGCCAATTGTAAACTGCCGGTTCGCACATAGTTTGAAAAAAAACTTTTTATTACCTCTGTTGTCAGCAGGACTCCCAGCCAGATGAGGAGCCAGAAGTGCTGGACAACTTTGCCCTACTGCGTCGGGCTGCCGAACAAGAAGCAAAGCCAGAGACGCCTCAGCCGCATCCCTTGCCGATGCCAGAGTATGGCGGTTACTATGCACCACTGTCGGAGTTCCTTCCTGAAAGCTCACTGCCTGTGGTAGGCTTTCACAGGTGCGTGGTTCCTTGCATACTCCATCGTTTTGCACACAATAGTGTGTCTGCATAATCTATAAGCCCGAAGCGAGACATCTTTCCACTTTCGTTGTATTTTAAACACATTTTTCTTTTTTTGTTTGGGCACTGCTGCAATGAGCATTCAGGCACAATAAGTGGCATACTTCTCTTTAAGGCCACACATTTATTATCTTAAATGATTGAGGTGGGCAGCATTGTGCGTTATGCTACATCAATAAAAGTCTTTCGCTCAGCCTTTCCAAGGACAAAATAATTTTATGTGTTGGATTCGTGGGGTTGCAGCTACGTTTTGACATTTATTGCGATAGCAATTATATATAGACAGTCTCAGCACATTTTAGCTGTTGGCTTTGACGTGATGTGTTTTATGAAGTCCAAATTGATAACATTGCCCAGCATGTCATATCTTTTATGTGGGAGTGAAAGTGTACGGGCACAGCTGGCAGGTACTTATCTCTAGGAAAGAAAACATGCCAGCCATCATTCTTTTGCTAAAGTGAAGCTAGAGCATAAAAATGGCACCGTTGTATAGCTCTACATTATGTGAGTATGGCTGTACCAATGTTCAATGCACCTTCCCAAAATATTTGCCACAGCGCATTTAAAAAACTGTGTACTGGCCGTTGAATCAGTATAAGGACCCAGTCTACAACTTTGTGGCTGTTCTAGTGCACTGAAAACCAAAGGAAGACACATGTGATATATAAAAACATCGCCCTTTTATACATAAAACACTATTTCAAGTAAAACACACATTTTTGTCCCAACATCCTTACAATTCTAACAGCATGCCAGGGCTGTATGCAGTGTCTCTTGCAGGCTTATGTCGCTTTGCAAGTGTTGCCTTTGTTGAACTGCTCTGCAGGTGCTCCCTCCGCGATTTGTGGAGCCTGGTTTTATCCTTTTCAAGGCTATGACGCATGAAGAGATTTCCTGCACTGTAGCCTAGCTTCTCAGCAATTGCTTCATTGCTCTTTGTGGCCCCCTGATTAAAGCGGCTGATGGCTTCAGCCACTGCTCTTTCTATGCTGCGCAGTGAGGCATGGGTGGTCTTGGGGACTTGTTGCCAAATTGTCGCGTGTAAGCTCTCACTAGGATTCTGGCAATAACAGGCACTTGCGCCAGCGAGTTGTCGTCTGAATGTTCTGCCTCGCAATAACAGGCATTTCCGACAGCCCGTTGTCGTCAGAATGCGCTGCCTCGGCCATCTCCGGCGTTCTCGGCGGCGCGCAGGCCGCTCCCTTCTGCCGCGCATTCCACGCTCGCTTTCGTTTCCTGCCGAAAGCTTGACGAGTGTTCTTCTTCAGGCGAGCTTCCCAAGCCATGCCGGCGAAATGCAGAAAGACGTATACGTCGGCGACGTCGGTACACGAGCGGGTAGCAGACGAGATAACACGCACGAGAGCAGGCGCCGACGGAGCAAAACCAAACAAACAAAAAAAAAAAAGAGCGAGCAACCGTGGCCGCGCCGCCGCGCCAGCCAATGGTAAGTGCGAGACGGGGGGGCTCGCCGGCGCGCGCGCGCTCTTACCAATCAGCGGTCCGGCAGACGGCTTCGCAAAACGGGGGAGGGCAGTCGTTGTGTTGGAGCTACGCCATTATGAGAGCCCGCAAAACGCGCACAAAGGAACCAGCTTCAAAACAAGCCCAAGATGACGCCGATCCACCGGCTGCTTCGCTGGCGGCGCGCGCGGGAAGTTCGAACAAATTTTCTGTTTTGCGGGTTGTTTTGCGACTCCCGTGATGGTTTGAAAATAGATTTTAACCTATTTTTTAATCGAATTTAGCGTTAATAATTTGAGGAGAGGTGCTTATAGGTTCAAAGATTCGAAAAATACGTTTTTCTCAAAATCGATTTTTTGGCCATTTTTTACTTTTCTAAGACCCGCGTCCCCCCTTAAAAAAGATTCGAAATGTAAAATATTCACACAACACTACTTATCAGTCACTTTTGGTGCACACCCATGCTCTCGTGAACACATTTGGTATCGGCCGTGAACCCTGCTTGATTAACTATATGCCAGCTGCCAATTGTAAACTGGTGGTTCGCACATAGTTTGAAAAAAACTTTTTATTACCTCTGTTGTCAGCAGGACTCCCAACCAGATGAGGAGCCAGAAGTGCTGGACAACTTTGCCCTACTGCGTCGGGCTGCCGAACAAGAAGCAAAGCCAGAGACGCCTCAGCCGCATCCCTTGCCGATGCCAGAGTATGGCGGTTACTATGCACCACTGTCCGAGTTCCTTCCTGAAAGCTCACTGCCTGTGGTAGGCTTTCACAGGTGCGTGGTTCCTTGCATACTCCATCGTTTTGCACACAATAGTGTGTCTGCATAATCTATAAGCCCGAAGCGAAACATCTTTTTACTTTCGTTGTATTTTAAACACATTTTTCTCTTTTTGCTTGAGCAGTGCTGGAACGAGCATTCAGGCACAATAAGTGGCATACTTCTTCTTTAAGGCCACACATTTATTATCTTAAATGATTAAGGTTGGGCAGCATTGTGCATTATGCTACATCAATAAAAGGCTTTCTTTCAGCCTTCGCAAGGACAAAATAATTTTATGTGTTGGATTCGTGGCATTGGCTGCTACGTTTTGACATTTATTGGGATAGCAATTATATATGGACACTCTCGGCACTTTTTAGCTGTTGGCTTCGGGGTGATGTTTTATATGAAGTCCAAATTGATAACATTGCCCAGCATGTCATATCTTTTATGTGGGAGTGAAAGTGTACGGGCACAGCTGGCAGGTACTTATCTCTAGGAAAGAAAACATGCCAGCCATCATTCGTTGTACCATAGGCCCATTTAGAAAAGACGGGAGCTGCATGGTTTCAGGTGCGATCATGCATGCTTATCGTTAGAGAGATCAGTTGATGGCTTATACCTCCGTATGTATGTCTCACTGCTCAACTTTTGTTGAAGTGATAAAAACCACGAAAAAGCACGCTGCAGGAGTTAGCTGTCATCATCACTTTGTTTGCAATAAAAAATGATGTCTCAGGAACAACATTATCATCACTCTCGCCATCATTCATTAGTTTGAAATTTCCTCTTCGTGGCTGGGGTATCAAATAACGCATTCAAAGCGTCCGCTCGCATTTCTTCTCGTCGTGCAATCTCTTCAGCAGTGAGAGCTGAAGCCGAAATCTGCTGTTTAATACTCAATGCGCGAACATCTGCGATTGCCAATGGTCACGTTGCCGTTGCTCGCAGAAGCGCGGTCTCCACTGCTTGTGGACGCATCAAGGCCGCATGCGGACTCGTCAACTCAGCACGTGGACACATCAACACCGCTCGCGGACCCGTTCGACTCGGCATGTGGACACAACACCACACGTGGGACACGTCGCAAACACCGGAGCGCCGTCAAGCCCGGCCCGCGGTAGGTCGTAACCAGCGCATACGGACGCACTGTCACGACCACACACAGGCGAGCTTTACTGATCTCCCACGTGCTCCGGCGTTTCCTGCTCGGCGAGTTCAGCGGCATTCGCTTCTGTGTCCAGCTTTCTCCTTTTATTCAATGGCTTTCGCCATTTCCCGTACGCGTGGGCCGTTCCGTACTTTGCTTCTTTGGGGCTCATCGCAGCACACACGCACCTGGTTGCGACGATCAAGACGGGAATGAACAAAACGCGCAGCTGTTTTCTCGCGCAAATGCACGCGAAAGCCATTCAAAACTTATACAACCAATAGGAGCGCGCCATGTGCCCCACGTGACTATTGCAGCCAATCGCGATGCCACTTTTGCTCTTTTTTTCACTCGCTTTTGCTGGTTTTATTTTTCGTTTGGAGAAATACGGCGCTGTGGCTACCTTCAGCTCCGAATCTCCTCCTCTCTCACAATGACACCAAGATGGCGGCGCTCAGCCGTGCGAGAGCTGCGAAATTTTCGGCGCTGGCAGCACCTTCCGAAGCCCGATTTTCTTGCAGTTTTCTATGACAACACACAGATAAAGTGCTGTTTTCCGATTAGTATTGCATGTTTTGTTATGATATTTCACCACGAGGTAAAGAAGGTTTGAGAATCGCGAAAAAAAATTTATCCAAAATTCGAAAATTTTGACCAAATTGACCGTTCCTATTGCTGCGTCCCCCCTTAATATTATAGGTAATCACACCAGTGTCAACTTTTCTGCTACGTGATGCCAAAGTTCATTGTACGGTCATTCTTTTAAGTCCCAATAATAGTTGCTGGCTATGCATCAAGCTAGTTTTAATAATTTTTATATGAGTATTCTGAATATATCATTTGATATATACTTCTGGCTGAAGACATTAGGTAAACCTTCATGAAATATTTTTATTGTTTGTGACTTTCAACAATATTTGCACCTGTGGTGCCAGCGTTACATGGTGTATTTGTACTCTCGGTTTTCTATTCATAAATCTGGTGCAACTTGGAATGCTGTCTCATTTGCTGACACATTGAAATTCGTCAAAGTATCACCACATATTTATGACATTAAATATTGATGCCTGTCAATAAGTTGTCTCACTTTCTTCACATTCATTTTTTCTCATGTGGAACGTAGCTATGAAAAAAGCTTTTGTCAAAGCCTATTTAGGAAGCTTCTGTTGCAAAGTGATCAATGAACCACTTTGGTATTGCTGTCCTGTGCGTAATGCACAAAAATAATTGCTGTTCATTGTGCTTGTTACATAGGCAAACACTCACTATCTACAATAAAAAATGTAAAAAATAATTACTCCTTATCATTTATCAGGGGATAAGACATTCAGAGCTCTGCTTTGTTTTGCTAGATCGGCTGGTCTTTGTGAGTGCCTTCGACTGTACATAATAGTCACTGCACAAAAGAGCAAGGCATGTCTACTGTAGGTACGACATAGAAATGAGTATGCAAATGTGCTGAGATGTTTGCGTCATACAACCGAGCTTTCTGTCACTTTAACTGCCCATGCGAGGTTGCAATTTTTGTCGTGCCATTTCGTGGCAGGCCCCAGATGTTGGCCAGGAACGTGGCACACTGCACACCAAGAGACGCAGCACGGAGGACGGGTCAAACGAGTGTCGAGGTGGTTCTCTGCGGAGCAACTCTAGCGACCGGTCGCGACAAGACCGCTCGATGCTGCTGTCTACTGACGAGCCCAGGGTAAGAAAGTTTTTCGCATAAGTGCTTTCACTGATGCTCTCCAGCTTTTACTGCAAGAACAGTGATGCGATCACAACAACAGTTGATTCGGTGACACAATTGTCAGCCTTGGCCACTGTCGCCAGTGTGTGTAACTACTTTCGTGCACAACTCTGAAAAAGTAATCCAGGATCGAGCAGTACTTGAACACAGGCCATCTGTTTGGCAGCTGAGTATTCTACCAAAAAGCCAGCCCAGTGCTTCAAGCTCTTTTGCAGAAAGACTTGTACTACAGGCATATTCTTGGGCAAATAATCACATTAAGTCATTGACAAATGTAATATGGCACGTTAGAAGAGTAAAACAACACCAGGCATTAAACGATGCAAATTGCATAATGGATGAGTGGTCTAACGCTTGCCTTCTACGTCAAAGGCCTTAGCCATAATTCTTTATCGTCAGCCACAGCATCAACAAAGTGAACATAATGTCTTACATATCTATTACAGTTATTTTGCTTCTCCACGGAATGATGAATAATGGCATATTGGGTACTCTCATACTTTGCAAAATTAAGGCCATTGAAGATGTACAGTCACGTCTGATTTTTTTGGACTCCCTAGGGACCGCGAAATTGTCTGAAAAATCAGGCAGTCTGAAAATAAATTCACAATTTCTTATTCTACTCAAATATTCTATTCATCATAGCCACGTTCGAAGCAGCTTCAATGCCTGCCAGTAGACTTGTCAGTAGAGCTGTGCGAATAGAGACATTTTGGGTGCGAAGCGAATTCGAATAATAAAGTGAATCAAATGTTTTTTGAATACACTCACACCTGATTTTAACAGTCACATCTGCTCCCAAGATAACTTCTTTATATACGAAAATTTGTTATAAATGTTTATCTGTAGTGCTGTATCTGTGACAAGACTATTCTTCATTTACTTCGTTAGAACCAATAATTCATTGTATCCATGTTTATTATATCAAGGTTTGAATGTACTTCGATGTGAAATTGCAGAAAAAAAGAGGGGATTTCTAAAAACATTCTGATGAGACATCACACGAAAGTGTTCCTTTTGGCTAGGTTGGTGAAGCGCTGGGCGGTGTGGTGTTTCATAGTTGTCTTATCAAGATTGTGGCAATGCAGAGGCTGCATTGTATTTATTTACATGATTCGTTGCAACCAATGTCTTGTGACAACACTTCACATGCGAAAGGCAAAGATGTGATTTTCCTCAGCCTCTCCTGCTCCCTCAACTTCTGTGGAAGCCCAATTGATAGGGTGGACAATGTTAGCTCCCTTCTATTCCGGGTTGGGATACTGGCTCATAGAAGTCAACGTATAAGAGCATATATAAGATTGAATGCCAAAGATTTTTGGCATCTGATTTTTCTAACTTTCTACCCAAATTATAGGTCCAAAACAGAATTACTTGAAACCCCGCCTTGCTACATCTTATTATCTCCATGTTGGAACCAGCATTTTCTCGAGTCAAAAATTTGCGAATGTAGCAGAGCCTGAAAGGCACTTTTGCCGCAATACGAGTGTGTAATGGGATGAAGCATATTAAGAATCTGAAGGGGCCACTGCCACTCTGACGTCGACCGTCTAGGCTGTAACTAGGGAGAGTTGAGGGGGTTCGGACACCCCATGAAAGTTTTTCATGCTTTATCTTTTTGGGTGATACTAAAGTATTCACACGCTTTCACATCGACCAACAGTTGCCAAAGCTAACCATTCTACACATCCCCCCCCCCCCCCCTCGAAAAAAAATTCTGGATACAGCCCTGTCGACTGTATTTGTCTTCGGGAAGTTCGAATAGTAAAATTTCAATGTAAATTGAATCGAATAGCAAACACTATTTTAAAAAAGATTCGAAATGTAAAATATTCACACAACACTACTTATCAGTCACTTTTGGTGCACACCCATGCTCTCGTGAACACATTTGGTATCGGCCGTGGACCCTGCTTGATTAACTATGTGCCAACTGCCAATTGTAAACTGCCGGTTCGCACATAGTTTGAAAAAAAACTTTTTATTACCTCTGTTGTCAGCAGGACTCCCAGCCAGATGAGGAGCCAGAAGTGCTGGACAACTTTGCCCTACTGCGTCGGGCTGCCGAACAAGAAGCAAAGCCAGAGACGCCTCAGCCGCATCCCTTGCCGATGCCAGAGTATGGCGGTTACTATGCACCACTGTCGGAGTTCCTTCCTGAAAGCTCACTGCCTGTGGTAGGCTTTCACAGGTGCGTGGTTCCTTGCATACTCCATCGTTTTGCACACAATAGTGTGTCTGCATAATCTATAAGCCCGAAGCGAGACATCTTTCCACTTTCGTTGTATTTTAAACACATTTTTCTTTTTTTGTTTGGGCACTGCTGCAATGAGCATTCAGGCACAATAAGTGGCATACTTCTCTTTTAAGGCCACACATTTATTATCTTAAATGATTGAGGTTGGGCAGCATTGTGCGTTATGCTACATCAATAAAAGTCTTTCGCTCAGCCTTCCCAAGGACAAAATAATTTTATGTGTTGGATTCGTGGGGTTGGCAGCTACGTTTTGACATTTATTGCGATAGCAATTATATATAGACAGTCTCAGCACATTTTAGCTGTTGGCTTTGACGTGATGTGTTTTATGAAGTCCAAATTGATAACATTGCCCAGCATGTCATATCTTTTATGTGGGAGTGAAAGTGTACGGGCACAGCTGGCAGGTACTTATCTCTAGGAAAGAAAACATGCCAGCCATCATTCGTTGTACCATAGGCCCATTTAGAAAAGACGGGAGCTGCATGGTTTCAGGTGCGATCATGCATGCTTATCGTTAGAGAGATCAGTTGATGGCTTATACCTCCGTATGTATGTCTCACTGCTCAACTTTTGTTGAAGTGATAAAAACCACGAAAAAGCACGCTGCAGGAGTTAGCTGTCAGCCTTACTTTGTGTAACATTTTTGTTTGTTTCTGTCACATTCATTGCTTTGCTTTTGCGGCAAGACCGTGACTTTTCATTTGAGTAGATTGCAAAAACACTAATCTGCCATGCCATTTGTGCACGTAAAAGAACTAACTGCGGAACTACCCTAAAAACATTTACACTCGAACCTCATTTTAACAAACTTGCATCTTACATGAAAATAAGTTCGTTATATCAAAAAATTCGTTATAAAGGTGTATTCTTAACACTAAATCTATTGCGAGACCACTTTTCATTTACTTTGTTATAACCAATATTTCGTTTTATCCGGATTTGCTATATCGAAGTTTGAGTGTATATATACATTTTTTCCTCCCTTCAACAATCACAGAGTGGAATTCATTAACATCTCCTTCACCCTTGCTACGCAGAAAGTTTTGATCTTATCGTTCATTGTGTGCGTTTATGTACATCCTCTCCTGCTTGGACTACTGTCTGCAGTATTGTACAAAATAAATAAAAAATAACGGAATATAGGTTGAATTTTCTTAAAAAAAAAAAAAAACAATGAAATGTCGACCCTTGTCATAATTATACACCGATCATTGGCAGAAAAAAAAAATATGGAAATCAACAATGGGCAGCTGAAGTCAAAAGTGTCTATTGCCATCATAAGCATCAGCAGCGGCACCGTTGGGCAAGGCAAGGCCTGCAGTGTTCTAGCAACACCACTTTGCCTCTGTTAACTGCTGTCAGTCTGCTGTTTTCTTTTTTCTATTTCCTTCAGAAATGAGTGGTAGTCGACGGCAGTTTATTATAGGCTTTAAGAAAAAAGTAGGCTTGTCTGAATAGTGAAATTAAGGTTCTAAGCGAATAGGGAGTTCGGTAGAATAATTTGGAATCGGATTCAAATAGTAATATGATATATAAAGAAAAATGTCCATATGTATTATAGCCTAAATAACCTACACAATATTTTTTTTTATTGAAATAAGGCCTCTATGCAAATGCCTTTTTTTTTTCTTCAAAGGAAGTCGAAACAACTTTGAGTAGTAGCAGGATTTGACTTTCGGTGGAATGCAAGTGATAACCTGTAAAATACATAACATTTTAAAATTTATTATACTTAGCATATAAGCCATCATAACAAGCTATTAAGCTTAAAAAATGACGAATCGATTTGACGGTAGTATGTTTATTTAAAGGAGCCCAGCCACACTTTTTCAAGTAGCCATAGAATGGGTTCACTAAAGGAGCTCATGGCTTCATGAATTTATTACGACAAAATGCTTTAAAATCTATCCAGTACAAGCATATTTGCAAAGATTTGTCGCTTGCTGCACTTGCATTGTTTCTTCTCATCCCAATGAAAACGCTGGAAGCTGAGAAGGGAGGGATGACATGGAGAAAAAAATTTGTCACGTGCACCTCGTGACATTCAGCGCTTTTTCTTTTTTCCTCAAGTACACAGCTTTTTCAGAGCGATTGCGCACCTATGTGTGAACAAGTCATGGCCTCCCGCGGCGGCCCCATTAACGACCGAGCGCACCATGTTCAAATCAGCCAATGGCTGACACAATGATTGTGACTAGTTATTTTTGAGCTTGTGGCGTCATTTGCCGAGAGAAGAGAGAAATTTTTAGCTGACCTTGAGAATTTATTGTGAATTGCAGGCTCCGTGCTGCGCTATAATATTTGGCTCGCGTGTTCTCGCAGCCTCGACCACTTATCGTCAGCGTTTTCTGGCCATGCTCAAAATGTGTTGCGAGGCCCCTTTAAATTTAAAGTGAGGCTTCACAACAAAACGCATTTTTTCTGGATAGGTGCTTTCACCGTTTAGCACTGCAGTGAAATTACTTTTACAGGCGGTTACTTGCGGATTAATATGCACTTATTCATTCATTGCGAATACTTCGAAATTTTCAACAATATAAATTAGAATTGAAGCAAATTTGAATACTCCATCATTTGTTCTAATATTTAAAGCAATTGAATATTTGCACAAGCCTAGAAAAAAGTTATCAAGTATGCCGATGCACACGGCAACCTGGTGGCACAATGGGAATTCGGTGCATTGGAGAAAAGCATCATATACTGGTGGAGCCAAAAGCAGTGTTTATATCCTGCAGCTACCAAAGAAAAACATAATTTCGTGGACGGATTGCAGTGTAGCCCGAACTGGAAACGCTATTCGCCGAATTCGTCTGGGAGCTGCGTGCAAGGTCGCTACCCGTGACAGGGAAGTGCATCTGCATGAAAGCTTTCAATATAGCGTGCGACTCTGGACTCATGAGGGTGCAATTCAAGGGATCGTCATCGTGGGTGCGCCAATTTATGAAGCGAAAGGGCTTTGCACTGAGGCAGCATACTTTTGGGTTTCCGCAAATGCTTCATAAGTAACGCATTGAATGGAACAGAGGACGATGCACTCTGGGACGTTAATAGTGAGAAACAGACGCCGGACTCAAGTTCGGTCGAGTCTGAGTGACAGCATTTTGTGTCCTTCTGGCATTGAACTACACATAAAAAGAAATATCACCACAGTATAGGTGGTTAAGTTGCGTATTTACGAAGGTAAAGGTGCGCCACGGTGATTTGCAAACTTTTTTTCAATTTCTTTTTTGGACGTTCACAGTTTGGGGGGTTGACCTACATTCTGGTTTGACCTATATTGAGCATTGAGCGCCACCTGTCGATCTCATATTGTATTAGCAATTTGATGTTAAGCAGCTTATTGTTTTGCCTGCTTTTAACGTGTGCGAAAGATCTTCTGTGGAATGTGCTTGTATAATTGATGTAGATAGATGATATACCGTATGTTTTAACTGAAACAGTAATGCAAAAGCTTTGACCATTGCACAGGCATGTTGGTATCACAGCTTTCACAAAATTATTAGGCAATCTATGAGGATATCTGATAGTCCAATAAAGTCCCGCGACGATTGCATTGATTGTAGTAGTCTGTGTTCATAAAGTTATGCTGTCTTTCTTTGTCCAGGTGCAACCTGGCTGTCATGCTACTCACCGATGTGGTGGTGAGCGGCGTGCCTCTGGATTGGGGTCCTCACCTGCCCATGCTACTGCATGTGCTCTTCCTTGGCCTCGATCACGCTCGGCCACTTGTGCACGAACACTGTTCTCGTCTGTTGCTCAACTTGCTTGTTGTCGTGGCTCAGCACCGGGACCACCTGGGAATAGCACGCATCCTTCTCGACAACCGCGTTCGCCAGCTGGGTTATGGAATACATTCCCAGCCACGCATGCTCTCAACCATCAATTTCACAGAGCCAGTGTCACTGAATGATGCCACGTCGTCTGCTCCAACCACTCAAGCAGCTGTAACCACATCAGTGCAAGACCAATCGTCAACCAATCAGTGCAACACGAATACGTCATCGTCAACAGTAACAACTATGACAACAACTGTCACAACCACAGGATGCCAAACCAATGCACAGTCTGGCACCAACCAGTCAAACTCTGAGTCTACAGTGCGAATCAAGCTGGGCGGCACAGACCTAGAGCAAGATTTTTGTTGTTCTCGACCCATTGAAAGAACGATCAAGGCGCTCATTGACTTTCTCGCTTCCAAGAAAGACTCAGCCTTGTGGGCTTACGAGGACATCACCGCAAAAGTGTGGTCTGTGAAGAGTGCAGAACAGCTGAGCACGTTTGTTCATCATGTAGCGACTGTCTTCACTGACTCGCTTCCACAGGCTCACATTGAGCAGCGGTGGGCACAAGTTGCCCTCCAGCTTGCGCTCTCATGCTCGTCACGTCACTACGCGGGTCGTTCGCTGCAGATATTTCGTGCACTGCGCGTGCCTATAACGACACGCATGTTGGTTGACATCTTGTCACGCCTTGTCGAAACTGTTGCTGAACAGGGAGAAGACATGCAGGGCTACGTGACAGAGCTAATGCTGACACTTGAGGAAGGTGTTGACTCTCTCGACACAAACCTCAGGATTGATGACTTGATGAGAGAGATATTTCAGTCTGCACCAAACATCGCGGGGAAAGATAACCGAAGGAGTGCTCCCCCGCCCTTAGACTCGCCGGTTGGAACACCATTTGTTTCTCACATCCGCAGCACTTCATACTCTGTCTCCTATTCTGGCAAAAAGCTGCCAGAAAGTCCAACATCAGACTGCCGTGAGTCCAGGTCAAGGGCTTACACTGATGATGAGGCGAGGTTGCGTGGAAACAGCCTCGGACGCTCTCGCAGTGCTCTCTCATTAAAGACAGCCGATGAGCAGTATACTCAAGAGGATAGGATGACTCTGTTGGCACAGTTCTTTTGGATCGCTGTGTCTCTGCTGGATTCTGACTATGAGCACGAGTTCCTACTCGCCCTGCGATTGTTGGAAAAGGTGCTTAGCAAGCAGCCACTGGAGAATGCAGACTTCCTTGAAAAAGTAGACAAGATACAGCACCAGATGAAGTGGCCTGGCTTTCCTGGGCTGCATGCCTTGCTGCTAAAGGGTTGCACTAGCCCGGCTGCATTTGACCAGACCATCAACATTCTTTGCCAACTGACCCATCACCTAGATGTGCCAGTTGTTGACCCTACTGAATCGTTGGCTTTCCCATTTCACGTAATGGCACTGCTGCCATATTTGCTCTTCAACTTTGATGACCCTGCTCCGCTGTGCGTTCGTGCTGCAAAGGCGATTGCCCATGTGTGCATGGAGCGATCACAAAAGCTGGAGAACCTTGCCACTGTGATGACTCTTTACAGTCAGCACTCATTTAGCAAAGAGAACCTGCAGTGGACCAAGTGTGTGGTCAAGTACCTCTATGATGCCTACTCTCATGTATTTATTGGCATTGTCTCTTTCCTTGTTGAGACAGTAGAGAAAGGACCTCCCTCATTGATGCAGCATATGCTGAATGTCCTCTACTGTATCCTTCTCTACATGGACATCCAAAGCGCAGCACAGACAATCAATGCCGACCTGCTGCGAGCCATTGCTCGTCACGTGGAGGGCTCTCACTGGAAGGACGTGTTGAAGATCTTGAAGCACGTTGTGGCTCGATCGTCCAGCTTGGCTGCGCCACCTTCATCAGTTCCTGCGTCCCTTTCAGGTGTAACCACAGCTGATTGCATTAGTATCGCCTCCAGCACTTCATTTGCAGACTCAGAGTTCTCTGCAAAACGAGAGCTGCCGGGTCGCACCATTGACTTTACGTTTGACCTCTCCATAACTCCAGTCGTAGGCCTAAACCCAGACACCAAAGAGGAGACAAACGAGACCAAAGAAGAAAAAAGCTCGCCTAGGCGCAGCCTGTCACACAATCATTCCTTCAGTGAGAATGGCTCTCTCGGAGGCTGGAGGCGCCCATGGCTCTCACAGGGACGAACTCGTGAGCATCTGATCAGTCTGTTGACGGCCTGTGGCCAGCGTGTTGGGCTTCCTAAGAGCCCCTCTGTGATTTTCAGCCAGACCAGCGATGTTGCCGAGCGTCAATCCTCCATGTGCAGCAGCACAGAGGAGGTGTCTGCCACCAACAACGACGTTCTCTGCGGACAGCAAGCTGGATGACGGCACGCACAGTGACCAGCAGTTCGGAATCTTCAAGGACTTTGATTTCCTCGAGTATGAGCTGGAAAGTCAGGAAGGTGAAAGCATGGACAACTTCAACTGGGGAGTACGGCGCCGGTCGCCACCCAACTTTGAGGTGCAGTGCTCAGGCGTAGTCCAGCCTTCTGGATCTGACTCCAGCATCACAGTGCGCTACAGTGTCACCACACCACGACGGGAAGAGTCGTCCGACGACGATGCTGGCAGCGTTTCACCTCTCTACGATCATTCGGAGCTGCCAAGCTGCACTAGCAGCCTCGTGTTCCCTGCGATTTCGCTGCCTCTCAAAGGCAGCTTTCGCAGGCCTGGGAGTCCCGTGTCTGGATCTTCACAGAGCTTTGTCAGCGACGGCGACCTCACTCTTAGCAACACTTCACCTAGCTTCTCGCCACTGACTGCGACTGCACCGCCGCTTGATGACGCGGAAGATGCCTGGAGAGCCAGCTTACATCGCTTGATGGCTGCCTCTCCAGAGGACACCAGCTCCATCTATCAGACACTGGGGCGCCTGCTACGAGAGTCATTCCGCAAGGTCTCCCGAATGACACGAGAGTGCTGTCAGCTGCTCTCTGGCACCGACTGCCTCCGCCGTGTGACTGCCCTGTTTCTCAACATGCTTGATGTGCTGGCCACTCAAGCAGAGCTTCCCTTCGTCTATGTGGACCCACAAGTGACTTCCATTGTAAGTGGATTCACCAGGCATAGCTTCTGTATTTATTAATCTATTTATTGCAGCATATCCTCATGTCAGTTACTGGATTTAAGGCAATGTTGCGTATGATTTAATATAAAACTTAGCCGTAATTATAATTATACAGCAGCTTTATACGTTTCCTTTTTCTTACTTTGCTCATTCTCACCTTAGTATCAGCCTTCTGCAGCAAAATGTATTATTGTAAGTGGAACAAAGCATTGATGGATCATCGGTTAATGGACAAATGTTATTCAGTGTGCCCAATCAACTCTGAATATGCCCTGGCACTTTTACAGATTTTGGAAAGGAAGAGCTGATGAACGTAGCCTTTGCTTGTAGCTGTTGTGCACACTCTAGGACTGATAACTTATTAAAGGAAAGGTTACTTAGTAAAGAAACTTAGTTCTAGGTTCTGCAACAAATCTGCATATTTCAGAATTTGTATTCATTTACTGTCATATTCATGGGCTGTACGTGCCATTCTCACCATCACTTAAAGCTCGGGCGTTATCATCTCATTCATTTTTCATTAGTTTGTTGTTCCATATAACATACTGTTTTCTTTGTAGCTACTCAGTTTTGTAATAACATGCCATTAGGTGCTAAATAGTTCTCTCTTGTTTCTTTAGCAGTGTCTAGGATGTAACTACTTTCCCTTATTCATTATTATTAAACTGAGTCTAAGCATCTATTTCGCTGTTCCTTACTCTTTTTAAATTTATGTAATTGTCACAGTTGTTTTAATGGTTTATCATGTTCATTTTTGTATTTGTATTGTTTGAACATTTGTTTGACTATTGCTGCCATTTCTTGTATTTATCTCCACTGGATTTCCACCATTCCCCTCTCAGCCATATGATTTGGGACCTCGTTTTGAAGTACCTATCTTATGATGTAATTTTTCGGGAGAAATTAGAGATCCATGTGATGTCCATTAGGCAAGACAGGGACAGGAATGGACATGAACTCGCTCACATAGTGTTGACTTCTTATTATACCCCGCTGCAAGAACTTGGATTTGCAGTCGCACTTCGGCACAGTATATCGTAACAAAATATAAGGCTTGAAGTGGTCATATAACAGTAAATAACTTCATGCAGACGGTTGTGCTTGTGACTATAAAGTTACTAAGCTAGCTTAATTTTATGGTTATTGATGTGACTGCTGCTTCTGGTTCTTGAAAACCGGAGAGCCGAGCTAGCCGGTAGCTATTTATTTTAAAAAGGAGACAACGGCACTTGTGGTGTCGAGACTTCTCTCGTGTGTTCATGTTCGCATGCCCTATCCTTTTTAACATGGCTTCTGGTTTTAACCTATTGGGTAATTCAACTTCAGGCTCCGGCAAATTAGCACAGGCTTTTACAGTAAAGTTTAGTGTACCCTTTGCTGCTGTCAGTGCTGTCGTCGTTGTCATTGTTGTAGTAGTAGTAGTAGTAGTAATGATTGATTGATATGTGGGGTTCAACGTCCCAAAACCACCATATGATTATGAGAGACGCCGTAGTGGAGGGCTCCGGAAATTTTGACCACCTGGGGTTCTTTAACGTGCACCCGTTGTAGTAGTAGTAGTAGTAAGAGCAGTTATGCAGGGGGCAAGTTACCAGAGGGGAGAGTGAATTAAGAAAATAAAAAAGAAATTATGATGATATCAAAATGATGATGTGGTGAGGCTGAATGTTGATGATGATGCAACTGACCTCGCTATCCAATCACGTACACACACGTGCTTATAATTTCCCTGTCAAACGGTTTTCATGGTGTGGAACTGGCTTTAATCTTGTTTTCCCATTATGCTATCAGGGACGTGGAGGAGCAGTGACAGAGCGTCTGCGTTGCTTAGTGCTGGAGGAGCAAGAGCACTGGGAGACGTTCTTGGAGAAGCGGGAGCATCTGGCCGAGGCAGCGGACGCTGTGCGCTCGGGTGCCAAGCTGGAGGCCCTTGGCGAAGCACTCTCCCAGGAACTTCTCCTGGAGCAGCGCCTTGACCTTTGCCGTGCACTATACCGGCTGCACTTTCAGGTCACCGCAGCGGCCATGTTTTAGAGGCTTCTTACTTTTCTGAATGTGACACTGAATCAGTTCAAACTAATCAGTGGAGCTGTGCGAATTGCGAAATTTGAGGTGCGAAGCGAGCACGACTACTGAAGAGTGAGTGCAATTGAATCAAATGTTTAAAAATATTTCTAGAATACTTTTGGAATGCTTTGAAGCGATATTAGAGAAAAAATAGTTGGAGAGTATTCCTAAGCATCATGTTATAACCTCCGTATTCATGAACCTACCTTAACTTATCGCGGTAAGGTTACTTACAAAAGGAAGAGAAAGGTATAAGAAAAGCATAAGGTGAGCATCAAAACCCTGCCTTATCTTGTCGTAAGTGTGGCTTATGAAAGGTGACCTTAAGTTGTCAACCATATACCCTAGAAACGAGGGTAGGTAAATTTTTGCTACGGTATGATTTCCTTGAGCAGCAATAAGATAGCTTTGTTGCAAGTACATTGACATAGTGGGGTCGTAAGGTCACTTCTATTATTTTGACGCATTGTACATTCTTGCTGTGTTTGTTGATGGTATTTTCGTGCCCAATTCAGTATTTGTTGTTTTATGTCACTATTTTAAATTTTTACTTGATTTATTTAATCGAGCAGTTTTACGGCATTTCTTGATGAAGTTGCATTTATTGTTGAACGGCGCACTAAAGTGAACTTTACCGATGGAAAGTGTGGCGTCCTGATGGATTTTGTTGATAAGTGCTGTGAGGTACGTAAAAGCATGAAGACAGATGCTGATCCCTTCATAGGAAACAACAAAAAAACATAGACGTAGCTTGCAGTGAAATATGACAGCCGACACAATGTGCATCCGTGCACGGCTGGCCAAACAACTAAAAAAGCTTTTGCACCGCTTCGGGAAATTTTTACCGATACGGGAAACCGGTGTTTTTACATTCAAGGCAGATATCCACTGGACTGTGTACCCGTGACACGATCGGCCACGAAACATAGACAAGGGCACCGCACCCAAATTTAAACATGCCAACTCTATAAAAGCTCGATGCCATGAGCAGCTGCACAAAAAGCGGCACAGTGAACCCACGACTATGGATATTTTTCTGCAGAAACAGCACAGCTCTTCATGGCACACTTTGTGAAGCAGGGGCGACCCAAAAATTGCTGCTTGTCATAGGTCTCAACCGGGATCCAGCGATCGTTTATCATTTGCCGCGAACAGTGACTTCCAAAAAAACAAACTTTCCAAAGACAAATACAGTCATCCGAACGACGGTGCCCCTTCAGATTTTCAATATGTTTCACACCATTACATTACTTGAAAGGCAGCACAGCTGCCCTTCAAGTTGTGTCCACAGTCATAATGTATTGACTCAAGAAAATACCGGTTCCAACATGTAGATCATAGATGTGGCAGAGGTGGGGGCTCATATAATGCCGTTATGGACCTGAAATTCGGGCATAAGTCTGAAAAATTGGACGCTGAGGATGTTTAGTATCCAAAATTTCAGATGTTCTTATATATTGACCTCTACGAGGCAGATTTGGAACTCCAGAAACAAAGAGAGCACACCCTTGTCTGCCACGTCAGTTCCACAGAAGTGTAAAGAGGATAGGCTGAGGAAATAGCATCTTTGCCTATCACATGTGAAATCTCATCAGCAACACTTTGGTTACACTTAATTGTGTACACAAATCAATCAATTTTGTCTTCGGCATTTTCTGATTCTTGATAAGACAACCAAGATACACCACCGTGCAAGCGCTTCATCAACCTAGCCAAAAGAAACTTTCATGTTGCTATCTCTTACAGGGGCCCTGAAACGCTTTTTAAAGTAACCACGGAATGAATTCACTGGAAAAGCTTATTGCCTCATGAATTCAACACCTGCAAAAATTTTAAGAATCCATCCAATGCGAGTGGAGTTACAAAGGTTTGTCGAATGGTTTTATTGCATTCTCTCTCCTCGCATCCCGACGAAAGCGCTGGATGCTAAGCAGGGAGGGATGGCAGGGCCCCAGAAAAACGTCACACGCACCTCGTGACATTGAGCACTTTTTTCTTCGAATGCACTGCTTTTTCAGTGTGATCGTGCGCACACGCGTGGACAAGTAGCAGCCTCCCACAGCAATCTCTTTAAGGAGCGAGGGCGCCATGTTTAAATCGGCCAATAGCTGATAGATGGGTAATTCATGTGATTTTTGGGCATATTCTGTGATTTGTCGAGAGAAGAGAAAGCAATTTTTAGCTGACTTGGGTAATTTATAGTGAATTCCAGGCCACAAGCTCGCGTGTTTTCTCGCGTGTTGTCGGGAGCCTCTACTAACAATCGGCAGCGTTTTCTGACCATGCACAAAAAGTGTTGCAGGGTTCCTTTAAGAATATATTTAGTAATCTTTGCAGTTTCTTTATCTGGTTCTGATACTTGAAGATATTCTGTTCAATTCGAACTCGCACTTTAATATTCGAATTCGCTTGGCTGCCCAAAATATTACTATTCGCCCAGCTCCTAATTTTTACCACTAAAGAATAATCTGGACTCTAGCAGATAATGTTGAAATCTGTGGCGTCATAGTGAGTTGTTGCAAGATCAAGGTTAAATCGGCATTTACAACCTTAGTTTGTTCATTTTCTGCCCTACCAAGCTTGGTATGCACTTGCTAAGCATCATGACTTAGATTCAGTGCCCAGCCAAGGCGGCAGAATTTCGAAGGGGCCGAAATACAGAGACATTTGTGTACTTAGTCTTGGCACACATTAAAGAACCTCGGATTGTTTATCACTGTAGGACCTTGGTAATACAAACCCAGTGATATGAATTTTAGTCTGATATGAATGCACAAAATTCCCCAGCCAAATTTCATTGTGTTCGGTGGGCCAAAACTCAGGTGTTCTGTCACATCGCAACAGGTGTTATGAATTTGGGTGGTGAAACCATTGTTGCGACTCCGGGTCCCGCGGGTCTCAGTTTGGTAGCGGGCGCCCGTCATAGGACCCATCGTCGAACTAGTCAGATGAGGTGCTTGTAAAAACGACAACAATTTATTTACATGGTTAGTAACTGAGAATTAGAAAGGAGGTGATCAAGTGATCAGAACTGTACATGAGAACTGTTGAACTGTAGAACTTTTAATACACGAAAGTCTTCGGCTTATATAGCGCCTCGTTGCCAACCCTGGGCACATTGTCCGCGGCTTCCGCCAATAGGGCGCTCCATGGTCTAGGTGCTCCACCCACGAAGGAGAGGAAAGACACCACACAATGCATGCGGAGAGGGCACAGTCCACACGATGCCCAAATATGGTCACCAAAGCACTGCACCGACCTTTTCGCACACGTCACCAAGTTTCGCGCACGTCCGATGATTTTGGTTTCCAAGATTCTTCTGGCAGCTGGGTGAGGTTCGAAAAACCGGCTGCCAGTACACGTGTCAAACTTGCCTGACTGTTTGAGTAGGACAATGTAGTGGTGGGCCAGCATATCGTCAAAATATGCCACCCCATTCAGCCGATCTTAAGGAAAAGGGGGAGGAAGGAGTGGTCGACTAATCCCTCGTTGTCGAGGCAGGCTTCCCGCAAAGGCTACAGCAGATAGTGCCCTTTTCTTTCCTTCAACCCCACATTCCATTCCTGGTTGTTTGCTAGAAGCTGTGGCTTAGCTGCACATATCCCGGGGCTCCGCTTCTCCTCACAAGATGCAGCCACAACCACTTTGGCTTTAGCTTTCAGCCTGAACTGCAAATACCATGCTGGTTCCGAGATTTCCAGATCCTCGGTGACCTCGAAAATGGCCCAGCTGCCTCCTTGTCTGCTTCGAAAGCTTTGCTCGCAGCAAACACAATGGCCTTTCTTGAGTTGAGCTACGCAATGGCCTCTCTTGGCTCGTGCGTTTTCTTTGCGCGAACCAGTACTGAACCCCGCGTTCAGGTTTTGCCGAGCGGAAATCAACTCGTCTTGACGGCACACCCTTGCTTGGAAATGCGTCGAAATATTTTCGTCCCGTTCACAAAGGCCGAAAAACTTCAATAATGCTGACAGTCGTAACACCTATCAAGCCATGACGTACAGCAGCATGCTTCAGAAAGTGTGGAACTAATCCTAAAGTAGACGCATGTTCAACTTTAACTGAGTCACAGAGATGGTGCTTGACGCAACAACCGCAGACAAAACTGTAGTAGATGCTGTCTATAGACGCTGTCATAGACAGCAACAGTGCAGTTTCAGTGGCACGTACGTGGCCAGTGCACACAAACTGAAAGCAGAAATACAGTTTGCCACAGTCGCTACTCATGAAACCATGGTCGCCATCAATAAGATCGTTGAGGACTGCACAGCTATGAAGGCACATGGCTAACACAGCAGTATATAACATAAAAAGACACAAAGTATTTTGGTGTTCTTTTTGTTTGCTTACTGCTGTGGTGGAGCAAACCTGGGCACTTGGTTTTCAGTCCGAGTTTTCACTTGGACTCGTGAGAAGTTCCGTTCACTTGTTTCCCAAAAAGACATATGCGAGTAAGTTTGATGGAAATAGATGTTTTGTGTTTACATATTGTGGTTTGAAAGTTTTGCTAGCTTTTTGGAGATGAGAAACGTTGGGTGATACGAATATTTTTGCCCCACCTTGAGATTCGTATCTCCGAGATTCTTCTGTATTGTGTGATCCTTCATCTACATGCCTCATAATAGTGTCGTTTTGGTGCATAGTAGCTCGGAGCATAACTTTAAAAGTTAGACACTTTGCTTATAGGTCCTGCTGCTGCTGGAAGGCTATCGACGCCTGCTCGAGCAGCTGGGCTGGGCTGCGCCTCAGTGGCAGTTGGCTGACCTGTCCCAGGAGCTGACAGCCGTGCGCAGCGAGGTCCTGCGCTCCATCGAGGACACAGAGAGCGAACGACTGTCGCCGCCGCCTCCCGAGGGTGCTGAATCGGCCGACCCCGAAGACACCCTGGCTTCCCTGTTGAATGATAGACGGTGGGCCGAAGTAGCCAGGCACCTGCATGGGTGAGTCTTTGTTTTAGTTTGCGACGAAACAGACATTGCATACACAGCCATATCCCTTAGCCTTTGTATAGATGACCATGATTTTCGAGGTATCCTTTGAAGAGGCCTCGAACAGCCCCTCAGGTTTGGGAAGAAGCGCATCCTACAGAAAGCATACATCACTGCAAACAACTCAGCCAAATATTGCAGTTGTGCATTAAAAGCGGAGAGATAAGTTACCATTTACTCGAGCACGCTCTCTGCGTTCAGAGGCATGCTATTTGTCTACAGACGACATAAATGAGGAGCAGTGTTGGATCAAATGTGCTTCGTGCCAAACGGTGCTGCCACCTGCTGGTGTCATGCTTCATTATATGCTAAAATTACACGGTGAGCCACACCACAGCAGGAAAGAGCGATCACGTTTCATCACACGCTCAAGGCCATGACGCATGCTGGCGTAACTTCCTTACCACTTTCTGTAGCTGCCTGTGTAGGTTATAGTGCGCTCGTCTGGAAGAGCCTCGCAAGTCTGCTCGTTCTTGGCAAATGCAAGATATTTTTGCGTCAATCGGTTCATGAAGTAATAAAATGTGTCAGTGAGGTCATTTGATAGTTACTTGAAAAAGAGGTTCAGGACCCCTTAAGGGCAATATTACGTGCTTACTACACTATCATCTTCATGAACAGTGGCAATTTTCAGAACTGGCAGTCACAATGCAACATACGTATAAGCACAGACAACATACCTATAAGCACATACGTATAAGCACAGACATACGTATAAGTTATGTCTTTTTCACAAAATTTATTAAAATTTATTACAACAGCTATCTGAAACAGAAATTATTAACAAGGCCATCATACATATCAGCTCGAATTGATCACCGCAATAAAGTTGGAGTTTCATCATGTCACACCAAATGTTTTCATGACTCATTCATACCCAGAACTTGTGTCAGTTGGAATGATCTTCCCCATGATATCGCTTATATAACTGATAAAAATATGTTTCGTAAAACTATTAATCTTCTCTAAATGTTTGTGTGTATATATATATATGTTTGTATATATGTAGTAGATATGTGTGTGTGTATATATATATATATATATATATATATATATATATATATAAGGTTACTATTGTTAGTATACGTTTTTACTTATCAAATTGTTGTCATTTATGCCTACTTTATTTCACTTACTTCTCTGCTGTGAGTTTTTTTCCTTGCTGTTTTACATTGCTTCCGTTATGTAGATCTCCACTCCCCTCTGTAATGCCCTCGGACCCTGAGGGTACAATAAATAAATAAATAAATAAATAAATAAATAAATAAATAAATAAAGTGCATTCTGAACACATCTGCAATCTTAACTTAATTGGAGCTTTACATTGGCTCAAGCATAGTAAAGGTTATGGTACTTTTATTTGATACAAGCAGGCTAACGTGAACTCTGGTTGCATAATACGGCAATACTGGAAGCAGATAACTCGGTATGTGCCTTGTGCAAAAGTAAAAAACAGAGTATTTGCTGCTAGCCCCCCTGTAGGCATCGTAATCAAACAGAAGGTTGATGCACGTTATTACACTGCGCAGGCAACACAGCCCTGGAGAAGATGAAGACCTGGAGGCCGTGCTGGCTGCCTACTGCCAGCATCTCAGCCAGCAGCGAGCGGGCATGCCACCGTTCTTCGCCATGACCCACCCCGATCCAGATTTGGCAGTGGTCGGACAGCGGCTGCGAGAGCTCAGCTTGCAGCTCTCCTCTGCACTGCATGCCTTGGATATCAGCGCTGTGGCAGGTGCCATGGTTGCATCGCCAGACCACACCTGCATTTTTGACTCTTCACTGTTCCGCAAATCGGACTGCTGAAGATTTCAGCCGTGGAATGGCACAACTGTATAGGTCATCGAGACTTTGGTTCATTTGCACTGCCACCTTAACTTTGTTGGCTTGTTAGTGGTGTCAGAACAATGTCCGTTGTGTTGTGCCACAAGCCATCAGCACCGAGCATTAATATATACGCAGTCACTATATGTTTTTAAGCTGGTCAGTTGTATCATAGAATTTCCCCCTTATTACTGTTGGAAAGTCGCTTAATTGTGTATTGCCCTATTCTTTGTGGTTATGCTCTCTTTTCATCAGCAGTCACTGTACTAAGCTTGTGCAAATAGTAAGTTTAGGTTCGAAGTTAATTAAAAGCAAATAGTGAATTGGTCGAGTAATTTAGAATAAAATTTGAATAGTATGTATCACATATTGTAAAAAAAAAAAGAAAGAGCATAATTGTCACTCAATCAACCTGCACATTAAGTCTTAGAATTCAAACAAGGCATGTGAAAATATTTTCTGTTTTGGTTTCCAAGGGCAGTGGCTGCATTTTTGAATAGTAGCAGAATCAGAATTTCGGCACGGTGCAACGTAAGAATTTGTAAAATATGTTACGTTTTAAAGTTTACTATACTTAGAACATATAACCTGATATAACAAGCTTCTAAACTTAAAAAATGGTGAAGCGATGCGATTGCAGTATGTTCATTTTACCTTGAAGAGGGGCATCACGGGCAGTGCGGATTTTTTTTGGATAGGTGTATTCAGTGCATAGCACCCCTCCACTGCAGTGAGACCACCTTTACAGGGGGTTACAAGCAGACTAATTTACATTCATTTCTTCTTTGGAATACTTGGAAATTTGCAATAATATAAATTCTTATTGATTGACTTGTGGTGTTTAATGTCCCAAATATAAATTCTAATAGTAGTGAATTCAAATACCATTATATTTGTTTGAATATTTAAAGTATTTGAATATTTGCATAAGCCTAACCTGTACGAATTTTTTTCCCGTCATTATGTCGAAAAAGCTTCTGACATCTCTTAACACGACCACTTATGTTTCTAACTTATGTTGTAAAATTTAATACTCCAAGATAAAGGTGCCTTTGCCTTGCCCTTAAAGAAAATAGCATATGCTGATCAACAAGTAAGAAAACACATGTTGTATTTACTTGCGTAATGATCGTACCTCTAAATTTGGTCGTGAAAATATTTTTTTGTTTTCACCCGCGTAATCATCACACCTACACCTAACCGTCACAGCCAGCATCAGTGGCAAATGCCATTCCACAATCGTACCTTCACGCTAATCTTGCAATATGTAATTTCGCCATGAAGTGGTGCGCTTTGTCTGTCGTTAAAGATTATTGATTACGAGCTCGAGCACGGCAACCATGCCTGCCGGCAGGCACAGACAAAATAATGTTCCAGATTGATGCTCTTATGTTTGCATTAGATGCACCATATCCCAAAAATAAGCATAGGCATTGAGAACTTATAACTGCACTCAGAGGCATAGGAATGAGTGCCAGTTTGTGACCTACGAGTTCTGTAAAATGGCATCTTTGTGACATCTGCATCACCATATGTACACCAACTGTCTCGGCAGTTTTTTCAGGCCGACCCATGTTGTGATAATTTTTCTTTTCTAGCTTTTTACATTTACCAATCATATAACAGCATGGTAGGAACAGAATTTGAAGGCAGGAGCACTCTATGGCAACAAAGGCAAGACGGCTCTGCGATGTTAGGTGTCTTAGCACTGATTTGCAGCTCCGTCTTTGTCATCACTGCTCACTAAATTACTGGAATAAAGTGTGTCATTATGCTAGTGAATGTGGCATGCTTTATTAATAAATTGCACTGGGGCACACACATGAATTTGTACCATGCAGCATGGCAAAGTTCATGGACACTAAGTGTTCATCTGTAGCATCACAGTTTCAAATGATGCCATGGGTGACATGTGTACTGTCTGCTCTCTATTATCAGATTTAATCAGGTAAATCCAAAAGTAGTTTTGCAAATATGAGCAAGTAATAAATATTCAAACACACGTATATTCAAACACGCGTATCAGAATATGTCCGTGTTAGTAACAGTGCAGCGTTTTTACTGGGGCAGCCTTCCAAGTGAAGACCACTTGAAAGGTTACAATGAATCTATATCCGTAAATGAACATGTTGCAGTGTGTGTACTCGACAAAAACATCTCTGTGCTCTTTAAAAACCATGGTAGTTCATAGTTCAGTTTTCAATGTTTTATTTTGCAGTTCATGTAGAACCAAAACCTTAAATAATAGCCATGTAAGGAAAAATAACTGCAGAGCGGAGAGATCAAGTCAGCTAAATATTGGTAAAAATGAATCTCCAGTTTGATAAAATCGTAGCATTCTTGACAAAAGAGTCTGTCAGTGCCTAGATTTGAAATGTGAAAGAGGGTGGGGCCTTGTGCCAGTATACTTGCATTTGATTCTTTAATAATAAAGCAAGCTCCCCAGCAGGTTCAGTTACCAACAAAAGTAGCAAGTTTATCTTATTGTCAAATAACGGCCTCTCTCTTTCACAGCTTTTCAGCTTATACTAGTAGTGCAATCGTCTTTGTGTGTGTTTGTATGCAACCGTTGCAGGGTACCCTTATGTGCCACTTGCCTGTAGCCTTTAGTCATTAGATCTCGCCGATAGGACCTTTAGTCCCCATTCGTTTCTGATAATGAGTGTGCCCAGTAAATTTTAGTCAGTATACTTTCGGTTCCTCGAGGGTGGTTATGTTCACTGCTGCGTTCACCAAGCGGGCCGTAACTGCCACTCTTATCTGAAAGTGACTTGTGACCTGACTTTGGTGAAGCACTGTTTCACTTTTCACGATGATGAGAATGAATGCCTACTGTATGTCTGTGTGAGAGCGTGCAAACGATGGAATGAAATGTCGTCGTGTGAAAATCTTTTGCATAGCGGTACATGTCTGTGTACGTGTCTTTGAAGTAAATTATGCCAATTACACAAAGTTCATGTCTGGGCGTTTTGTTCTTTGTGTTACGCTAATCGATCGGTTAGTCTGTGGGCCCTAACATGCAAATGAACTACAACAGCTATGAGATATACTGAAGGGGCAGGCTCTACAAGAAGGCTTTTGGAGAAATCAATGTTTACTGAAAGCACTTTATATGTGTGTCATTTTTGCACTGTTTTCACCGTGCAGGTACCACAGTCAGGAATTGAGCCCACAGCCTGAACAGAATGCCACAGTCACTGATGCACTGCAATGAGTAATGCACATGGAAGGAAAAGTGAACGTCAGGTCACATTTACTCATGGTGTATGAAGAGACAATTGAATGTTAGGAATATAAGAAAAAGTATTGGCATATATAAAAGCCACATTGCTTTAGGGGCCTGTACACTCTGCTGGGTCTGTCATTGCTGCTAAACACTGCAGTGGTCTACCAGACAAGCTTGGGCAATATTAAGATAAGCAGCAATCAATTAGACTCAATGATGCACGTAGTGATAGTTCAATGACATACCTTATCAGAAGATAGATGAACATACCAGTTTTGTGGATTACAATAGACATGCCCATTGTGATGCTGTTAGGAAACAGCATTATAAAATAACATGCACGAAACTCGCACGGCAGTAATACCAATCGGTCCAGTGGCAATATCTTGCGACATCATCATCACCATTCTCGGCCTGTTTTAGTCTACTGCAGCACGAAGGCCTCTCGTGATGATCTCCGATTTAACCTATCTTGTGCAAGCCAATTTCATTTTTTCCATGTGAACTTCTTAATTTTGTAACTCCATCTAACTCTCGTCCTTCCTTGACTGTCTTTTCCATGCCTTTGTAACCATGCTGTTGCTCTGACTGTCCAGTGGTTGTCTGTCCTACTCATTATGTGGCCAGTTCGTGACCGTTTCCTTGGCAAGGTTTAAACTAAAATATCTGCTACCCCTTTTTTGTTGTCTGAACTAGTCTGCCTTCCTCAGATCTGTTAACGTTACTCGTGTTGTCTCCCGTTCCATCGCACGCTGTGTGGTCCTCAACAATACAGTGGTTGTATACCTTTTGGCTTGAATGCCAGTGGCAGATTTATTGCTGTAGTGTACCTGGAATAGGAATTCTTTGCATGTATAGACTGCTACATCTATAATTCAGGCATTAAAAAAAAATTTAAGTATAGATGATTGCATAGCCATTAGGCTGTTGGTGGACATTCTTACACTGAGATTTGTTGTTGATAATGCACCAGCTAAGTACAAGCAAGGCTGTATTGGATTCACCATTCTTGAATATTACTTCGACAGAATGTCAACATCTTTCAATAGGTGTCGACTTCACACAGTTGAGGTATTTATATGTGTCTAAGGGATGAAATTGCGAATAGTCAGCAGGCTCACATGAAGAGTATTAAGTTTGGCTAGCTGGTACTTGTTCCTGGTGTAACTGCACAAAAAACGCATGGGAACACAAAGGAAGAGGGAAGCACAAACAAGTGCAGTTATCAACTAAAGCTCTTTTTAGAAGTTTGTGCTGGTGCTCATCGTGCTTCCCTCTTCCTTTTTGTGCTCCCGTCTGTTCTTTGCGCAGTTACTCTGTAAAAATTACATGACTTTACATAAAATATATAGGCAGTAAAAATAAATTGTGCTATCAAGGAAGTGATATTGAGCTACAGTCATCGAATGAGGTTAGGGGTAGGGACTGCGCAGGCATCAACTTTAAATATAGATACGGCACAGCCGCTTCAGCGTGGCTGGATGAAAGAGGAGAAAGACGTCCACGGTTTTTGGTTGTAGCCGGACTGGTACCATTTTGTTTACCCAGTGCCTTGATTAATTAAACAAGCTACTCCTAATATTATTGGTTTGAAGGTGCTTGGTTATGAGTGCTGCTCTTTACTGCCGACTGAAGAAAGTTGTCGCGCGCTCTAAACCGAGCCGTACGAGTTGACGACGGGGGAACTGCCGCTATTACTGGCACGTTCTGTGCCTATGTGACTATTTCAGGTACAAGCACAACTGTTCTTTTCACCATTATTGAAAATTGCCCTCATCATCTCATTTTAAGCATAGCGTTTCCTAAAATTAACTAGAGGGGACTCTGGCGCTGCGATTGTTCAGCGACCATGGGAATAACAGGTAGTACACACATTTGCATAGTCTTCGTACTTGCGGAATCGGACTTGCGGCTTCGTTTATTGCTGGTTGCGGTTTCGTTTTAAAGAAAAGAACGAACCCTTTTGAACTTCGTGACCTGATTTGAAATGGTAAGCTTTAAAAAATAAGGTAGTGAAGCACAACCGCTGAACATTTGCTGATTTTTTGTTTTGTGAGAAAACAGCTCCAAGCCACACGAACACACACGAAGCCAAAAGCAAGAGAGAAGTATGAAGATTAGACAAATGTGTGCATTACCCATCATTCCCATGCTCGCTGAAGCGCCATGCGTTGCAGCTCCCGTAGACACTAGCGCCAGAGTTCCCTCTAGTGTATAATAGAAAGCTCTACGATTCTAAGTATGGATTTTCTAGCCGCTCATTCTGCCCTTACAGACTGTTCAGGCGGCTCTCTCACCTTGATTTGCCTCTACTTTCCAATCCGACCGACCCACCTCAAAGCCGTCTCTGCTGCATTTATTTCATATGCCTTTCACTTAACTCTCTTACACACACGACTTATCCTCCATGCCACCTGTACCTGATGGCGGTCACATGGTTGCACAGATTCCTGCCGTGATGCTTGCTTGTGGTGTCAACCTCCCCGACAGAATTCTGGCAATTGTTGGAAACCGCGCCCACCTTCCTCTTGTCAGTAGAGAGTCTAGCACCGTGGTTGCATTAAGAATGAAGTCGTAGGGGGACAAAAATTTAAGCATTTGTTTGGTTCTAGTGCAAAATAAGTACGGGTTGTATGCATCAAGAAAATTAGTTTTTTTCATGTAATAGACATTTGTTTATTGACCTTCTATTACTCTCAGTAAGGCTCTCACTAATATATATATATATATATATATATATATATATATATATATATATATATATATAGAGAGAGAGAGAGAGAGAGAGTATAAGAATGTGAAAGGGCCATCTGGGCCCCCACTCCTTTCCGGAATATGAAGACTCTCCCCTTGTGGTGTACAGCACAACTCGCTCTTCTTCAGAGGAACAGCGGTTGCTCTTGTGAAGGACATTCCATTGGCATTCTTTATCTGCCTAGATTTAGTCATGAGACTATTTTCTCTGTGTACTACTGTCTAGGATGCTCAGCAGTTTTCACCATAAGTAGCACCACGTGTTGAGAGCCAACTACTAACATTAATCTGGGAAATGTCGAGTTCACCTATGTATGCTTAAATTTGTGATTCTCTGTGTGCTGTTCTGAGTGAATGAGCCTCCTGTAACTCACATTTATATACTAGGAAATAACAAGCATGTTCATTTCGGTTGAAAATAGCAGACACGGAACATGAATGAGGAGGGGGAAAAAAGGCGGAACATTCATGCGGAACGATAAACAAGCGTTGGCTTGCTTTCATGTAAAATGCTGCCAAATACGACTGAAAATTGTAACGACAGGACGATTTAATCGGAAGTACTGTTGCTCAGAAAACTAAATCTAAGCAAGCAAGATTGTAGCCAAAGGTGGAGTCATCCGCACCCTTCCCGAATATCTTGCATCTTTTGAGCCCAACGGCACCCAAATAAATTTCTCGTTACGCCCCTGCTAAGAATAGCGAGCGTCTAATCACAATTACACGAAGCCATAGCCACATAAAACTACGTTCGAGCTTATACACAAACAGAACCTTGCCGATCTCATTTACAACCATAAGTAGACGCACTTCCAGCACGTGCTGTACGTGTTTCGGGCCAGTGGAGAGCATCACGGCTGCTTCAAAGGCCCGCTGAACAAATCACAACATGCCACGTAGCCGTGCAGCTCGCGCAGCTGGGCAAACAGCACCCACAGTTCACGATCACACGCGCAGCACGCGCTGCGAGTGGCCATATTGAGCAGTGTTTTGCTCCGAGGCCGCAGATGTCGCCACGCGTATCGCCGACGTGCACTCTGGGATAGCTTTGCTCTCTCGTTGGCTGTTCGGTGTTCGTTCTACGCTCGCTGCTGATCTTGCTGTGTAGCTGCGGCGGTTTATGTGGCCTATATTATCCTCACCGGCGCGCTAGACTACGCCAAGTGTGTCCTGAAAACATCTACCGAGGGTCCCCCACGTGAGCCCAGCAGTCGCATCGAGAGCTTTGAGCTTCAGGTGAGTAATTTTGTCCCGATCTAGCGGTTAGGCCTAGCACGGCGGTGTTGATGGCTCGTGCACACCGCACTGGAGTTTTTCGTTGATCCTCCAGCGTTTTATTGCAAAGTTACTTTTCGTAGTCTAAATTGCAACCCGAAAGGACGTACGATCTTGATCTGCAAGTATCGCTGGCGATGTAGGCTTCACGCGGATAGCACCGCGCCGGTTCCTGCGGAACGGTTATCGCCGGCAGGAGTGCTGCTGCCACTGTCTGGTCCCTGTGTTGGGGATCGTTCCATTCCTGTGCTCCCCGATATATCAAGATTCGCGCGTATCGTTCCGTTCGCACGCCTTATTGAAGAGGAACGAGGAAGTTCGCGAGGCGCGTTCACGGCCGGGACGCAGGCTGCGGCAAGACTAAGCTGTGTGTACATCAGCGAGCGATTTCGTTGGCGCTCACTCGCCTGAGCTGCTAGCCAAGAGGCGGGCGTGCTGCCTGCGTTCAGGATAGTCTCTTGCATATTACATACGTTCGTGTATTTTGCAGCTGCAGGGTGGTGGTACTGCTCGCTACGCGATCGCGCTGGCGGCGTTTGCGTGGATGCTTTTAGCGGATGGGATGTTTCCTCGCTATGTGGTCGTACGTGTACTACTACTACACGAGGCTTGCGCTCTCTCCCTCGTAAGAGGCGGCGCTGAAGGGAGGCGCGACAACCATTTTCTAGATGAGCGGACGTTTATTAGCGGGGCGACTCAGCTTGGGAGGGCAACAGGTTGCCCGCTTGCGCCTCCGTCCTGCCTGGCGCCGAAATTTGCTGCCCCGGGGCGGCGGAGACTGCTTTCGCGTATTTTCAGTAGCGTCGTTAGCATTACGAAGGCACTTCGGAAGCCTTCCCTCGTCAGAGGCCGACACGTGTCCCGGGAAGACGCGATCCCGTTGCAAATTGCATTCGTAAACCACGAACGGCTCCGTTTACGCGAGTTACGTATAAACGAAAGCTCTGCTGCGCAAATATTGAATGGGCAAGCATATGTGGTATGTTTTTGGCCCCCGTTATAGAAAACAGGGGGAGGGGGAATAATAGTGGTTAAGTAAGTCGACTTTCGTTCTGCGACATGTGAAACCATCTTCAGAACAGAACTGTTGAGCTGCGGTAGTTCTCTGAAGCACCCCCCCCCCCCGCCCTTGTTGAGCGAGTGCTTTTGGAGCCTGGTTTTTTGGCGTCTTGAATCCGTGCTGTTGGTGCCCGCATCTCGAGAGGTTCGCTTTCTCCTCGCGCGAGTCTTGCAATGCGGGAAAAGCGACGCTCCGTACATGTAAGAAAAAATGAGACGAAAAGAAAAACGTAACGAGAGAATCGAATAAGACAAAAAGCGTACAAGAGAGGGGCGAATAACGAAACAATAGATTTGTTCTTACAATATTGCGGAGGGGGGAAAATGGGAGGTGGGTGGGGTGGACGCCCGAAATTAATCGATGCGCTGCTGACATTTTCACTGGGTCCGTTGTTGCGTGCGTGATGTGTTGTGCGCGGAAACGCTGGCTGTTTGAAGGGAGGAAAGGGTGGAGCCGGCGCGCAGCTTTGAGTTTGCGCGGGGGGGGGGGGGGGGGTCAGCAGAAGGGAACTTTTATGCGGCTTTCTTTTTTCCCTCGGTGTATTCTCTCTCGCCAGTGTGCTGCTGCCGCTTGCCACGTCGGTCGATAGATATACCTACGGGGTCCCCTCACTTTCCGGAGCTTTTGCAGCACGCACACGTCCAGCTGCGAGCGAGTGGACGGGTGGAAAAAGAATAGAAAGGGGAAAAAAAAAAAAATCCTCCGTGCTAGGGTGCGCGCTCGGACTGATTAAAATCGCACCGCCTGCAACTGGTTCGCGGGTGCACGGCACGGCGGCTTCACCGCATTGCTTCCAGTATCCGCCGCAGCTTCCGTTTAATTTTCGCTTGTCCCAGTGTTAGGTGCTTTCTTGTTTTTTTTTCCATTTTCTTGGCAGGTCGATCTGGTTGCACCTTCTTTCAAGACGACAGTTGCGAGCTCTCAATTCTTTTCTTTTTCTATAGTGCCGCCGAGTTCTTTTAGAAACGGGAACGCGGTCTGTTGTACATATACACTCGCGCTGCTGTGGCGACGGTGCCTTCGTGTTGACACGCGACAATTGAATTTCGCCTTCTTGGCGCATGCTAATTAGGCGCTGGCGGTGACATCGGTGCCAGAAGTTACGCCCCGCCGCATACAATTTTGTCGCAAACTCGTTTTGTCTTGTCTATATTTCTTCTCGTCGCCTCGATTGTGTCGAGATGTACGCGATAAACTCCACGCACTGGTCCCTGTCTGTTCTCTTTTTTTGTACGCTCGAGGCTTCATTTTGTCGACCCGAGAACCATCGCCAGTAGATTGGCGGCAAAATCTGAAAACAAGGTAATGGTCGACTTATATCGTGCTGGTCTTCCGTGAGACATGCTGTCCTGTTTGTAGCAGTCTGCAGAAAAAAAAAAAGGCGCTTGCATCTTCTCCCCTGTCATGTCACTTTCTTCACGGTCGCGTTTTTTTTTTTTCTCATTTTTTAAGGTAGCCACCCGCAAAGCCTTCATCGCATCTGCGTAAAGGCGCATGATTGACGTAGCCTCCTTATGAAGCGTTTCGCTTGGCGTTTGCTTCTATAGAGTTTGGCACGTTGTTCGTGGCGTTCGCGTCTGAGAATGAGATATCTGCTCACATTTTGCGTGTACTGTTGACTTCTGGAATCGTGGGTCGCCTGGCTAGCCAATTTAACGTTGCAGCGGGCGTAAAAACAGAGGCCCCCTTGATTCTTCACGCATTGTATGACTCTCCATGTGTACACACTGTATATGGTTTCCTATATCTACACTTGAGAGCACTCTGGCGCTAGTGACTAGAAGGAGGTTATCTTATTGATGGCTAAAATCAAGGCACGAGTGAAAATTAAATCCTTCACTGCAAAGTACCAGTCCTCAACTTCACTACTTAAAGGGAAGAAACAGATATAGTTGCTGGTTCACTAAGTATTACGGCTAGGTGGGTTAGCCACCACCCGATCTAAAGGGTACAGCCATATAAATCCTTTGGCAGCTGCTACACGTGGCGCTTCAGTGAGCATGGGAATGATGCGTAGTGCATGGCTATGGCTAATCTTCGTACTTTAGGCTCCGTTTGGCTTCCCGTGGCTTAGGGTTACTTTGTCGCGAAACGTTCAGCAATAGTTCATCAGTTGCGCTTCACCGCCTTAATCTCTTAAGTTCACCAGTTCAAAAGCACTATCGCGTTCGCAGCCCGCAAGCAAGAAAACTAGGCAAATCCATGTACTGCCTAATACTGGCAATCATTCCCATGGTTGCTGAGCGATCGCAGTACCGGAGTCAATTCTAGTTAATTTTAGGAAACCGCATGGTACCCGACCCCCGCACACGCCCATAAGTATGTTCAATAAACAAATAGCGTTTCGAATGGTGATGAAACCGGAAAACTAATCGTACGATGCTCTCACTGAACTACTTTGCAGCAACTTGCACCGCCGTATTTCTTGAAGAGATACTAATGGCAACTATTAAGTCTACATTTATCGTTGAAATAGCGGTTCGTAAACCTCATAGTGTTACTTTTCTGCCAAGGAAGTACTTATTTCGAAATAAAATTGTTTTATTGGTCCGCATAGTGTTAGCGCACTTCAAAAATCACCCGCCCAAGCGGAACGTTTCACGTCACTGTTGCCGTGCGCTTCGTTGCCTGGCTCTACTGCGCGGCCGCCGACACTAGTAGCAGCAGAACGAAAGCAGCGGGAGCCATTGCAACAACGGCAACTCAACAATTTTCTGCCATTCCTGTCCAGTTTAACCAGACGAAAATTGAATTTTTGAACGACTCGCGCAATTCCACATAGTAACGTTCAGCTGTTTTTTTTTTTTTCAGGAATCCAACAGAAACGAACAAGCAGCGTTTTGTTACGTCTCTTGATGCACGGAAGGTTATTTATTTACTGCAGCTAGTTCGATTACTAGTGATTAATTAATAGGCGGTACCCCTGACGTCATTGGAATCATTTTGCAAATGTCCTATCCTAGCACATGCTTTCTCGTGCATTTACATTAATTTCTCGGTAAGTGGGAAACTGCTGTTGATGATATTAGCGTTTTAGCCGTTGTAATACATTGAGATTTCACTTTTAGTGTCCCATTAAGTACAGCAGGCAGCCAAGGACTTTCTGCATGGGTTTTTAACGTGCACCCAAATCTGAACACACGGGCCTACCCCATTTCTCGGCTCCATCGAAAATGCAGCCGGGATTCGATCCCGCGACCTTCGGGTCAACAGCCGAGCACCTTAGCCACCAGACCACAGCGGCGGGGCTATTTTAGAGGTAATGAACGATATATATGGAAAGCAGTCTTTGCGGCATGTAGCGCCTGCGCTGCGACTCGGCTACTGCGTTTCCGTCGTAGCGATTATGGGTGGTGGTGGTGCTGCTGGTGGGGCCCTGCTTAAGGGATGGGTTTGTGAGTTCCCAATTAAATATCTTGTCATAAAACACGTGACCCGTTGCCGCAAGCAAACCAGCAGTTGGGGACAGGAATAGCCGGCGCGCTCCCCTTTGGCCGTATGATGACGGACGGAGAGAGACCTCCGCCGCTCATATATCAGCACTCCCGTCAACGAAACAGAAGAAACGAAAAGGAACGAGCTGCGCATATCCGTTCGATGCGGCTGAGGCTCGCGCGTCCTCCCCATGTGCGCTTGGAAGGCTGCCTGCCGTGTGGCGCGTTGCTCGCTCTCTCTCTCGGCGTAGACGACTTGTTGGCGGTTCGTCGTCCGGGCAACAGAAGTCGTCGCCGTTCGAGCTTTCTGGCGTCCTCGCCGCCGCTGCGGGGGCGGCCATGCATACCCACGACCGGCAGCGTGGATCTGTGCATGACGAGGGGGGTGGGGGGGGAGGGGGGTACGTGCGGAGACGAAGTATCGTGTGTGTGTGTCTCTTCCGCACTAGCTCGCTTTCCTCTTTTAT